CCCCTCCTTAGGCAGGTCACCTGACCTCCTGGTCAGGGCGTCAGGTTTTGCTCCTAACTTCCCTGGTCGGTACACAATCTTGAAATTAAAACGGGAAAGGAATTCAGCCCAGCGGGCTTGTCGCCTGTTTAGCAACTTGGTTGTTGCAAAGTACTCTAGGTTGCGGTGGTCAGTAATTACCTTGATTGGAGACGCTGTGCCTTCTAGCTCGGGTCTCCACTCCTCAAAGCAGCGGATAATCGCTAACAGCTCCTTGTCATAGATCTCGTAATTACACTCCGTGACTGAATGCTTCTTGGAGAAAAATGCCACTGGCCTTAGGACTCCGTCGTCCCCGTACTGTGACAGCACTCCAGCTGCTACATAGTCTGACGCGTCGGTCTCTAGGACAATCTCCCTATCCCAGTCGAACGGAGCTAGAACTGGTGCTTTTGTGAATGCAGATTTCAGGCGGTTAAAAGCTTCCTCACAGGCGGCGCTCCAGTAGAACTTGACTCCCTTCTTCGTTAACCCCACCATAGGCGCTATGATCTTTGAGAAGTCACGGACAAATCGGCGGTAGAAGTTGCTAAACCCAATAAACGCTTGTACGTCAGTCAGGCAGGTAGGTGTTGGCCAGTTCTGGATGGTCTCGACCTTTCTAGGGTCCATTCGGATACCCTCCCTTCCTACAATTACCCCAAGGAAGGTGGTTTCTGTCTTGAAGAACTCGCACTTCTTTATCTGGGCGTATAGGCCGGCCCCGCGCAGGGCCGTCAGGACCTTCCTTAGGTGGTTCTCATGGTCACGTCGGGTGCGGCTGTAGATCAGGATATCATCCAGGTATGCGGTGCAGAAGACGTCGAGGTACTCTCGCAGGGTGTCATTGATAAATCTTTGGAATGTGGCAGGGGCCCCAGTTAGGCCGAACGGCATCACCAGGGACTCGTACAGGCCGAATCTGGTCCGGAACGCAGTAAGGTACTCCTGACCCTTCTTGATGCGCACGTTGTTAAAGGCCGCAACAATGTCGATTTTTGAGAAATACCTCATGCCCTTTAAGTTATTCAGGCTTTCCTTGATGAGCGGAAGAGGGTACCGGTCCTTGACAGAGATATTATTCAGACCGCGGTAGTCTACACAGAAGCGGAGTCCTCCATCAGGCTTCTTGACAAATAGGACAGGAGACGCAGCGGGGGAGGAGCTTGGACGGATAAACCCCTTGCGCAGGTTTTCCTCGAGCCACTCCCGTAAGGCTACAAGCTCCTCGCGGGACATCGGGTACAGCGGGCCAAAGGGGGGGTTCTTGCCCTCCAGCAGGCGGATATCGTGGTCGTGAGTGCGGTGTGGGGGGAGTTTCTCAGCTTCTTTGGGCGAGAATACGTCCGCGAACTCCCAGAGCTCCTCAGGGAGGCGGGTCTTCAGGTCTACAGGATCAGCAGGAGCGGGGGGGTTGGTGCCCGCTAAGAGTTCGTCAATCTGCTCAATTGATACTTCAAAGATCTGGTATTTCCTCCGAGCGTACGCTGCGCAAGCTTGCAGAGACACCTTTGCGATATCCAAGTGATGGAGCCTCTCTGGTCGGTCTGGTACGGAAGAGGGGCGTGCCTTCTCCGGCACATCGTGTAGGGCAGGGATCCGCGTTGGGCGGTTAGGGAGGTTGCAGTGCTTCTGGCAGTACTCACTGCAAAATGTAAAAGTATGGCTCGCGAACCCTACACGGGGGTCGTGGAGCTTCATCCAGGGCATTCCTAGGATAACAGGGTAGTGCGCCAGCTGTGTGGCTAACAGGCTAATAGTCTCTTGGTGGTCGCCCACCTCCATAGTAGTTTGCAGGTAATGGGTAATTGACCCAGTCTCAGCTTCCCGGCCGTCGAACACCTCTAGTCGAATCGGCCGCTTCAGTTCCTGCAGGGGTAGCCCTCGGCTTCTAGCCCAACTCAGGTCTACAAAGCCTTTCCCTTCAGCTCCAGTGTCAGTCATAGCGTAGGTGGGTATCGTCTCTTTCCCCGCCTTCAGGGTAATAGGCAGTATCATCAGGTTAGACCTCAGCTCACTCTCCTCGTGCACTGAAAGTCCCTTGGCGGACGCAGTAGAAATACGGACCAGGCGGCGTCGATCCTGGTTGCGCACAAGGGGAGCCTGGACGCGACTCAGTTCAGGCTCACTCCATTTACCGACTGATCAGGGCTGCTTCGGGGGCTGGCGCGGCGATAGTTAGCGGGCGAGCCGGGGGGAGTGGTTCGACGACCTCGGGGGGGTGTGGGAGCTCTGCGGCGTGTAGGGCTGACGGTGTATTCCAAGTTGCTGGAGCGGGCTTGCATGGCCGGGCGGTTGTCAGGGTGTGGGCAGTCCCTGACTCGGTGATGAGGCGATCCGCAGCGGAAGCACTCGTTCCTCTCTCGTCTGCCACCCACGATGAAGTGCCTTTGAGAGCTTAGGTCCATGGGGTCAGCTGGGACGGTAGCGGGGACGGGCGCAGAGCGGGGAGTGGACGGGCGGCTGGTGGGCTCCCTAACAGTATATCCATGGGCCTTGGTGGGCGGTGTTCCTCGGACTCGGTTGACCTGTTGCTGGTGCTGGCGGTAGCGATTGTCAAGCGTCTGAAGGTGATTAACGTAGGTGGTGTATTCGTTCGACGGGGCCGGGCTATGGAGGAGCATGTCTTGAAGCTCTCGGGAGATGCCCTGGAACAGCAGCGGAACCAGCGCACTCTCTGGCATCTCGGCTTCCAAGGCTAGGCGCTGAAACTCGGACAGGTAGGCGGTAAAATCTAGGTTCTTCTGCTTCCATTGGAAGAGCCGATTCTGGGCGTTCTGGGTTCGATCGGGGTCGCCAAACGCTCTTTCCAAATACTCCAGCATCTGCGGGTAATCACCGAACTGGGGGATTCCATATTGAATTTTGGGCAGCATTAGCGCGTACGCCTTTCCAGTAAGCCGTCCTGCTACGTAAAGCATACGGCCAGTAGCTAGTGGGAATCGATCAGCGTTCGCGTTCATCTTACCGTAGATCTGTTGGATAAACCGGTGTAGGTCGCTTCGAGTTCCATCAAATTCCTTTGGGTCAGGTATTCTCTCACTGAGGCTGGGAGTTCGGGAACTTGGGGGAGTAGCAGGCGCAGGCGGTCCCGCTGAGTCGTCTGCGGCGGCCTTAGTAAAGGCAACGGGGGCGGGAGGGGACAAGGTGGCAGTGGGGGGCGTTACTACCGCAGGTGTAGCTGCAGTGGCGAGCTGCGTCTTCTCAATCTCGAGTTGGGTGATCTGTTTCTGGTCGGCCGCTAGCTGTTCCTTCTGATACTGGATGACAGCCTCTCTCTCCTTGACCTGGATCCGGAGAGACTGCTCATGTTCCTGAGAGGCGGTACGTGTCTCTTCTAGTTTCTGGGTGTACTGGGCAGTGTTGCGCAGATACATCAGCCATTCCCCTGGATGCGCTGCAACGCTGGCGGTGAGCTCCTCTGGAGTCTCTGGGAAGGAAGGGGGCTCAGGACGGTTCATGGCGGTGTAATACGCGTGCCTATGGGAAGGAGCTACGTAATGTCACGGTATAGCTCAGGGACAGGGAGATAGGCACAGGTATAGGTTCTATTGCTACAGACGTATCAGACAGGTTCGCACTACAGGTAGTGGGAATAGTAGACAGGACGTAGCTCAAGGAGCCACAGAACTGCGCTGCAGCGGTTTTGCAGAATCCGGGTGCTTGGGCCACACCCGGATTCTGTCAGCAGCCAATCAGAATCGTCAGGGCTTGGCTACTCCAGCTGGCGCCGTGACAAATAGTACACTAATGTGACGGTATCCGGCTCAGCTTCACCTAGACCGTCACGTGCCCAAAAAGGTGCAGTAATTATACTACATTAGCAGTATCTGGATCCGAATAGTGTAACTATATCGTGGCAACTAACGTAGTTACATCCATTCATAACGGAACAACCGCCGTAGCGGAACACCAATACTACTTTCTGTCTTCACAACGCCAACCACAGCTATATGGCTAAGAGGATCTCAAAATATACGCTTTGAACTCCCTTCTTCCACTTCGTTGATCGTCTTTATTATAGCGTTCTTGCTGCCTTCACAACACAACAACAAGCTACAGGCCTACATGACGCCGTCACCTCGGGCAGCTCACATCCCTGCTGCACAGAAGCGGCTTAGTTGTAAGCAGCTGACTCGTGCGAGAAAGCCCTAAGACTCTCACGTGACAGTCGGCGACTTACAATATGCCAAGGCGGCGCGGCTAGATGCTTGCGGTTGCCAGGCATGTGGCTCAGCGTGGCGTGTCAACACCGATAGCGGCTCAACTAAGGGCCAAGTATCGATCCGGTGAAGGCTCCTAATGTTCTCCGGCTAAAGTATGCGCTTCTTAAGTTATAGACAATTAATGACTTGCAGCCAACTAAAACAGCTATGCGCTCTAGTCGTCTCAGAAGCTCTTCTCGCCGTAATTGTTGCCAGTGAGTGTCTTCGCATTCTCATCTATTGATACGCTGTTGTATGTATGAGATTCCCTCTGTGCTGAGCCGCGTTACCCTTGGGGCAGCCAGGCATCGCTGCAACATCTCTAACGCTTGCGGTCTTACTGTTCTGGGCAATAAATGTGTTGTATTGAGGCTCCACTAGCGCGTTTCTCTTGCGCGGCAGGAAAAGGTGTTCTGTAAAGAGGTCTAACTACGAAGGTAGCAAAAGCTTCGTATTTTTCTATCTAGAGGAGTAATTACTTTATACTCACAGATAGCTATAATTTTTAACTAGACTAACTAGTAACTTGGCGAGATTTCGAGTATTGTGCGTAAAAACATTTTAGTTAGGACAAAAGTAAAGTAATTACCTGTTGTTTGTTCTGCTAGTTACAGAGGTTGTTCCGTTTCGGTTGGACGCACATTACAAGACTACAATTAACTGCATTATACTCTCTATTCAGTCACGTAACAGGTAAACTAAGGCTAAAAACTAAAAAGAAAACTATGTGAAAGATAGCCTAGGTAGGACTATGGCGGCCTGGCCGATGACAGGAAACTAATTGCTAGTCTCAGCAGGTTGCCCGAAGCCTGTTTGGGAAGACAATGCTAATGGGTCGGCTGTTAGCGCAGTGCGAGACTTGAAATTCGGCACGGCGGTGGTCATAGGATCCTGGTCCTTTAGCAGGACTCCATTTAGGCCCAGACACAGGTCAGTCACGATATCCACGTCAATACAAGACGTGTAATATTCGTCCTGCCCATGAAGAGGCCCAGGCTCTTGCTGAGGCGCTGTGGGCCATTGCCACACCCAATAGAGAGTATAGGGCTGGCCGACAGTGACATCATCTGGCAGCCTCACATCAGTCTCGCAGAAAAGTTCGTGGTCTGAACCCGGCTGTCCAGGCTTTGGGTTTGGTGTCTGCAACCGACGGGCTTCGCTCAAGGTTGTGCGGTCATTCCTAAGCTGGTAGCACCTGTCATCGTCGAAGTTCTGAGCGGTCAGTAGCCTGCCGCGTCTGTCACCGCCTTTGCCATCATGTGTCCAATGTAATACATTCTGAAGCGTCTCCTCAGGGCGTGGCTGCTTTGTGCCAAACACAAATACCGTGCCACCCTTCTCTGGTTTCCCCACAAGATCAATTCCGCCGCCAGGTACAGTGACATGACCATTTTCAGCGTAACGTATGGCAATCATGCTACTTGGTTTAGTCTGGAGACGTGGAAAATTGCTTGCCTGGTTTAGGGTGCGTTGAGAAGGGTGGCAAAGTAGGTCTGTTTTGTTGATGAAGGGTGGATCTCGTGCTGGGGGTAGGAGCCATTCGTTGGCCTCCTGGTCGAAGCTGCCATCGGCAGATTTGTCTACAAACGCTCGCGGATAGCCAAAACTACAAACATACGAGCCATTAGGGCCGATGTTGGAGAGTTGCTCGACCCAAGAGTGAGCATTGGCCCAGTTGACTGTTAGCACCAAGATCGCAGTAAGTGCCTGACACCACATGTTCGAGAGCAAGTGCAGGAAGCCAAGGGCAGACTCAGTGAGGGACCCTCATGTATCATATGTCTCTGGTCTTCTTGCTTACGATTTGTTTATGCCGTGCACCGTCAACGCTTTTGCCTGAATGTATGACAACACTTCGCTTGTGCTGACCCACTTATTGCTGAGCAGACAAAAGTGAATGAAAACGTTCCAAAATTATTCCCCGAGGGTACCTGAACACGTCACATCACTCGTTCCTGAGGTGTTGCTTCGCAATCTTAAACAGTTCTATAGGGAATCTAATTTCTGGACCCAGATCATTCTGAGAGCCACGTTCATATTGTTGCTGCTTTAGTCTCACCATCCATAGAAGTTGGGTTAAGAATGCACGTGTGAGCTATCACCAAGATCAGCCCGACCCTCTAATACATTCTTGGAGAATAGCGTTAGCAAGACAGCATGACTGTTTTCGAAGACGAACATTAATTGCATCGCGCGATTTGCCTGTCATAGGGAACTCAAAGTCTTGCATCGTAGAATAGTATCGCCGCATAACTGCAATCGTAGGGTTTTAGCAGTCAGACATCTACTACGTAGCAGGCTAAGACCTCAGTCACAACACTCCCGTAAGCATTTTGGGGGATCCATCTTAGCGCAGCCGAGATAAGGACCGTGCCGCAGTGGCGCGTCTGCCAGTCAGCAGCTTACCCTTCTCAAATGGGCTTGTGCGCAAGACCAGGCGACAAGGGTCTCGGTGGCTGATTGGCAGGCTGCGGCAAAAATTAGTCATCGCTTCCCGGCTGTTTCCGTACAAGCAGCGTATCCATAGCCACGCCACATATCCTAGGGCAAGGGCCATAAAACATGTAACGCCCTTGCCTTCTTGCGGCACGGCGCAACCGTTGCAATCCGATGTTAGAAGTGCAGCGGCAAAATGAAGTCGCATCGACATAGGTGATGATCCACATATCCAGGTGCCTACTTCTTTGGTAACAATGTAGACTTTCCATGTCTCACCTACCTTTCAGTTACACAACAATTCGCGTTCATGTTCATGCAATTGTAGTCTAATTTACTTTGCCTCTTGTATATAATCGGGTTCGATAGCTGAGTAACTAGCTATTTGCTGATAGCAGTCGGTATTTCAGACTAGGGAACACACTAGAGCACTGCAATACAAGTCATGTTGCTCGCTCCTGTTATATATACCAGAACATCTCTTCCGAACCTTCAACATAACTCTTGGGAACTTTCATTCTATTGTTCCCAAGTCTACTTCCTCACCTGGTGTCTTCGGGACGCCATTTTATATGTGGGCCTACTCCACAAACCAACATCAATATTTAACGTGATACCATTAACCAACTTGAGCCTTTAATCCTGATGAGAAGGATGCTTTAGGGAGCGAAGTTGTGTCGCTTTCATATTTAGCGGCGACTTTTACGCCAATCTCAGGCAATAATCCCACCTCTCTCACGTTCTTAAACAGGAATGCTGCATAGAGTGAAAACCGTTCTGTTATACCGTCAAGAATCTATGTCGGTCCCTAATACTGCTTTGAAGATTTTCAAAAAGTGGCTTGAGTCCGGGAAGGCAGGCAACGATAATGGCCAAGGCGAGCTCCAGCATGCTAAGGATATCTACAGAGGACACACATTAGCTTCTGTGGTTCACAAGTCCGTCAGGCTCCACGACTACGCCTACTTACAGACAAGATTCTCCTGGCCAGTCTCAACATTCAGGCAGATAAATCGTATCACCCCGGCGCCTATCGGTAGCAGCCCAAGGGCAAGTGTGAATTTGATTCCCTTAGACGCCTGTAGCATTCCATCGAATATCAGAACTACCGGAAAGAAGTAGATAGCCAGATAGCAGGCCAATCCGAGTGAAAAGTTCAGGATAAAGGGCTCTCGAGCATAAAAAACAGAGCATGCTCCTTGTTTTTGGGACCACTGAACTGAGACGTCGTGACCACAAAAGAAAGTATCATCGAAAAGCGTAGTAAGGTAGCAGATGATGACGAAAGCAGTGGTGCCCCAAAGCAATTTACGCAGCTTAGGCTTACGTCCATAATCAAGATAAGCCCAATAGAAGGCCATCATACTGAGCTTTGGAAGGCCTAGCCCAAAATCGTAGAAGTAATTGGAAGCGAACGAGATCTAGAAAAGTACTCAGACTGGGGAAGCAAGACTAGGTTGTTGAGGCGCTCTGTACCCACCTTAGACAACTTCTCTGATGTATGGTATTCGTCCATAACCCCCATCTGGAATGTGAGCGTATCGCAGATAATCAGCCCCAAGGCATCAAGAGCCGACGCGATGAGCAGGTAGTCAGAGTAGTCGAGCCGCTGCCGAAGTTGAAAGAGGCGTGTGTAGACGCGTGCAATGACGAATGTATAAGCTAGCCATAGTAAGACCCATTCTGAAATCTGGATAGAGGCTATCGTTAGAGTTTCTGAAGACCAAAGATGCTGTATATAACTTTGGAGGGGAAGTACCATGCAGTCCTTGCCGTCAATAAAAAATCCCATGTTTCCTGTGCAGAGCGGCCGCTTGAATAGAAAGCTGAGAGTCAACGGGGAGGACGGTCTTGGATTTTGTTGGATCGTTGAGCGGGCTCGATAGAGCTTTGAATGGTGCGTGCAGTGGGTGACTAAACTCTGCCTTAAAGCTTATGGCCATTTAAGTGATCATGATGATGACATCGAACGCATTGTTGTTGTTCAGGCCAGTCAAACTTCCGGTACTTCTGTTGTGCTAACACTAGCGCCGGTGATGGTCAGCGCTGTAGCTGGTCTCCCTTTGTGGATAGAACAGCCCACCACTCAGAATATTCAAGCAATACGTTTCTTTCGTAGAACATCCCACTCTAGAACTATGCAATTCCTAGCAGCGTCACTAAAACATCTTTGTCAATACTGCAAATATCAACTCGTGATAGTGGTGCTGAAGTTCTACATAGTATAGTAGGATGTTATCATAGAGCAAAAATCAGGGACACGAAGGTAGAACTCAAGTCTTAACAGTGGGGTTACATCGAAGTTTCTTAGTAAGTGACTAACTAACGAGTGATATTTGCAATATCCGAATGTTTTACCCAAATCCGCGTAGTTACACAGGCAAAGTCTAATGAAGCCGTATCCGGATGCAGCTTTCTTTGCGCATACTGGAGTCTTGATGCCCATTGGGCACTCAATGATCACTGGTTGCCTGGAATCATAACACTGGCATCTCCTCAAATAATTGAGATGATAGCGGCGTAAAGATGATTTTTGTGCAAAAAAGGAAGATTGCGGATGCAGACAACTGATACATGCGCAAAAAATCGTCCACCTGCAGTTTCCGCTTCTCAGCACCTTATGTCGTATCTTATGCGGAAACTAGACGAGACCTCCGATGGGGACTTAAAGACACGACATGTTTTGCGTATAATACGTTCAAGCAGTACCCACTGCACTTGATTGCACTATCTAGCAACCCTACCTTGATAAGACCGGAATGAACTGCACAGATCCCTCTGATCGTGGCTGGACTGGCTATATCGACTTTATCCGGCATGATTTAGACGACAGGTCTTTCGCTTGTAAGTCATACCACTTCTTCATGTGGGCACGTTACTCAGGTTAGGCTATCAATTCAATACAGACATTGTTCCATTTTCTTGAAGCCGCCCCGCACAGCATCGATCAGTAGCAAAAGCCGTGCGAGAGAAGTTAAGTAGGACCTAGATTACTTGGCTAGGGCATGAAATACTTGAGCATCGACAACCCACGCTGGGCAATAGATGATAGAGAAGTGTGGCAGAATGCCGATCGTTACAAAGAGTTGAAAGTTGTGCGCTTTGCTACTCTTGGTGGAATACTTTACAACATTACTCAGGCGGTGTGCAGGTACAAATAGAGTAACTAGTTCCGCAACCTCAATGGGCTCAGTAAGGGGGTTACTGCGGCGCAAACGTGTGAAAGGAAGTCCACCAGCAACACCTATCGTAATATTTGATACATAGATATAGTCTTCGCGCAACCCTTGAACAGTGTCTACAGAGTTGCCAGCCCATGCGGCAGCAATTTGACCGACAATAAGATTGCCCGGTCTGCTTGGTGTCCAGTAATCTTAACGCTCTGTCCGCCACATGCTGAGCAATGCATATGCATGAATCATTCTGTCACACCAATTTGCTGATAGGAGTTCATCATAACTATTTGTAGATATGTTTATTGCTAGTGTTAATCGTTTTCTTTTCGCACTCGAAAAAATCATAATACCATTCAGTATGGTGGGTACTTTTGTCTGGTTCTCCAACGGCAGTCTATCGTTTCGAAACAACACACTCTACTTCTGCTCCAACTATGTGAACCTTTGGGATTTGTTCTTTGAGCAGCCTAGCCTGAATAGTTGAAATTAAGCTCGCAATAGGTTGCAGTCCATGTAGTGGTTGCGTTGTAAGACATACGACCCACCGTTCCGAGGTTTGGCATGCTTACTGTGAGAATATTCTAGCACATACACATGGAATGCTTACATGTATTACTATGACACTAGTCCTACTTTGTTCTTGTCAGACCTGCTCTGTGCTGAAACCAGCTATATAAACAATGGAGCCTCTAATGCAAAATTAGGACTAAGTACTGCTACTCCTATAAGTTACAATCCAAAACTTGCTGCTAGCAATTTCTTGACAGCACCATTCCGCACTCGTTATGGCGAAACATGAAATTCCAGACAATTCTCATGATTGCAGCTCTGAATCTGAAGAAGATTGCTACACGCCCATCAGTAGTAGCGATGGAGAAGAAGATTGCTACACGCCCATCAGTAGTAGCGATGGAGAAGAAGAAGTCGACCATAATGAACGTACGACTGGTATTTCTGGCCATACATCTGGACAAAATATTGAACTGTCGGCATATAGTGAATTCGGTCGAGCATATGTTATCAACGGGTCTGAACTAAATATAGAAGATGAGGGTATACCATCAGGCCGAGTTTTGTATATTCTGGAAGAGAGGAGGGTGTTTGGGTGGGAACAGTGCACTTTCACGTCAATAATCACCTACAATAACCATTTCTTTCTCAGCATTTCCAATGGTAATATTCTTTGCTGTTACAGAACACATGATGGCTATAAGATCGGGAAGCCTTCCGTGAAGAGCAGAGATTGGCTGTTCGAGGCTCATTCGGTCGGAAAGCTGCTTGGGATGAGTGAGCAGTGGCTGATCTATGAGAACAAAGACAGAGAATTTAAGATGCTGCCTAGCCCCTCTATTGCCGACCGCGAGGAATTAACCTTGAATCCAGAGCATGAACTCAAGGGGTACATTTTAGCTCATGCATTCTGCAGCGCCACGAATCGATTATGGGTGGCAACCCTGGACGAGCAAAAGGACGAGTCATTGTACCACCTTTACAGGATAGAACCAAATAGGGATGATTATCACAACTTCACAACAAAGAGGGACTATGTCCACAAGATAACATCAGATGAGATCTATCTCCAGCGAAGGAGTTTTATGCTTGACACCGTGCAAGAACAGTTGAATCTCGAGAAGGAACAGATTCCTCGTTTCCTAGCAATCTCTAGGACAGGAGATGTAGCTTTAGAAAACCAGGGTATGTTTCTTATCTTTGAACCATTTGAAATGGGGGATCTACCAGCCCCTCTGTTCATTGGCAACTCTTTGTTGTTGAACGACAGTGGTGGTTATGGCAAATTCTCTACCTACCGTGGCTGGGAGAGTTTTTTCTTTTGTGGAAGGAAGTCAATCGAAGTTGCTATAGCGAGCAAAGGGTGGGGAAAGTGGCAGCATGTCTTGAGTCTTGGTCGCATGGAGTTGGAAAAGAAACTACAATCTGAATTTATAGACGGAGAAACAGCTTTGACTCCTGTTGACGGTGATCAGGGGGGAATAGTCAGATTCACAAAAAAAACCTCGGATGGCAAACAACAACACAAGGGGTTTTGGTGTAGTCCTGTAAAACCAGACCAACCAAGAGATGGTTTCTGCGCATAGGTAGAGTTGCGTTAGGTTTTCTGTCGTGTTTAATACTGTGCTGGCTATTTTTTTCAGTAGAAATTAAAATTAAAATTACTAATTAACGTACATCCTGTTGTAGCGGAACAACTGGTGCAACGGGACAGAAGCTGTAAAATCAGTCTGTAAAAAGCAGGAAACACGTTCCAAGAATAGAATAACGTACATCCCTTTGTAACGGAACAACCGCCGTAACGGACAAAATTACAGGTACTTTGACTTTGCAGCAACATCATAGCCTGCAACAATCGTAAAAATCATAGTGACCTACCCAGATATATAGTAGGGTTAATTCTGAGTCGATGCATCCCCATCAATACAAAAATTACAGTCGTGTAGACACTTTCCCTTCAGATATGCGAAGACACGTGCTTCATCTCAATAGTGAGTCTCATCGTTTATAAGGCCACCACCATCATTTTCATCCGTCGCAATGTGTGTTTAGCTTCTATATACGTCTAGAGATCTAATAGAGTCACCCCGACTTGCTCGCCAGTTGTTGGGCTAGCCTATGAACTAATTCTTACGCGATCGCCACACGATCTGGTACCACTGTATTAGATGCACCAATCAGCAGTGCTGACATAATGCCAGTCGCCGAGTTAACTAGTGGAGAAGCGCTGAGGCAATGACAGTTTGGCGTTATCGATAAGGTGCGGCGCAGCACGACGAGCTGTCCAGCCTTGTTGCAGTCGCAATCCCTCAGCCTAACGCTCCCGCTCCAGCTCCTCCGCCTGGACAATGTCGTCGTCCTCTCTTCCGCCTCTCCTCCCTACTAATCTACCACCTGTATCGATTTCCCGACATGGATCCTCTCAGCGTTACAGCCAGCATCATCGCTGTTCTCCAGCTCTCGGCCAAGGTCCTTGTGTATCTAAACGACGTCAAAGATGCCCCCAAAGGCCGCACACAGTGCGCTATCGAAATTTCGAATCTTCACAGCCTGCTTTACAGGCTGAAGGATCATGTTGAAAACGGAGATTTCAGGCAGTCATGGCATCTTGCCGTCCAAGATCTTGCGATCAAGAACGGACCCATCGATCAGTTCAAGCAGGCTCTAGAAACACTACAGAGTAAGATAACAGATGGAAGACGATTACAGAAGGTTGGTGAAGCCCTAGTGTGGGGGTTTAAGAAGGAGGAGGTTGCGGGCATATTGGATCGAATAGAGCATTTGAAGTCGCTTGTAGAGATCGCGTTGCAGATGGATCATTTGTAAGCTTCCCTACTAGCACGCTAGAGCGATATCGCTTACATATTCAAGCAAAGTCTCTCAAGCTATCAAAGACGATACCAACTTCATTCGAATGCACGTACCTGTTATCCAGTCGGGCGTAGACGAGATTCGGCAAGATCAAGACGCCACGAAGCACCGCAGGATTCTAGAATGGATCTCTCCCACAGATTACCCCGCACAACAATCCGACATTATAAAGCGCAGACAGGAGGGAACAGGCCAATGGTTTCTAGATGCGCCTCAGGTGGCCACATGGCTTAGTGAACCCCGAGCAATCCTCTTCTGCCCAGGAATCCCGGGAGCTGGCAAGACCATGGTAGCCGCAATCGCGATCGACTCTCTGTTGAAATCAGTGCAGAGCAGTTCACATGGAGTTGCTTATGTGTACTGCAACTACAAGGCTCAGGAGGAGCAGGATACTTCAAGGATGTTGGCAGCTATCCTCAAGCAGCTGGTGCAGGCTCGACCATCGCTAGTGGAGCCCGTGGAACGATTGCACGAAAAGCATGCTGGCAGAGGAACCAGGCCATCGCCTGATGAGGTCTTCAGCGCACTCCGAGATGTACTTGCACATTACTCTACTATCCACATTGTGATCGATGCTCTGGATGAATGTCGAGACAGCGACGGCACTTGGCGCCAGTTTCTAGCCAAACTCCGCGATCTTCAGGCGGGACGTGACGTTCGCCTAATGGCCACCTCGCGTCTTATTCCAGAGATTGTTGATTGGTTTAACGAAGGGCTGAAGCTGGAGGTGCAGGCTAGTGAAGAGGATGTGAAGCGATTCGTGGCTGGCCAGATATATCGACTGCCGAAGTGTATTCAGCGTGACCCTGCGCTACAAGAGGTTGTCCAGGAAAAGATCGTAGAGGCGGTAGACGGCATGTATGTTCGTCCTAGCCAACTCGTGATATGACACTGACTTACACGTTCTCAGGTTTCTTCTTGCTCGCCTCCACACTGATTCGCTGCTAGACAAGAAAACGGCGAAGGACGTGAAGTCAACACTGGCTAAGCTCTCCAAAGGCTCGGCCGCACTCGATGACGCATACAAGGAGGCGGTCTATCGCATAGAGGGCCAGTTAAGCGGAGATTATAAGCTAGCCAAAAGAGTACTGTCGTGGATTACATATGCGAAACGGCCGCTTACTACGACAGAGATCTGCTGTGCTCTGGCAGTAGAGCCGGACGAGGCGGAGCTCGACCCTGAGAACATACCTGATGTTGAGGACCTATTATCCGTGTGTGCTGGACTAGTTGTTGTTGACCAAGAAAGCGCTGTTATCCGTCTTGTGCATTACACTACGCAAGAATACTTCGAACGTATCCAAGACGTATGGGACCCAGGCGCTCAACTATGCATTGCCTCCACATGCCTCACCTACTTATCATTCGGCACATTCCAAACTGGTAGTTGTTCCTCTGACAGAGAGTTTGAAGAAAAGCTTCAGAAACACGAACTTTTAGACTATGCTGCCAAGCACTGGGGAGAGCATGCGTTAACAGCGGAAGGTGAGATATGTGAGCTAGCCTGCTCATTTCTCTCCTGCAAAGAATTGGTTTCTTGCGCTATGCAGGTACTCTTACGACCTAGATACACATATCAGGGGTATAGCCAGGAATATCCCAAAGACAGCACAGGATTGCATCTTGTAGCACGTTTCGGATTAGCGATTGTATTGGAGGCCCTGCTCCTGAACCAAGTAGGAGAAACAGCACTCATATTGGAAAGAAGAGATAGCGAGGGCCAGACTCTCCTATATCTTGCAGCAGAATTTGGACATCAAAGAATGGTGGAGCTGCTGCTCGACAAGGGTACCGACATCAACATCCAGGGTGGAATTTACGGCAATGCACTGCAGGCGGCTTCAGCTAGAGGCCATGAGACGTTGGTGAAGCTGCTGCTTGACAAGGGCGCCGACGTTAACGCGCAGGGCGGAGAGTACGACAACGCACTGCAGGCAGCTTCAGCTGCAGGTCACCAGTCAATAGTGCAGCTGCTCCTTGATAATGGTGCTGATGTTAACAAGCAGGGTGGTCTCTATAGCGACGCTCTCTATGCGGCTGCAGCCGAGAACCATACAGCTATTGTCGAGCTCTTACTCAACAACGGCGCTGATGCCTCGCGACACGATAGCCAGAGAAAAAGTGTTTTACATTATGCTACTAATAGCGTGGATTGTAACATTAGTCTTATCGAGTTTCTGCTCTCACGAGGCGCTCCAGCAAACACGACCGATATCAACAACATGACTCCACTGCATTACTGCGTCAAGCACGGCCACAAATCTACAATAGGATTGCTTCTTGACAATGGTCTGTCCATTAATGTCGGTGTCCATCGAAAGTCGTGGTCTTGGAATAATGTGAAGACCGACACCTTTTACCAATCATCGGTTTCGGAGTCCGAGCCCGACATTCCGGGCACTTCAGCTGGCCTAACACCTTTACACTTTGCGGCCCTAACTGGCAATTTAGTCATGACTAAGTTCCTTCTGGAGCGTGGCGCTGATCCGAACGCTTTGTCCAGATACAACGAGTCCCCGATGCATCTCACGTTGCGTAAAGCCCTGCATGGACCAAAGCATGACGACGATTGGACCAACCCGGACTTCAGGATAGAAACCATGTGGGGCTTCGTGGAATTTGAAGAAGAAGACGAATTTGATTCAATTTCTGCAAGCATAACAATGGATCGCGAAGGTGTGCTTGATGCTCTACTCGCAGATGCTAGGACCAGTCTGACGATCGGGGACTGTCAACATAACCACCCTTTACACTGTGTTGAGTATAGTCAACGTGGAAGTGGAAGTGTGTCTATGATTCAGAAACTAGTATCTAGAGGAGCAGATCCGTCCAAAAGGAACTCGAAGCAGCAAAACGCACTGCACCTTGCCAGTCGAGCTGGCGACCACGACGCGGTTGCTGTTCTAATTTCGCTGGGAGTTGACCCCGCCTTAACGGACAATGAGGGGCTCAATGCTCTTCACTACGCTGCACGAAGTGGTGACCATGAAACAATCACTGTTCTTCTAGAAGCAACTGTGGCAACAAGACCAAACCTAGTGGCGTTGAAGGATAATCGGGGTAGAAACCCACTCCACCACCTGCTTACTACGAATCGGGTAGTTCAGCATGAGACGATCCAGTTGCTGCTCGACAAGGGGGCAGATGGTTCAGAGTTAGACGCATCCGGCAACTCACCGTTGGCGAGCTACTTCAAAAAACCATGCCGGGGTGTAGTCAATGTCAAAACATGTCAACAATTGCTTTCGGTCGAAGGAAGCTCTTTGTTTGTTGACAAGATAGGACAAACCCTAGGACACCTATGCACTTTACCTTGGAAATGCAGCGTTCAAGTTCTAGAGATGCTGAAGGAACACGGTGTCGATCTAACACAGAAAGATTTGGAAAGCAAGACAATATTGCACCGTTCTGCGATTCAAGGGACTATTGCAAAAGAATCTTTGCATTATCTTCTCTATGTTGTCGGCGTCGAGATAGATGCAAAGGACGCGTCTGGAAAAACAGCGCTGCAGTATGCAGCAGACCAAGCACGGAAAGCTCATCATCCAGACATCTTCGATCGTGGACGCTGGGATAGAAGTATGAAGCTGTTGTTGGAACATGATGCTAGTTAAACAGCTTCCAGAGCTATAGAGAGCTAGATACAGCTTTCCTCTGTGCAAATAATGAACAGTAGTGCGGAGTATGTTACCATGTCTAGCTTGAGCAGAGATGCTCTTACACACGTTGGGAGGCAATTCTAAGGCCAGTGCCTGACTGGCAGAGTCCACAGTTGCTACAGCATATATCACAGCTTCCTCTACTGAGTACATGTCCCTGTGCTGGATGTTCCTTGTGTTGTGCTAATAATAGAACAAAGACTAATAGAAAGTACCAGAAGCAAAGGTCACATGACCGACTAGAAGGGAAGTCACGTGAATATTTATTACAGATGACAAAGCTGGGCTTGTTGCGCTAATTTCTCATCGAGGATTTGGCCAATCGCTCTAGTGACGGAGAAACTTTCTGATCACCACCAAAGATCAATATCTAGCATTTTGAGACAAGGATCTGAAACTATGATACCTAGAGCATCGCCTAGTATCACCGAAGATAGAATTTAAAGTAAAATAGTTGCGTAGGTTTAGATGCCAGGCGAGGCGCGAAATGTCGCCGCCAGCAGATTAACGTCCTATAGTCGCACTACTGTGTATTTTTCTATCTAAGAACTAGTTATGTGTAGAATATATGCAAGTGAAAATGATAAGGGGTTATGAAAATATTTCGATACGTTTTTCGGTGCCTTATCTGCTTGCTTAAGAAAGAATGTTCCGCCACACCGGTTGTTCCGGTACGAAGGGATGCACGTTAGTTATCATTTCTGAATGACTAAGTACTTTATTGACGTTGAAAATTTGTAATAGTCACACCAAAACATAAAAATAGGCAGTGTCGCGGCCAGAGGCGACTAGTTAATGTCCTGACGGCGACATTTCATGCGTCAGCCTATCACCTTAGCCTAAGCGATCATTTCAATCCGAATCTGTATGTCGGAGGTACACGGGGTAGCTTTAGGTGTGAGCTTTCAAGTCTCGCGTCCTAGAATACCCGATATCGATATGTGGTGACGATGCAAATGTTTCTCCGTTGCGAAGTTTGTTGAGATGATTTGGCGTGAGAATTTAGCGAAATCAGAAGAGCTTTGTCATCTGTAAAGAATATCCACGTGATCAATCAAGCCAAGTAATCACGTGAGCCACCTTCTAGCATGTTCCTTTGTTCTATTCTTAGCGCATAGCCATGAGGGTAGCTTGCAACTGGTTGTGTCCGCTCAACTCAGAGCACCTGTGAATCACAGCAACCATGGCTTGCTATATGTAGAATATGAAGAGTTCAAGCCTACACAAACCACCGACCATCGTTAAAGACGCTGCTCTATACCAGGTGATATGAGCATCGTTCTTCTACAGATTTACTCCGCTATAGTTGGATGTATATTAACTAACTAGGTATTGATATTAGATGCTTTTGCTTGGGCGAGGCTGGGCATGTTATATCGCACTCCGTACATTACAGAGATGCTTTAGGCGCAGAGCTGTTTAGCATGTTTGTGCTACAAGCAACAACAGGAAGGATCCTCTCCCCGGGTATGACGACGAATGGTTGGGAAATCACTGAGGATCCCAACGGTCAGGATGACCATCGCGGGGCAAAAGGTCACGTGATGTGCCATCCCGCCAAGGCCGGCCATCCGGGATGGCAGAGCAGGAAGGGATGGCAAGACTGGAAGGAATGGGTATAAAGATTGAACGAATTTCATTATTACACTCGTTGTGGTCAACTCAAATTGTACTTTCTTACTAGTATCTTTACTTAACAAGATTGTTACTCGTTAGTCTATAGCAATATAGATTGGATTTGTCAATCATCCTTCGGTTAAATCCTATAACTAACTCTTTTCCATACGAATCGCCAGATAACTCCCACGAAGCTGATCCAAAGAGGCTCGCTCGCCCTAACCCGGAACGAGATTAGAGAAGTATCAGCAACCCACCCCGTGTAACAGTTTGCTGCTAACTTCGGCCTTGATATCTGCTGATCGGCATACTTGAGCTTGTGGACTGTTATGATCGCTGTGATGCTTACATAGTAAGCTCTGAACGTCAGGTGACTTGTTGTTTTGAGCTTACCCCTATTCGGCTACCTTGGCAATCGAGAGTATGTCAGCACCGCTGGTTGGTGCATCAGATACGGAGGTGCCAGCCGTGTGGCGATCACACACGAATCAGTTCACCGACCAGCCCCTACCGCTGATGAGTAGGCTTGGACGATTGTATTGAATACCTAGACGTGTATAGGGGCGATAGATATGTTGCGACGGATAGAACTGATGGTGGTGGTCGTATAACTCGTGAGGCGCAGTATTAAGATAGAGCAGGTGTCTTCGCACATCTAACGTCCATCCCTGTGGGTCGAACATCCCTCTGCAACGAACCACCAACACTGCCCAAGCACCTTACGCCCAAGCCGCAGAGACTCTTAGATATAAATACAGATTTGTATGCTTGCTAGATCTACCTCTATCTATCGCAAGCCTTAGATAGTAAAATTACAGCGATCTAAGGGGCATACGTGAGTCTTTCGTGTTAAGCATGGGAAGGTGCAACGCCAAAACACCCCTGTCCTATGTCTTACAGAAGCTCTATTTGCCTATTCGGAGATTCTATATACTTTAGAGTGAGCTAAAGAGCCTCTAGCTATTCTATAAAGATATGCAGCCTCTGTTCAGATGCGCTCCGAGTTTTTCCGGCTCGGTGTGCCAGTCCTTCGCATTAGGGAAGGAATTTAAAACGCTGGCACAGCTGGATTGCGAACGCTTAGCGGCCTACGATGTACACCTGCGCTATGCCAAAAGAGCTGAAGCTGTGGCGCAGAGTTCTAGAAGCTTCCATCGGGTGCTGCGTGTTGCCGGCTATTCTTAGAAGCAGACTGGTGTTGGATTCGGTTGGCTTCGCGCTCGAGGTATCCCTCAGTCACCACAACCACGAACATGGACCCAGCCAGCCAGGCGTTCGCGCAACGTCTGCCTGAGGGTGTGCGTGATACATGTGCTGCTCGATCAGAGCACGGCGATGTCCCTGTCTCAACTCTGATCCACCGTAGGCTTGGACGACGCTCGCGAGCAGAGCAGGCTCAGAGTCAGCAGTACTTGACTCGAGAGGAGGAGAAGGCGCTTGTAAAGTTCCTGCTACTGATGTCTAATCTCGGACAACCTGTGCGCGTTAAGTACCTTCGCTCGTTAGCGTTTAGCATAGCCCGCCAGCGGTCCACGAAGAGCGAGTCGATCAAGCGTCCAGGGAAGAACTGGCCACGAGCGTTCGAGAAGCGTCACCCCGAACTCCAGGCGAGAAGGGTCAGATCGATAGACTGGAAGCGTCACGGAAACAATATATACGAGAAAATAGTAGAGTGGTTCGATGTGATTGGCCAGTACTACAGGATTCATGCGTACTGCCAGAAAACGTGTATAATATGGACGAAACTGGAGTCATGCTAAGCATGCTTGACTCCGCAAAAGTCTTAGTCGGCGAGGACGATCGGCAAGGTAGTAGGGGTGCGGGTGTTAAGCGCACTATGGTTACTGCTATTGAGTGCATCAGTGCTAACGGAAGGGCCCTCCTGCCACTTATTATATGGCCAGCATCGACCCATCGCAGCAACTGGACAACCTACAGCACTCCTGGATGGCACTATGCGCACTCAGAGAACGGGTACAACGACTCTAAGATTAGCTTGGAGTGGCTTAAGCGCGTGTTTGACCCCTAGACACGTGAGGGAGCAGGTGTAAACCCACGAGTGCCGATCTGTGATGGCTTTGGGACTCATGAAACGCTCGAAATCCTAGAGTTCTGCTTTACTAACAATATTATCTTGTGTCGTCTGCCTTCTCACACCTCTCACAAGCTGCAGCCATGCGATGTTGGCCCTTTTGCACCCTTGAAGAGCGCGTATCGTGAACAAGTCGAGCGACTCAACCAAGGAGGCGTAGATGTTGTTGGTAAAGAACATTTCACTTATCTCTATAGCCCTGCAAGAGATCGCGCACTAACCTAAAAGGAACATCAGAGCTGGGTGGTCTGCAACTGGCCTGTTCCCTTTCAACCCGGAACGAGTGCTCAGAGATGTCCCTAAACCTCCAGCGGAAGTAAGCAACATATCAAATCCAGGGACCGAGACTGCGAGTGCTGATATATTGGACGATGTGCCTCGTACGCCTACCACGCCAGTAACACCAGTGACGACAGAAGCGCTTACGTCGCTGCATGATCTAATTACAAAGGACACACACGTGCTTGAAAAGACGAGCAAAGACCGTCTACAGAGACGCATACAGAAACTGGCAAGCGCGGCTAAGGTATCCTTCGCTGAGCAGGCCCTCCTTAAAGATCGTAATCACTTCCTCCTTCAGATCAATCGAGAAGCCAAAACCCGCCGGTCGACAAAGTCGGTAGTTCTAGGCAAGGCTAAGGTGATGAGTTTCTAAGACCTCGAAGAGGCCAGAGCAAAGCGTGCTGCGAAGGAGCACGCTTTAGCAGGCAAGCCGAAGCGCGGGCGTAAGCGCAAGAGCGACGCGCTAGAAGAATCGATGGTCCTGCCGTCGCCAAAGCCAACAGTAGCGCAGCGGATCGATGCGCCTGAGCTAACGCATGCGCCGGTATCTGGATAGAGAGCGCCTGTAGCCAGGATGTACTAGACCCCTTTCTCTAACTCTGTATGATGGATTTCGCGGCGTTGCCCAGGCTGGATAGAAAGGGTATTTCAAGTCAAATTTAAACCTAGATGGTGCTCACAAATATTGTATCTGCGTGACTGCTCTCTCATTTGTCCTGCATCGGAACGGGCAAGCTTTGAGTGCGTCGGTGCTTAGACCCTTGCCAACAGGGGCCTCATGTCCTCGGTAGCTTTCGATGCAGACGCGCTTCAGCCTTGCGAGCAGTGCACGACGCATGCATGGCACGCTTTACATACCCCGCCTGGGGCTTCAAACAGGCTTCAGCACCAAGTCAACAACACAGCGAGAGCCGGCAGCCTCAGCTCGCGACATCTTGACGCATCACAGAATCCTGCTGGTACCTGAGCTGGTGTACCTGCTCATCATTCTCTCTGTATGCTGACCGTCTATCGGTATCTAACAGGAAAGCAGCTAACAAGCAACAAGCGCCCGCGCGACTAGGCTACCAAATTCAACCTTTTGAGTCCTACTCTCATCGCATATACCTACTATACACCCACACGAATCTATGCGGCTCTTACAGTACAGCGAAAGCGGAGAGCTCAGCATCCACAGCTTCGACGATGGCGACATACCCCCTTACGCGATACTCTCACACACCTGGGGCGCAGATGGCGACGAGGTGACCTTTGCAGACCTCCAGACAGGCGGTGGCAAGACGAAGCCGGGCTATAAGAAGATCATCTTCTGCGGAGAACAGGCACGGCGCGACAGCCTCCAGTACTTCTGGATCGACACGTGCTGCATCAACAAGGCCAATAAGGCTGAACTTGCCTTCTCTATCCGATCGATGTTTCGCTGGTACCGCGATGCAGCTCGGTGTTATGTATATCTATCGGATGTCTCTGATCAACCTCTACCAGTGACGTCAGGCGACCACGATTCACGATGGCTTTTGTGGATCTGGATACTCTCTATTCTCTATAGCATGTCGAGATGGTACGGCAGCACGATACAGCGCTACTTCTATTCGCGCAACGTTCCATGCACTTCGGTCGGTAGCGATCCTGTACGACATGAGCAGAAGGCTGAGCTTGCGCTTAAAAATAGCAGATGGTTTACCCGTGGATGGACGCTGCAGGAGCTTCTTGCACCGTCTATAGTAGAGTTCTTCTCTAGAGAAGGGACTAAGCTTGGTGATAAGTTGTCGCTAGCAGAAGAAGTGCGTGAAGTTACGGGTATCCCTAGTCTAGCGCTGCAGGGCGAACCGTTGTCTTACTTTAGCGTTCATGAACGCGTTACCTGGATTGAACATCGCACTACCACGATTCCAGCGGACCGTGCATACTCCCTGATGGGTATTCTCGGCGTCAGCTTGTCCCCGATTAATGGCGAGAATCTAGCTGAAGCTTTGAAGCGGGTTCTAGACGAGGTTGAAAAGCAGAACAAGTGCATCCAAGACTTGTGTCCTAGCAACCCGCGCGATGACAAGAAGCGGATCGAAGAGACTAAAGGCGGGCTGCTTACGGGCGCTTACCGTTGGGTTCTTGACAACGACACCTTCCAGCAGTGGCAGCAAGACCCAGAGAGCCGACTACTGTGGGTGAAAGGCGATCCTGGCAAAGGCAAGACAATGCTGCTGTGCGGCATTATCGACCAACTGCAAAACTTGACGCCGAAACCTACCCTTTTTTCGTACTTTTTCTGCCAAGCGACCGACACACGCATTAATAGTGCCACAGCTGTGCTGCGGGGCTTGCTGTATATGCTTGTGCACCGGCAGCCGTCGCTTATATCGCACGTTCGCAGGAAGCACGACTACGCTGGCAAAAGCTTGTTCGAGGACGCGAATGCCTGGGTCGCCCTGACGGAAATCTTCGCCGATGTGCTGCAAGATGCAGGCCTAGGCACAACGTATCTAATTATTGACGCGCTCGACGAATGCGTGACAGGCTTACTAAAGTTGCTCAGCTTTATCGCGAAGCAGTCGTCTGCGTCCTCTCGCGTTAAATGGATTGTATCTAGTCGCAACTGGCCAGATATTGAGGAAGAACTGGAGCGTGCTGAGCATAAGATGAGGCTTAGCCTTGAGTTAAACGCTGAGTCGGTAGCTGCAGCAGTAGATGTGTTTATCCGGCAGAAGGTGTGTCGCCTAGCCCAAGAGAAGCGCTACACGCCAGAGGTACAAGACGCGGTGCTCCAGCACTTAACGTCGAACGCGAACGACACCTTCCTCTGGGTTGCGTTGGTGTGCCAAGGCCTCAAACGGACGCCGAAGTGGAACGTGCTGAAGAAGCTAGCCCAGTTCCCGCCTGGGCTCGACTCTCTGTACAAGCGGATGCTGCAGCAGATTAGCGAGTCCGACAGCGCTGATAGGTGTCTGCGGGTACTGGCAGTGACTGCTGTCCTATATCGACCGATCACAGTTAGTGAGCTAGTTATATTAACTAAGCAACTTGCAGACCTTATTAATGATCTAGAGTCCGTGCGGGAGATTATCGGTCTCTGCGGATCATTTTTAACGCTGCGAGACGATACGGTATACTTTGTACATCAGTCAGCTAAGGACTTCCTTATTACGAAAGCGTTAAACGACGTCTTTCTAGATGGTATAGAGTGTGTGCATCAAGATATCTTCGCGCAATCACTTATAATTCTGCACAAGACACTGCGCAGAGATATATACGGCCTTCAAGCGCCTGGATATACTATAGGAGATGTTAAGCCACTTCTTCCTGATCCTCTAGCCGTGTCGCACTACCCATGTGTGTACTGGATTGACCACTTCTGCGACTCAAAACCCAGTGCTACTAATCAAGAAATCACTAGGGCTATAGACGCATTTCTTGAGCAAAGATATCTCCACTGGCTAGAAGCGCTCAGCTTGTGCAGAAGCATGGCCAAAGGGGTAGTCTCGATGACAAGGTTATGGGATCTAGTCCAGGTAAGGCTAACACAACTACATCTGTACACGGCCTTCACAGTGTAGTTACTAACGTAGCTAGGGACTTGGAGACACTGACGTATTGAACAAGATCGTGTACGACGCACGGCGGTTTATTATGTATCATAAGGAGGCGATCGAGAACTATCCTTTGCAGGCATACGCATCTGCTCTGCTGTTCAGTCCAGCTGATAGCATAGTAAGAAGGCTGTTCCAGCACGAAGAGCCAAGAGGAGTAACGATCAAGCCCGCTATGGGCAACGGCTGGAGTGCATGTCTGCAGACGCTCGAGGGCCATAGCGGTGATGTTACCTCGGTGGCCTTCTCGCACGACTCGACCCGGCTAGCGTCAGCGTCAAGGGACAGCACTGTCAAGATCTGGGAGGCGAGCAGCGGGACGTGTGTGCACACGCTCGAGGGCCATAGCAGTCATGTTACCTTAGTGGCCTTCTCGCACGACTCGGCTCGGCTAGCGTCAGCGTCAAGGGACAGCACTGTCAAGATCTGGGACGCGAGCAGTGGGGCGTGTGTGCACACGCTCGAGGGCCATAGCAGTGAAGTTAATTCGGTGGCCTTCTCGCACGACTCGACCCGGCTAGCGTCAGCGTCTTTTGACAGCACTGTCAAGATCTGGGAGGTGAGCAGCGGGGCGTGTGTGCACACGCTCGAGGGCCATAGCAGCTATGTTTGGTTGGTGGCCTTCTCGCATGACTCGACCCGGCTAGCGTCAGCGTCTTTTGACAGCACTGTCAAGATCTGGGAGGCGAGCAGCGGGATGTGTGTGCACACACTCGAGGGCCATAGTAGCTATGTTACCTCGGTGGCCTTCTCGCACGACTCGACCCGGCTAGCGTCAGCGTCTTTTGACAGCACTGTCAAGATCTGGGACGCGAGCAGCGGGGCGTGTGTGCACACGCTCGAGGGCCATAGCAGCTATGTTCGGTTGGTGGCCTTCTCGCATGACTCGACCCGGCTAGCGTCAGCGTCTTTTGACAGCACTGTCAAGATCTGGGAGGCGAGCAGCGGGACGTGTGTGCACACATTCGAAGGCCATAGCAGTCATGTTACCTTGGTGACCTTCTCGCACGACTCGACCCGGCTAGCGTCAGCGTCAGAAGACGGGACTATCAAGATCTGGGAGACGAGCAGCGGGACGTGTGTGCACACGCTTGAGGGCCATAGCAGTCCTATTACCTCGGTGGCCTTCTCGCATGACTCGACCCGGCTAGCGTCAGCGTCTTTTGACAGCACTGTCAAGATCTGGGACGCGAGCAGCGGGACGTGTGTGCACACACTCGAGGGCTATAGCCATTTTGTTACCTCGGTGGCCTTCTCGCACGACTCGGCTCGGCTAGCGTCAGCGTTAAGTAACTATACTGTCAAGATCTGGGACGCGAGCAGCGGGACGTGTGTGCACACACTCGAGGGCCATAGCAGTGAAGTTAATTCGGTGGCCTTCTCGCACGACTCGGCCCGGCTAGCGTCAGCGTCAGAAGACGGGACTATCAAGATCTGGGAGGCGAGTAGCGGGACGTGTATACACACTCTTAATGTTGGCACGGCTCTTGACAGCTTATCCTTTGACTCTACTAGCACTTCCCTTTACACAAACATTGGAATCATCGCTATCCCTCCTTTCCAGGTTTCTACCAGCACAGACATGGCAGCATCAAAACCACAGTACCAAAATGTTAGTCTAAGTCTAGATATGGTTTGGATTGTGCGCGCCGGAAGCAATGTACTGTGGCTACCATCTGAGTATCGACCGTCAAGGTCAGCCGTGAGTGGGGCTCTGGTAGGCATGGGAGTAGGATCAGGGAGGATATGGTTTTGTGAGGTGAAGTAGATAAAGAATCACAATTAATAGAAGCATATTTGCAGTACTTATGTGTCTCTCTCTAGCCGATTTCTAAGGACAGGCAGCAGGTGACCGTGCACGTAAATAGTGGTTAGACGAAGCATCTGGAGCTTTGCGCCACAGCCTAATCCATTTTGGCATAGCGTACGTAGGTGTATATTGCAGACCGCTAAGCTTTTAATACTGGCTGTGTCAGCACGCTAAGCCTTTTCACTCAGTCTGATGAAGTGGCACGTCGCACCGGAGCAACTCGGAGAGCACTTAGATCAGGGCTGCACACGTTTCTAAGAGCGAGACTGTATTATACCGCTATTTAAGTATCCTACAATGGCTCCGAAAGATTAAGCGATAGCGTTACTTAAGAGAGAGCAGGGGTGTTTTAATATTGCATCTTCTATGCCAAAGATAAGAAGCTTAAGAATACAAGCTACAACGCTGTAATTTTACTATATAGAGCTTGCACTAGGCAGAGATAAAGGTAAAGAATACGACCTTATTAACTTGACCCTATACGATTGTGTAAGGTGGGTATAACATGGTTGAACAACATTCGTGGTTCGTTGAGGGGGGATGTTCGACCCGCAGGGACGGACGTTAGAGGGAAGGTATCTACTACATGACTGTAATTTTTGTATTGGTGGGCATGCATCAACTCAGAATCAACCCTAATACATACCTGGGTAGGCCAACATGATTTTTAGGATGGTTGCAGGCTATGATATTACTGCAAAGTCAAAGTACCTGTAATTTTGTCCGTTACGGCGGTTGTTCCGTTACGAAGGGATGTACGTTAGTTAGTTACTCGCTCAACAAGACGAAAGAACAACGAGATTGCATGTCGATTAGTAATTATGGTAACGAGTTGTTGCGACTGCCACCTATGTTGCGCTGACGGGCGTGTTCGAGTCGGTCTTGCGCCTATACAACATTGAGGCCTCTTTGGGCAGGGACTTGTTTTGTGTTCTCTGGGTTGCCGTTGCCTTTTCCGTCGCATCCGGCTTCTTCTGGCTGCCGAGTGTTTGCTTTTGCTCTGGCAAATGAACCCTTGTCTTGGCACTGCTATTTTGGGGTTGGTTGTGTGGCTGGCTGTGTTTAAGCCATGATATGGAATAATTAGGGTATATGCTAGGCATCTTGCCTTCCGTCGCGTGCCTCCAACCCGTATAGAAGTAGCATATGTGGGTAAAGTGATAACATGTTATGGAAGTGCAGTGTACCCCTCGTGTAGCCATGTTAATGCATTTGACTACATCTCTGCTAGTGAAGTAGAAAGTGAGCGCGATGCTGCGGTGTCGTGTTAGTAGCCGTAATCGTGAGCAGCGCTACCGAGTATTGCTCTGCTGATGCATGCATATCTTGCTGACGAGGTTCATGCGGTCGTCAGCAGCTTACAGGTACCAGGTCAGTCTGGAATTCCACCAGTCTGAAATTCCACCAGTCTAGAACTCCGTTGGCCTGAAATTCCGTACATGTGGAATTCTGTGAATGTGAAAGTCCAGACTAACGGAATTCCAGACTGATAGAATTCCAGACTAGCGGAATACCCGAACTCTGGAATTCCATGCCAAGGTTACTACTGACGGGGATGTTTACCTAGGCTTGAGGGCATGGCTCTGGACTGTTGTTAGATTTGGGGCTGGAACTCTATGTCATTGTACACGATAGTATGATGTCGCTGTGGGGTAAGTTTGGCGATGTTGCTTTGTCGTTGTCGAAATGACAGAGTCCGAGAAAATGGTGCTCAAGTGCCCCCGACTGATCTGTGCAAACACACAGTGCCCCAACGGAGATCTTGCTATTGCTTTGCCTTGCATCACCAAGACACTCATTCTAGCATTGCTGCACGCAGAACACAAGTGGGATGTTCACATCATTGGCTATTTGCTAGAAGATAACAAAACCAAAGTGGTCTCTAACATTGATACCTCGTCTTCCATATTCCGTTGCAGGATCTAAGCAAGCAACAGGCTCGCACGTCGTCTTGCATTCTCGAAGATTTTCCGGTACTATCTAGACATCTCATTCTCTCCCAAGCATGATATTGCTGTCAGCAATTCAACATGATCTTCTTATCGGAAATAACAACTATAATGGTATCATACAAGGTGTGCATTCACCAGACACAGTCTAATTGGGCCGCTTGTAAAACATCTGGCATAATCGTGTAAAATACGCCAGCTACATCCAGTACTGTAGTAACAAAAGCAATTTGGCGTGGTGGTACTTTGTCTGGGTATAATGCATGTCTTGTAAATACATGCTGAAACTTTTGCTAATTGTAATGAAGCGACTGTTTCGTGCCGAGAAGCCTCGCATAGATCATACTCATAACCAAGTGCTGCTTTGTTAGCTACGTTCCTCTTGCTATCGCGCCCAGCTACCCATTGTATATTGTCCAGTATTCGCGCCCCGTAATCAGCTGTCATAGCATGTAGAAGTAGGCCCTACATAAGGAGCTCGTCCGCTATTCTGTTAAGATCCATTTTTGACACGTGCCACGGCTCTTTTGCATGGAAGTAAGCCTGTCACATTGGGTATATTTCCGATTCCTGGACAGATCTCAGAACTATCAACGACGTAAGCATGCTAGTATAATCCTTGTTAGATAAGCACACATTCCGCTAATGCCACCGCTCGTGTTGATACGTGGATGCCGTTGTAATTCATACCAATAACTCAAAATTACGCCAGTAATATCACACAAACCGCTCTTCAGTCGATGAAACGTGGGCGCGAATCGAGCGTCCTGTATTTACAATCAGTATGGGAAAACAAGCACTGGGCCAAAGACTCTGCCGACAAAGAAGTTTTAAAACATCCCACCGCGAATGCCTCGCCTCAATTGCCTGCCTCCATACAGAATCGATCAATATATGGTCACATCTGCTTGCTACTCTTTGGTTCTTCGCAAGCATATGTCGTTTTGCTGGCGGACTCGAAATTCCATACACTACAAGTACCGCTGCAACACTCTTTTACCTTGTAGCCAATATCGTTTGCTTTGCATGCTCAACTTTATACCATGTGTTTGCCAATCATGCACGAGCAAACGCTTACCAGTACATGGATCATCTCGGAATCACCGCTGTAATATGGGCCTCCTCCATATCTCTTACAACACTATCTTTTGAATCGCATCCAAAAGAACAGTGGATGCATGGCATATTAATAAGTATAGTGGCTGCGCTTTGCTTCCTATATCTATTATGTGGCTCGCAGTATGGTAGCTCCGATCGACAAAATCGGATATACATACACACAGTCCTAGGTAGCCTTGCAATGCTTTCTGGTTTGCGAAATTGGCAAATTCGCTGGGCAAGACATCGATCCGGCCAGCTCTTCACGGACTTTGCGATCATGGTTCTCTTCAATGGTGTAGGGGGTGCGATCTATGCGACTCACCTCTTGGACAAAACACTAGGGACAAAACTCGGCACTCTTGACATCAGCCACAACGCTATGCATATCCTATTCATCGTTGGATCAGTTGTCTACGAGCAGAGCTTGATGCGCACTTACCACGATATGCTCGATGAGTGAATGCCATGGAAATGAGTCATACATGAAGTGCTGGAAATAGGCACGGAGTTACGCAGGCAACAGACGGCACGAACTAGCACATTGTTGACTACCTCAAAGTATCGTTATACCATTCGTATGTAGCCCCCGGATTTGGTGGAATGGGGTTTGCTATTAGCTCATTTGGAATAACATCATCCACTGGCAGATGACTGTGCTCATAAAATCCCGTCATGCGCGCAATACTGAGACGCTGTTCTGCTACGCTTGCCGAGCTACACCCAGTTTTCCAACATTCCAATGACCAACGAAAGCCAAGGGATCAATGAGGCAGATACCAACAAACCCACTGTGACAACGTGAATCTCCCATTCATCCATAGGTAGCCAGTCGCTGTAGCTACGTAATTTGACAACCACGGTATCCAGCAGCCCATAGCACAGGGAAACAGAAAGTCAAATAGTACAACCGTCTCGGCGAGGCAGGCTTTTCGGGCACATGGGATTGACGTTGCTTCATGCTGGGAGGCACCAATATCCCATTCAATTCAAGTCAATCTGAGAAATAATCACACGATATGCGTAGTTGATTGGAAGGCTACCTATGGATTTATTAGGATATGCTAGAAAGCAGACGAAGAGAGGAGAACACTAGATTAAACCCTCGACTTCGTAAATCGAGCTTGGAGCTCTTCGATTTGTTTCTGCAAATCTGCAATCTCTACTTCCAGCTGCGCCTTCTTCTTAGGCTTCTCCTTCTTGACGTGCACGTTTTCTCCCTGTAGGTCACCTTTATCATCGAGTACCATCCCCTTTTCCACTAGCATCTTCTCGACCGCAGGGACGAGCTCAGCAAACGACTTAACAAAGGGGATATCATAGCGGCGACAGGTCAGCTCCACATTACCGCATTTCCAGTACTCTTCGCCGCAGCACACGACGATCTTGTCCGAGCCCGCCCAGAGACCCAGCTCGAGTAGTGAGACAGGGCTCTTGGTACTGACATCGAAGTAGAAGCAGATGACGTCGACCTGCTCGAGCGCAGTCAGCTCCCACTCCACCTGCGTCTTGAAATCCTTGTCGCGCGCGAGCGGCGTGATTTTGGTGTTCCAATGGCCTCGACGCGGATTGCAGACGGTAATGGGGAGGTGGGAGAGTAAATTGGTCATATGCTTTTGCCATTGAACGGCGTTGCCCATTTCTATGCTGCTGGCGGTGAAGACACTGAACTTGCGGTATATGGGCGCATTAGGCGGCATGCAGTGTACAAAGTCCCTGTGTCGTGTAGGCAGTGGCGAGGGTAGAGGAGGAAGCTGGTTGTTTACATCTTTGACATATCGATCGATGTCTACGCTTCCTGATGTGTTGGCTACGGAAGTCATGGTGGTGTTTTGCTCTTTTTCTGGGAACTTTGTCGTCTTGATTGTCTCTTCGCTCGATTTGCTACCCGTTCTGTCTGTTCTGGGTCTTTTTTTTTTCTTCCAAATTGATTCTTATGTCTTCCGTAGCGGGATCATAGATCTGCTACTGTAATTTCCTTTTTGTTTAATAGAAGAACCACGGGGAATACTAAAGTTACCACAGGCGGTAGGAGTGTGTATCGTGATAGAGATGATTGGAAACCTGATTGAAAAAGATTAGTCATTGGTTCCTAGCAGGTTGAATCAATCCTTGAATAGTGCGGATGATCATACTTAGTTATATTGCACTCAGCTGTTCTGAAAATAGGTTCGCAACAACCACGCAAGTGTGGACTAGCTGCGCTAACAACTGTTATCCAATCTTTGTGGATGGCAAACTTATGATTGCTGGAAAGGGTATCTTGATTTCCACATGTATAATAACTCGACTTTTTATCTAAAAACAACATGATCCGTGCGTTCGAATTAAGCAAAGAGTATTAACCCGTTCCGTATGAGTGCAATGCACGGTTGCTCATCTACGAATTAGCTCAGGGATGTATAAAGCTGATTTGATGACCTCCTATGCAGTAATTGAGCATAGGCAGCCATTTGGAAAGGCTAATGCAGTATTCGGCTGTGCCAGTCTCCCCGTACGAGGTCTGTGTACTACATCTATGGAGATGATCACCTATCAGGTGTAAGCAGTATGCAACAAGTCACTGCAGACATTAAACATCCCAGCACCCTGGCAAGGCGTCCCGTGAGGCTAGATCAGTTAGGAGTGACTCATACCGCCTTAGTCTGCCCCTGGAGAAGTTGAGACGGCTTCGTTGGCACACACGGGCTATACCTACCTGGCTCTCGCTGGTGACATTGTCGCTAGTGAGATGTTAGAGGTAAAGCTAACTGCGGTCGCGATGACATATGATACCGTTGCGGAGGCGCTGAGAACCTTTATAGCTAGCGCAAGCGGCAGAGCGGCCTTCAAGGCAGTGGGCATGGCCTGGCTGAGTATTGTGAGGTTGACCTGTCCAAGATTGACCCGCCCAAGGTAAAGTGCCTTCTATACCACTCGTAATGATACTGCACCGCCACAAAGCGTTGAATTCTGTGGCTGGCCAGTTCGTGTAGACGCCCATGATTGCCGTACCTAATGCCGCGAGTGAAAAAGAATCAACTATCTTGCAGCGATCATTTGGTTCAGGTACGTTATCGGGCTTAAATGGTATAGGAGGGACCAGCAGTCAAGCTGAAAGATTTATTTAGATCTAAAGGGCGATGACTAGAAATATCCCAAGCGAACAAGATGCCTATTATGGTGTGGTGGCACGTGAGCAGACTGACAGTACATATTGGGGTTTCTTTTCGGGATCGATAAGTACCTTTTTCGGTCAATTGATAGCTATCGATTACTTCTCAGTTTCTTGGCTGCTTTGTTGCGGGTCCCCCCTTGATCCTTTGCGCTCAACTACCTATTGTGCTACACTATCTACATGAAAAAGAAATCTAATCTATAAAAACAATCTAATGAAATAATACTAGAACGAAATAGATATCGCATAACGACACAAACAGCAGGATGCACTTTCGGAAAGGGTTTACAGGAGTGAAATGGAGCAATGTCTAACTGCGCTCACGTGCGGCCGGTAGACATAAACATTGGATACTAAAAAGGAAAACATAACAGTGCCAAACAAACCACGCCAGACGATTACGTATGAGTTTGCTGTTTCGATGGCATGACGGCCTTCTCCAGCTTCTTCAGTTGCAAGTTCTTGTCCTCAATCTCCTGTCGCAGTCGCTTAATCTCTAAGCGCATATTGCCGATGTTGTGGTCGTCAGAGACAACGCGCTTACGCTTAGAGCTGATGTACTCGTTATCGTGGTGTTGCAAAGGTTGGTTGCAAAATGACTCTGAGGCAGAGCCTTCCATCTCACGATGAACTATGTCACGGCGTATGACGAGGTCATGCGGATCTGCTGATATGGACGTTCTCCTATGAACACGGCGGACATGCTCCGCCAGGTTCTCTTTCCGCGTGAATCCGGAGCCTGAACTACGTTTGCAGCCAGGAAATGGGCAGAAGAGGATCTTTTTGGTGCCGCCGTGCATCTTGTGTACCTCGCGCTCGTGGCGAAGGAGGCCGCCACTGTAGGTGAATCCTTGGAGCTTTTCGCAACCCTTGGCATTGCACTTGTAGGGACGATCATGCGTGTCCATGTGCCTGCTGCATATAAACATTAGTAAATGATGATTGCCAAAGATAAGTGAGCTTATATGGGACAAAGATTACTTACTTCCATTCACATTTTCGAACAAACGTAATGGAGCACTCTTGGTGTTGGCATATCATCTTGCCGTCCGCATTGCGCGGTGGCTCTTCGGCGCGTTTGTAGCTGTGAGTCTTCCGCGGGAGTTTATCGTCATCACCATCTTGAGGGGAGTCTATAGAAAGGCTTCTGCTGTGGGACTTTGGATGACAGGCTGTTGCTGGTGGGCTACGTTTGACTTGGGGAGATTTCATACGAGATGATGGGCAGTCTGAATCGACTGCACTAGGCATATCTCCGTCTTTTGAATGAATCGAGGTGTCCCGCTTGCCTTGGTGTGGAGCGAGCAGGATCGCGATTGATAGGTCTTGTTAGGATAGTAGGAGAGTATGGGAAGAGAATGAAAACATGTCACACGATCGAGTGGTGTCAACAACAATATATACCTAGCGGCGAGGCCGCTGTGAGGCGGATTGCAAGGCTTTTTTGCGGAATGTCAGGCACACCATACCCATATATCATGGAGGAGCGGAGGCGCAGTCAGGACTACGTCGGCGCATAAACAGGCAACAATGCTTGATGTGCCTGTGTTCAAATGGTACAAGGGCTTGTTAGTACCTTCCTCATTGGTTCATCTGCTTTTTTCATCATTAGGCTACAATAAAAAGGAGACTGTGCAGCGCATGAAATGAGTATATAAGGTGAATAGCCACCCTGTAGCGGTAGCTTTCTTCTCATCTTAACTGTTTCGCTTGCGCAGATTACTAGTAGGGTTGGTTGAATTCCAGCTTTGCCAGATGCTTGTTTTGTTCCAACTGCGGTCAGTACAATTACGTAGGTTCGATGAAGACGAAGTCACGGATGGCTATTGTTTGGCGTGGATGCATATAGCATAAGCGTTGAATAAATGAATGGGGATGCAGAGCAGAACGAGCAAGAAATAGCATAATACAATCCAAAGTTGATAGAGCCACTATGTAGCACAAATCGCAGCGCGGCCGTGCTGTGTGTACAGAGTGTGTTCACTTGTTATCTAAACAACGATACACTAATTAGTTGATTGGTTAGCTCACTTGAACTTGTGGGTTGCCGGTATCATTGCGCTACTTACCCAGTTAATTCAATCATATAGTTGTTAATTAGTCGACCAACCGACTAACTAATTAGTCACAGCCTTTTTACTCACATGGAGATAGACGATACTCTTTTTCAAGAGTATGTAGCTCAATAGCATTCAACTGGCCATTACGATGAATTTGATTAACTAGTTAGTGTTAAGAGTAAGTCTTCATCCCTCTCTTCTCTCATATCTTGCGTGGTGTCCCTCTGTTCAGGTTCGTAACAGGTAGCTAGTATATCGTGAACTTAATTGCGATGTAGCCACAATTGTCTGTAGATTGAACATTTGCTTTTCTCTATTGTCAACATCATTAACTACATAACCACGATTAGTTCACTAAAGCCTAGTTATATCTACTTATGTTGTAGAAATTGACTAAGTTAACTCAATGATGGATCAATTGTGAGTTGTGATGGATTAAAACTGGAAAGATGGATCAAAACCTGGGGTGAGCGCTCAAGTCGGAAACCGAGCGCTACTATCGGCAACAGTAAATAGTCCAGCACCTCAGAGCTCTAAGAGAGCAGAGAGAATTTGATCAATTCTCTCACCCCAATAATCTTATCAGTATCTCGCACCTCCAACAATTTATGTATCATGCTTTTACGAACAAACAGGAGGGACTCCTCTTCGCAGGTTCCTATGAAAGGTTGCCGAGTCAACCTAAGGGAAACAAAGGTGTCAAAGGACGCCCGGGAAGTGATCAGCGCGGGGTGCGCAGATCACTTGACGTGCCATCCCACCAAGACAGGACATCCCGCCAAGCATGGGATGGCCACAGGATCTGGGATGGCTGACCATCCCAAACATCCCGCCAAGACACGGAAAGATGGGATGGACAGGATGGCAGGACGGTAGCAGCGATAATATAAGGATGGATGGATTTCATTATTACTCTCATTGTGGTCAACTCAGAATAGTTCATTTCTTACACAGATTGATACTAGTTATTCTATGTTAGTATAGAATTGATTGATTATCTTTTGGTTAAATCCTGTAACTCTTCTCCACACGGTACTACGACAATCGCACGGCTTACCGCTTAAGTCTACTCGCCCTGACCCGGACCGAGATCAGAGAAGTATAGCCCAACCCCGTGTAACACATGCTAACAGAACTAGGCTTACTCTAGAAGCCATAGTCTAATAATGTGTTTCATTCCAATACGTGTTTTTCTGGAGAGCTATTCAGTCACACTAATTTGTGTCCAGTACTTTTTTTTCGCAGATGTAACGGATTGGACTCGACTGAATGCTATGCCAAGGGTCATGCCGGGTGTAACGAGATTGTATTTGATAGAGGGCAATAAATATCTACTCACGAGCTTATACCTAAGTGCCGATCGGAGAAACATGTTCTCCCGTTGATCTAAGCGTTCTGTCTGAGCGCTGGGTCCGAATTCGGTTCGGGTGTTAGGACCTACACATGGATTTTGTGATCGCGCACTGAGATATTACCGGGGAGCTCTACTAAAGGACGTGTAGCCCGTTGAAGCAGAACTTTTATCCCTACCGCCTACGATCAACCCCTAGTTACTGTAATCTATGAATAAAAATCTTCTTACCTAGCTGTGGCAACGATAAAGACGGCCAACGTACGTAAGACGTTTGAAACACGCTGGACCGTACAACTACTCGGGTCTATGACACTTATGCTTACGGTGTAAGCACAGACGATAATCTCACTATAAAAAAGGTATAACTAAAGGATATCCCATTCTTAACATTGTATCCTAATTCTCCTTCCAGCAACATCGACGGGAAGTTTAGAGTTCAGATTGTTCGCAACTGCGCCAGTGCAATAGGCCTGCAGTCTCCGTGCATTCCTATCACTAACTATTCCAGTATTATCACAAATTATCAAACGTTGTATCTGCTAGCTTCATTGGGATATATAGAAAGATCAGTGATTGCCGTCGCGCTTTTAAAATGGGCGTCACAGCAATCATAAGCGCAGGTCCTGCCCTGGACAATCACCACAATGCCTGCGAAGAGAGATTGGAAGACCGCTTCTCGTCATGTTGCAGCGAGGCAGTGTTTGAAAGATTTCTAGTTATACACAGCTCTTGGCAGCTATCTTCTGTACAACAGTTTCTACTACATAACCTTAATCAGTAACATCAATTGTCATTCATAACTGCCTTAAGATGTGCTTCAGTGAATGGGTTTTGTGCCACAGCCAGTAGATCTTTGATTGCATTGGCTCTTTCGTTGTCTGCGTTGGTTACTTGTCGACTTTGTTTTGCTGCGCCAGCAACCATATTTTGAAGATCCAGTAGTGGAACTTGCTTGGCACTTATAGTTCTGTACAGATGAAACCATTCTGCGCTGTGTGTGATGTTGTGAATCGCGCACCCCTGTTGTTCGTGATCCGCCCCACATCCCCATCCTCCTTCAAAGAGGACTGGATACAGGGATTTGTATACGCTTTCTGTGTCTTTGACGATACGCTCTGGGTTGGCTTCTTCCCATAATGACCAATCAATCAAAACTACGTCAGGCATCAATGGCGTCTGTCTACCTGGATAGCGAAGCATGAAATTCTCGCGATTAACATCTGCATGTACAATACAGCACTTCTTATGAAGGAAAAGGCATGCGTTAGTGACTTGGTCAACCATGTGGAACGCCAGCTCCTCGGAGAGAGGTTGTTGCTTTGCCTTACTAGCTAAATAGAGTTTCTCCAGTGTCAAACCAGACATTACAGGCTCCATACTGTACCATGGTGTCTCCGATATGCTGTAACTCAACATCTTGACAAAGTTATAGTGGACGTTCTCTTCCATGTAGGTCCAAACCTTCTTCATAGCTTTGATGTCCTTGACTATGTAGCTAGCACTAGCTTTGATACCAGACGGGCACAGCGGGTTGCAGGTCTTTACGGCCTGTATCTTCTGTAGGCCCCCTGCACTGTCGTATTTAGACGTATCACTTGCTAGATTAGACTGCTCGACCAAGAAGTCAGATTTTAGAATAGTATAAAAGACAATGCCAAAAAATCCCACGCCAGCAGTGTTCAGAAGCTCTCATGCGTCAACTCCAGCTATGGCAGTCTCGTACACCAAAAGCTTTCCCCAAGATAGCAAAGCAGGCTTTGTTGCTCGTGTGGTCTATATCAATATATCATTCTATTCTGTCATGGCAGAATGTTTGGAATGGCTTGGTTCAGCCTATTCAAACTGCAATTGATTAAAGTTGATAACTACATAGAATCGATTGCACAACTACTTCACGTCTAGCCCAAGGTTCACCATTTGCTGACTACGTTGTGATTGAAAAAAAGCAGCCAATTTTGTTATTTTATAAAGTGGGAATGAGCGGTTAACTAGTATGTATCCATCGTTGGCGCGCGACGCTGGTGGCACTGTGAGTACAGAAATGCATCAGTAACCTGCAGGGTATTTAATTCCCCACGACTTGAGAAAACGTCATCTCCTACAGCTTCGTCGCAGCACGGACTCAAAGAGCAATGTTATCAGCGACAAAGTTAAGCTTAAGGTCAGGTTGAAACCTGCAAGCGGCACGGTAGTCCGGCAACATCTCGCAATGCACTGCAGCCCTCTACATGCCACGTAGTCGGGAACAATTCGTTAGTAGCTGGCGTGACTTTAGAAATGCACATCTTGGGATGCAGAACACGAATTCGAGCTGTTGGGCCACATCCTGGTTGATTGGTTCTTGTTCATCGATGAGCAATCACGTGACTGTGGCGCCGTGGGAAGGATTGCGGCACAGCGGTTCAAGCTACGTCCACGGTACTTGCATACTGCACGTGGGTGTAATCAAAAGTGCAAGCATTGTGTAATCATGAAACGGCAGTACGATGCCGCAACATGGTAGCTAGAGTGAAGTAGAGGAAACATCGACTTGCTCTATATAATCCAGCATATTGAAGAAGCTAGAGATGTGCCCGATAGGATTCTGTATTCGCATGTTAGATTCGGAAATCGTTGGCATTTTGAAGGGAAAACACGAGTGTTGAATCATGTTGTCAGATAAGTGGCAGAATCCGGGTGGAAACTCGATCACCTGGATTCTGTGATCCCAGCCAATCAGGGCTGATCGCCAAGACCCATCCCTAGGCGAGGCTGATACTCAGCCGTCTACCTGATGCAAAAAGCAATAGCGACAGAGCTCATAAGGCGGCGCACCTGCGCGCCGCTGGAAAAAGAACAGCGATCAACACAATCAATTTCTATCATCAAGTTTATCACAGTCTTTTATCACAGTGATCTAAATCAATCCTTGATCAGAAACCCTAACAGTCTGACACATGTATGCTTGGGAAACTCATTAAGGAGGTTCAATTTATTTTGATCACCTGATATGTTCTTGGCTCATATGGCGGGGTAATCTAAACATACAGCCTGGTAACTCACTCCCTCTCTGCTATACTCGTCTCTCGTCCTACAAATATCATCGATGGTGTTGCCTGATATCTACCCATCCCCAGGCTCGCTTGACCTAGGGCAGCTTGTCCAGGATCGCCTCAAGAGGGTGAATCAGCAGTTTCCAGCCTTGGCTCCAACGACGCTTGAAGACTTCCGCAGAGTAGCAGATGAGCTCTCCACTATCTCTGATGTATGTCAAGCAACTATAAAGAGACTAGCAGCGCAGGATGGGGTGTACGATGCAACCAAAGCACTTGACGAGACTGAACGTGCCCTTGACTGGGCTGTGTGTATGAGTCCTACCAAGAACGTTAGAAGCAGCACTAATCAGAGTTATTTTAGTTCTATCTCAAGTCAAAGTAGACCATGTGCCTGCTCAACGGGCCCTTCTCTTCCGCGCCCACAACCAGCCTGCTACGGATCACCCTGGAGTGTACATATCAGCTGCTCAGAAGATACCGTTTAATGACGAATATCGGCAAAAAAGTTCCGTGCAAGGATTTATCAAATCCCTCGGAAGGCACTTAGGAAAGAAAGTAATAGAAGCTAGGTGTCAGACTGTGAGGGTTTTTTCTAATCAAGGACACGTTGTACTGTGAAAAAAGACTGTGATAATTGATGGTGGAAATTGATGGTATTGATTGATCTGATCTTGTTCAGCGGCGCGCCTGCGCGCCGCCTTATGAGCGCTATCGCTGTAACACCGGGAGTATGAGGTGTGGCTCATATATCGGCCCTACCTAGGGTGCGCGTGGCGCTTGGCTCTGATTGGCTGGAATCATAGAATCCGGGTGCTCGATCACACCTGAATTCTGTCACTTATCTGACACTAGGATAGGAAAGCGGATGAAGACAAAGTTCACCTCAACAAGTACGAGGTTGGAATGGACCCTCCACTTGACAGGAAAAAAGTCAAGGGAACTACAGGAGCAAGTTAACTTCATGATCTTCGATGTTCAAGTGCTGTGTCAAACGCCAAAGACTACTGTGTTTCGTGTTACGGATCTGCTCCGATTTCTTGAGGCGAGTGGGCAGGCGCATCTGATTCCCGCAGAGTACCAGCAGTGGGCCAGAAACTGCGACGAGTATATTATTATGGGCAGCGGAATAGAGAGTGGCATTGTTCAGATGATTCCTTGGGTAGAAATTCGATGCGCGCCAATCATCAACTACCCATTCGGTGACGCATACACACTGTCCACCTACGAGCAATTCCGAGACAATCTTATGGATGGAAGACCATACACAGAATACAAAGAAGCATGTAAGATGGTTGTTTTGAGTGCTAAGAAGATTGCTGGGCAGAAAGCAGAAGATATAGAATTCGTACAACACCTTGTCAATCTCGTTCTGAAGCCAGGGCTGTGGTTTTGGGGCATTAAAGTCAGTGGGGGTGACACAGAAATATGGGAGGGTTGTGAGGAATTACTTGGAGATGGAATTGCTGCAAAATTGAGTCAAGTGTCAGTGTAGTACATCACATCAGATGTAGTCAGATGTTTGTGTACGGCCATACTCAATAACGTAAGAATGGAGGGAAGACGGCAAGAGGCTACGCTTAGGAACCGGATGTGCGGGTATACTAAGACTGTATTGGATAGAGGACTAGTATTTTCATTTCCATTATTACATCAAAGTCTATCTGCAGTCAGGGACTATGTGACATATTAGCTGAAGACCGTTCTAGATATAGTCTATTCAAAGTGAGGGCATTATATCAGCTACGTTAATCAATCAAACCAATCTGCCCCTGAGGCCAAGGAAATTAGAGCTTGTAACCACTCAAGGAAGAAAGCCGTCACCGCGTCCACCAAATATACTAGAACATCAAACCCACTGTATCCTCAACTCTATCCTAATAGTCATCCCTTAAAGAATCAACCAATTTTTCAATTTGATGTCCCGCGCTCTGCGTCCGTAGGGTCATTATCTTCTAAGGCCTTAAACTAAGGTCCAGCACTTAAGGTCAATCCTTGGGACCTGATAAACTATTATATCTCATAATTGTAATTAGGCTGATGTTTCGCTCGTCTATCTTGATACAAGCTAACGGCAACGTACCCTAACTTATGCGCGTCCTTAAAATCTGGATATCTGAATAAGGTGCATCCCTAGGTACGGAGACATACCCCGTGATGAGATAGGCTAGCTGATGAATCAGTTACAACCAGGTGCAACAAGAAAGGAAGTGGATAGACAGGAGAGGAATGGGAGAAGCTACAAGTAAATAGATGCAAGTATTCTGTCTACTTGACGAGCTTGCTGTTCGTGGCGTTGGGAACACCGACCACCAACACTGTGTTAGCAACGAATGAGAGCTTCCTTATCCACAGATACTATTTGGACCACGAGAACGAGATGAGAGGTATCATGGACGCTAAGCCAACCATCCGGATCATGTCTCCGTTCAAAAAAACTAATTTAATACAGCAACAGCGATTGCAAAAAGTTCGTCATGCTGATTGGTAAACAACACGTCCGATTGTACAAGATCAGGTGGAGGCTGACCCGCCTCGGATCTCCCTGCCTGCATTGATCGCAGTGTACGAGGTCTGACTCTATTGTTGTCATAGATAGAGTGGGCGCATGGCTTTTCTATAGCTGTTCTACGCTCTCATTCCATCAACCCTTTGGAGGGAAGTGCCGGCATCACTAAGATTGCTGTTGACAACAAATGTTCTTTCTTATTCAATGTTGAATCTGTGCATCCAGACACTCACTTACGAACCACGGAACCCACACCTCCTTCACCCAGATCCCCACTGCTCGTACGCCTGCAAGAACTTGGTAGCATCCGTCCAGCGTTGCACAGTCTCCGAACGCTGTTTCGCCGCCTGCGATCGTGATACCTTCCGCGATCGCGCCGTCGATAGCGAAGAACAAACTGTACCGTCCACCGACTGACATGATCAGTGGCAACGGCATCAAAACTACGTCGCGTTTGGTGGGTCGTAGCAAGGTGCGCAGGCGGTTGAAATGCGTCGCTGCCCAGAGCGAGAGTTGCGCTAGCGCGGTTGATTCGCTGCCGTTTGGAGTTTTCGTTTCGATGGAGACTGCGATGGGGTCTTGTCTCAAACTTTGTACGCTCGCGCTCGTATGGTTGATACTGTCAATCCCGTTGCGTGAATCCGCAAGCACCTGCTGGACAAGATGTGACGGGATCAAACTCTCGTCGCAGACTAAGGCGTGATCAACTAGCTTAGATTCTGTGTTGTTGAACCCGGTCTTTGGGACAAGGTGAGGATTTGGTCGGGCTGATGTAATGTTCTGCTGTTGAATACCTGGCAAGTGCATGCACACCTGGCGCAGCATCATGAAGTGCACGTCGCTATTCCAACGCGGCTCGGCGGCATCCGAGTCCTGCAGCTTGTGCGTTTTGTCTCTTATCTCTTCCATGATCTCCAGTTCCATCAGAATCTTCTCTTTTGACGGCAGCGCGCTGGGCGTCTGGCTCCACCACCAATCCTCTGCTTCTACACGTTCCTCAACATCAGACCTGATCTCGTGCGGTATCACGCCCTTTCCCCTTCTTATGTTTTCTACTTGGCGCACCAGCTGTTGTATTGTGTCTGGATAGTCCTTCTTCTCCAAATGCATCCTCTTCACTCTGCGATCCAACAAGCTGAGATCGACCATGCTTTTCACTGGGCTCTTTGACCTGCTCATCACTTTCCTGCTCGAGCTGGATGTGACTGTTGTCTCGGTGGTGACGCTCTCGGTATCTAACGGCGTACGAAAAGACCGAGAGCTCCGCGATTGACTATCAGCGGACATCCAGCGGTGTGTGGATGTGGCAGACGGTAGAACGGTGAGGTCGCGCCGCTTAAGCACCGGTAGTTCTGAGGGAGGGTTTTTTGCAAAGCAACTGTCGTCTATGTCTTCCATGTTTCGCTCCCCCTCACTTCCCTCGGCGATATGCAACGCAGCAACGTTTACCTCCGCCGACACAATCTCGTCCGTAATGAGCTGCCGACGACTTCTCGATCTCGTTACCCTTGTATTTGTTCGTTCGTTGTCTCGCATCATTCTCGTCTGTATCCCAGCGGTCAAATATGATGTTGCGGTGTGGTAGGTGGCTCGTGAATGTCGCAGCGCAGCATCGGCGCGGCCTTTCTCCGACCAGTCATGCGCCTCGAGGACGTTCTCTAGCCAGTCGACGATGCTGCGCGATTCTGAACAACACGGTAAGTCTGAATTTTGTGCAAAGGCATCGGAGTACGAAGGTTGTGTGTCGCGCAGGCCGTGGGTACTCATTGCGAATGTGTGATGATATACTGCACGCGGATAGGGAGTGTGGAGTTTGTTAGTGATTGGCAAGGGTCGGGCTAATACGCTGGTTGTCGGGGCAGCAAGCGACTCGCTCAGGGTCTACCGTAGTACCCGTGCACCCAACGAGCTAGTAGTATGACCAGTGAGCCACTCGAACAACAACAGGACTCCTGAAAGATGACGTTATACAGCCACTTACAAAACCGATTATCGCGAGATCTCTTGATGAACTGTTATACAGATGCATGCAAAACTTTCTATTTATTCGGAATATTCTATATGTTGCTGTATTGGTGGTGTGCGGGTCTTTGACAATGCAGATCTTTACGCGAAGCGATGATGCAGACGATGGTTGTGAAGGCGCTTCAAAGCAGCGTAGCAATGCTGTGGCCAGACGCCGTAACCGCACGGTAAGCGCGATCGGAAAGTAGTCGATCAGAGTTGGCACAAGTAGTCACCGCGTACTTCCGCTTCATCGCTTCTTTGGTACTCATAGCACGAGTCGTGAATATACGTTCCGCAAACATGGAGACCCGCGCACCGGCACAATAGTCTTTGCCAGTACAACTTTTGCCCGTGACGAGTGGGCTCCACTAGACAGGGTAGCAAGCCATCCGCAACACTGTAAAGCCATTCCACTACAGCCCGTGCGACTTCAATGCTACCTGGATCGCGAGGCCAAATACCAGTTTCCACACAGACAAAGTGCTAGTCTCGACAGCCGAAAGCAGTAGCTTCAGCTGCGATGTCGTTGGTCACCTCTCCTCCTTGCAGTAGAACAGACCGATGCTATCTACTACGGGGCGTCCGCCGATATCAGTCAATCGATGAGAAACCTACACTCTCATGCACTGGCAAGCTCCAGTTGTTCTAAAAAGACGACCCTTAATGTTACACTAAGTTTCGCTCGCATATAGGTGTCCTTGATTTGTCACTGTGCTGGTTTCTTCGGGAAAATCCATGAGTCGTTTGTCTGAGATTCTGGTTCAATTGATGTTTGGTGCTTATCGGGCAGGGGTTTTTTTTTTCCAAACAAGCGCCCACCAGGCGAGCCGATGCGCCACTTACGATGAAAGGTAGGTAACACGGAGAATGCGGAAACAACAAGTGCATGCAGGTGTACGTATCGGTAAGTTGGTGCCCCTCACGACTCATCGATACAGTACTACCATGTGTCACCTTCCAGATGGAGGCTAGTCTTGTAGGGGCAACATGCGAGAACTGCAGGCTGGCTCTCCTCGTGTTATCATAGCGTTCAATGAATTTAGTCACATGGCATGTATTTGTACTACTTAGTCGTTTATTATTAACTATAGGGTGCTTGTTTCCTGTCTAGCTGATCCTTGCCGTGGGCACAAGTGCTGAGTGGATGGCTGTCACCACATCTACGTGTGATCTAGTCCCATTGCGGTCAGCCTCGCTTGTAGTTACCTAGCAGTGGGCCGGTTAAACTCAAGGAGGTGTCGTGGCGCTCGGGTTAACTTGGCAACAAGCCATCCCACAGCGGCTACGAAGGACGATTGTATCGGTCTACACATGTTGCCATTTTGTTTCTTCCATTGCCTACCGTTTATAAGGCTACAAAGCCATCAGTAAGTTGCTCTCTTCCTAAAAGTCTTCTGCCTGATTGGTGTTGGTCCGCTATAGTTGACAGTCCCGACTTTGCAACGACTTTCGTTGTACGCATTTGTAGAACTTTCTAAGCTTCCGAATGCTAGATAAAGCTGAACTCAGGCGTCGAAGAGCACAATCTGAGAGGGACGAAGCCAGGAACCGACGTGAGAAAGAGGAAGAGATAAACAAACTATAAACTCGATGGCTTTGGTGGCTAGCTGTGGCTTGTTCAGGACGGCCCGGAGGTTGTGTCAACCAGAGAGGTTGCCGAATACCTGGTTGCGGAGGTCCTTGTAATTAATGAAGATGCGCACTTTTTTTCCACAACAATGTTGACAATCACACTGCTTAGATACTCTCAAAACCAACGTCCAAACTCCTTGAATTCTCACTATAGAGAGGTTCTTGGTGTGCGGTCGGGGATATTGTGAGCGAGCATAGTCAAGTAAACATCCCTAGAAACTGCGCCTGAAAGGGAGAAGTGAGTAAATTCAAGATGAAGGGCAGACTTGATTTTACACACTCCAAGTACTCTAACTAGTTAGTTAGTTAGATGATCGGCTTTATAAGCACTCAACCAACAATCTTCTTCCCTTCTGTCAGCAAAATAATTTCTTTCTCAAGTCTTGAGCGTTCATGCTTTGTCTGCAACTCCTCTCCAGCAATATCCTCCAACGTCTCGTGATCAAGGCGAGCAACGAGTTGGGCGGATAGCAAAGTTAATGGTGTTGTTTCTCCAGTCACAAGCATGCAGTCGGCGACTTGCATACGGACTGCGTCAATGAATCGCTTTCTGGCGACTTTGTAGTAAGAACACAGTATGTCATGGATCTCAAGGGTGGTGTGTCTTGCATTACTTAGGGGGTGGCTCTGGACAATGTCATCCAGACGCACCACCGTTCCGTGCTTGCAATCCGTGATGCTTTTCGAAACTAAGCCCGCGCGTACACGTTCATTTCGACTAGTATTCCCATCAGCGTCACAGTTCACGCATGGATCACATACCGTTTCTGGAGATTCTCATTGAAGTAATGATTGTATGTAGCAGGTGTTCCACGGAGCTCAATGTCGAGAAGGAACTGCGTGTGGTTAATCGCATCTCGATACATCTTTTTTAAGTCATCCAGCAACAATCTCCTGATCCCGTCCGAGACTCGAGGGCTAGGTGCGACCTGCTGCAGCACTTCGACAATGAAGTTATGTACCAAGGCAATCATGTCGCTGATATATCCATGTGCGAGATAGCCCCAATTGGCTGCCTGTTCTTTCAATGTCACACCCAATATTTTGGCGTCAAATGTGCCAAGTTCGAAACCTCTGGATTCGCGGTACAATTCATCGATCCACTCAATGATATCATCACCAGGTGGGGCTGAAACCGAGGTGTTTTCATGGGTGAGGTCTTCAATGTCTGGATCGTCCTTGACTGTCCGTACCTCGACGTCAGCGGAGTCGTGCATGGTAAGCTCCAGAATCCCATTCTGTATTGATGAGCCCTTTGTTTGAAACCGATATACATGGCCATGGCTTTCCAGGGCCTTGGCGAAGGCCTCTCCTCGATTGATCGCCTGGGTGGCGAGTCGAAGAGTAGGATTGCGTCCGAATATACCTGATCGGTTATATCCAGCTTCTAGTGCGTCCGATACAAGGTTCTGGAACCGAATAGCAACATCAACTACGTACTGGAACTGTTCCTCGCGCGTCTGGCGTTTCGGGCCTAGTTGGCGTAAACTCTTCATAGCTATCTTCAGCTTTTGTGAGAGTTCAGACCGGACCTGCAGTATTAGCTTTGTGTGAGTTTTGAGTCAGAGCTTTTGACCAACCTTGGGGAATTCCCGACGTATATGGTCTTCGAGTATCGCCTGTAACCGGACTCTGAGCTTTTGGACTCCCAACTTTTCCTTATCTAAACTTTTCCAAGGCGTTGTCTTGGAAAAAAATCTGCCTCTATTGCGTGTCGACATCGTCCAGCGTTCAGGTTAGACTGCCCGGGATTTCGCACCAAATGCCAACCCAAGCGCAAGCGGTGCTTCCGTTCCTCTAGCAAATCTACAACAGCACCCTCACCGCCCTGATCGATGAGATCAGGCTTCGTCAAAACGCCCAAGGTACGGATTCCTTCAGTATCGAGGTCTTCCGCTCGTTCGAGAATCTCTTGGGTAGCAATATCGACATTGCAAGGAACAACAACCAACACGACAGACCTCGGGTTAGACATGTAGCCGTGTACCATCTGGTCAACCAAGGCGATATCTTCCTTTGTGGTCATGCCTTGTGTTGTCCGCTTGAAGATACCGGGGACATCTATGACACTGAAGTGTTCCTGGGACGGTCCAGACACTTCTAGGCGCAGTACATCTTCGGAAAATGTGCGCTGACCAGACATCATGTTCGATCCGATTTCCATAGTACTCGTTACCTTTCTTGTGAGTTTCAGGAAAGACATGAGACGCACTACATACCTGTTCCATGATATTGCGGAATGAGTCTGCGTCAAGTGACTGCATGGGACTTGTGCTCCATTCTCGGAGCTTCTGTTGTCTCTCTTGGGGGCTACTTTTGGCTGGTATAATGGATGCGACTATGTTTTCTTCGCTTGACCGGCGGAACGTGATTTGTGTTGCAAAGCGGGTACACAGCCCACTATCTCGAGGGAAGGGCAAACCTGTGAGCCCTTCGAGCACTGAACTCTTGCCACTAGATTGATCCCCTACAACTACTAATTGAGGTAGATCGACATATTCTCCAGCATTGCAAGCGAAAAGCTTGTCAATCTTCTCGAGAATTGTTGAACTTACAAGCCCACCAACAGGTGTGGTACCGGAGTGCGTATCCATCTTATGGGAATAGTGTCGATAGATTCAGGCCTGGCGCCCTGCTTCTGTAGAACTGTCAAGATTCGTATCGGCTGCAGTGTGATCGGGAAGCGATGCTGTGAAGCTCTTGATTGGTAGTGAAGAGGCGTACTCTTGACCGTTGAAGATGATGAGTGATGAGACTATGGTTGCATGTAGAGTTATGTAGCTGTCGAAAGAAAAAGTAAAAAAACTCTATTCCCGTGGAATGTTCTTTAGGACGTCAAGTGACAGCAGTCTGGGTTTTTCAAAATCCGTAATTAATGCAACAAACCTGAGAAATTGCCGTGTTTCGTCTTTGCATAAACTTCTCTGCACATGATTTTTAACTAGAAACCTCACGCACTAATCAAATCTTGGATATATCCCTAGCATATAAGCTAACTATGAATGACATCGGATTTGTAAGAATCCCCGCACTTGGTTAGCTGTACGACATACTGGTACATACATAAGAACCAGGGCATCATATCATGCTTGGTCCCGTATGATGTGCTCCGCAGCTGCTAGGAGTAGACTGGTCTACCCCTGTTTACACTACGGCACATGAGGAGGTTCGCTTGCGATCCGCTGGTTGAAAAGCGTAAGCTGCTTACTGGCAGGCAGCTGCGCCACTGCGGCACAGTTCATAGCGTATCGTGTGCTGAGCTGACACACATTCTTCAAAGTGCTTACGGTCGCGATCGAGTCAATCTCGCTTGTAGAGCGGGACGGCCGCTTCCGCACCGCAATCACTGCTATTAGCCATTGCGTTTATATCACTAGTGGGAGAGGGAAGTTGCAACCTCTCTCCAAGGTGGCTCATGCGAATGGGTTATCTTCCTAGCGTGCGTGTGCGCTGACAGATCAGCGCTGACGCTAAGCTGTATTCGGCTATCTGCAAACACGGGGCTGTCGCAATGCCTACATTGAGTTAGCATCTCTGTCCGTGAACGGGGCTTCTATACTATTGGTTTTGGGTCACAGTTGTATATGTATACACATCATGTTCGATTTGATATGTATCAATACTTGGCAACTACATATTTGTAACTACAGTCATTAGCGATTGCGGCTTCACCCTTCCACGCAGCGGCGCAGCGGTTTCGAACAGCCCCACCTTCCGTACATGGCTTAAGGCAAGAAGCTAGCCACAGGACCATCGATATGATTGGTCAGTTCTCAATCTTATGATGGCGGGACTTTTGAGATGATGCCTGCGGAGGTGAAGCCGCAATTGCTAATGACTGTACACAACATAAAATGAGTAATTCATATAGTCTGCCAATAGAGCTGCATAAAGCCAGCGATTGCTTCTCCTCTAAGAAAGAAAAATTGATTAGGCAATGACTGATAGCCTATGACATATCTGTGATGGGAACTTGGGATTGAAGATACAAGAGCCCGTTGCTTTAAGCGACTTTCATGTTCACGGTCGTACAATGTACGAACTCCAGTTCGAGCGGTGATTCCCACAATGAGGGCAATGGTAGCTGGATCCTGAAGATGCACCAACTTCCCAGTGCCCAGAGCAATCCGAACATCTGTACTTCGTTCGGTCCTGCTTCTCACGCACACTATGCTTGCTTGCCTGGAGCTGAACCAAATCTGAAGCGAAGCCAGCAGTCTCTCCCAAAACGTCGCAAAACCCCTGCTTTTGCAAAAGCGATGTGATGTGTTCGCATGCGACATCGACTACCAGGCTTCGGAGCCCTTGGTCGTTTGGCGGGGTAGAGTTATATACCTCTGCAATAGCGTGCGGAAAGTCGTCCATGTTCCAGCACGTCTCGACTGACTCTTGAAATTTCTGTCTAGCGACTGACTTCAATGCTGGAATATCATACTTGTCCGCTATACTATACACTTTGACGTTGAATACCATCGGTGAAGCAGCATCAGCCACGCTCCCGCCAGCGTCATAGTCAAATGTGTATAGGAACTGAAGCATTGCCTCGACAGCGGAGACATCATCGTCGATTAGAGGGATAATCCTTTCCACTGACTCCTACGGCCATACCGTCAGAAACAGCCCTGCGATAGCGATAACACGTACCTTCCAGTCTCCTTCGAAAGCATTCGAGAAAAACTTCGATTGAGCAGATAGCACGATCTTATGGATTCGAAACTCTTTTCCAGCACATGTTATGGTTCCATCGGATAGCTTTGGAGAATCGTAATACCTTGGACTGTTAAAGAGCACGTGACTGCTTGGATAATCGGAACAAGATGGTACTCACTCTCGAAGATTGAGCAGTAATGTTTGGAAGGGTTGTTCAGTCTGCATTTTGACGAAGATATCATAGCAAGAGGTCCAGGGTAAGAGCTTTTATGATCCGGAAAACACAAGAGATCTGCGGGCGGGGTAGTAGTCGTAGAGGGGAAATCAGGTCGGGTTTCGGTTAGATCCAGCTCTGAGACTTGGCGCATGCAACGTGGGTTAGATAAGCATAGATTGAGATGGATACAACTATAACATTGATAAAGACTAACTTTCACAATGCAGCTTTGTGCAAGTCCTGTGCACGAATGGGTGAAGGAACGATGATAGCTCTGAGTTCGAGGGGGTTCGTTGTTCCATCGTCTGCACCGTTTCATTTGCTTGAATCAAGGCTATCATGCAATGGCTAGTCAATTAGCTAGCAGTATTGCTATCAGAGTTTCTATGGATCAGTAACTGCTTGTCTTGCCACCCATTCTCGCACTCTCTCCACAAAATACGCAGCTGTCTATTGCTCTGTCCAGTGTTTCTGCTTCTATTAACAATGCGACCTAGCGATCAACCTAGCTAGTCCGACCCTGTGCTGGCTGGACGATTTCTCAACAACCAGCAAGGAGCCCTGCAAGCAAAGCAACGGCGTATAATTTGTTTTCTCACAAACCCCCCAAAGTAGCAGAACCCTTAGACGGACCACCGAACAAACCGCCTCTTGGATGGAGGGTAGAGAAGGTCGCGGAAGGCGGTGGAAAAATAGCGCTCTCAAAATACTGAACGACAAAATCGCCACCTTCGCGGATAAGATCCTTGAATATACTCTTACTACCTAGTTCTTTGATGTGATCCTTTGCTATCTCTACTACTGCAGATCGCATGCCAAGATCGTTCGCAGGGGTAGTCGCATATATTTCTCGGATGCACTCTGGAAAGGAGTCGTTGGTCCAGAAATCTTGTAACTTGTGCTGAAGCTTTGCTATAGCAACCACTTTCAAGTCTTCCAAGAAGAACATGTCGGCAAGGGCGTATACGCGAGGCTCTTTCAGCAACGCAGGGTCATCTGGTGGGAGTTAGGAAATCGAGCGCATAGGTTCATCCTTCACCTTACCCTCAATGTCGTGTGATAGATTGTCCGGATAATCACCTGTGTACAAGTACTCAAAGACCCTCCAGTAGGCGGCCTCACTACCATCGTTGTACGCGAGCACCCCTGAGATTCCCTCAGCAAACGAGTCCTGAAACGCCTTTTCCAGATATTCGCTTTGCGTGCAGACAACACATTTGTGAACAGGTAGACTCTTGCCATAGATGACAACGGTAGCATCGGAGTATGTCGGGTCGTTGAACATTCTGTAGCAGTTAGGTGAGATAGCAGAAGTCCCAAAGGCAAATACCTGGCAATGTTCTGCATGAACTCTGCCGAACGTTTTTCCATTATGGAGACAAGTGATATGGTAGATGGTCGCCTTTCTGGTAGTATAGTTACTGGCACGCTCGATTGGTGGCCAAGAGCCAGCTGTCGCTGAACCGTCCGCGCTATAGCAGACGCAGATCCTTGGGCAAATGGGGATCAGAGAGGCGTGAACGACAGCCGAGTGCTGGGGGGGAGACTGGAAGTATCGCGGCCGCAAAGATGAGGCAGATGCCTCTACGATCCTAGAAGCGCAGTATTCAGTTAGTAGAACCAGTACCTAGATGGGCCGCCAAGCATATGTAGATAGTGGTTGAAGGGAAACTGCAAGCCGCTGGGGACAGATGGCTCTTGTTTTCGAGGGTGACGTGGGGCGGCGCGGAAGTTTCCGCGACGCGTCGGCTGTCCGCCAAGCCTGCCAGCCGGGCATAGCTGTGGAGATCACGGCTGAAACCGAGTAGGATATAATCAATCAATCAATCAATCAATCCCACTACAAACTATGTCGCAATAGAGTAACTGCTGAACAAGTTACGAAAACTATACAAATAACATTTTACTACTCCCCTAGTTAATACATGAGTGCTACTGGCGCTTTACAGGGCTCCGGCTCCAGCTCTGGTTGTGATTGCTGGACACAGCTCCTCTTCGACTTCTTCCTGACCTTCGATGTGGGCACCGACGAGCCCCCCTCTTGCGCATCAGCCTCGTTCTCGATTTCACCCTCGGTGTTGCTATCTGCTTCTCGCGCCGATACCTTGCGCTTGCGACCACGTTTGCCCTTGCTTTTCTCCGCAGCAGCCTTATCTCTCGCAGCGCGTGTCGCACGCGCTTTATCCAGATCCTCCCACTTCATCACCTTCGCCTTGCCTATAACCAACGACCGTGCGGATCGTCGCACCTTCGCTTCGTTGTTGATGGTATAAAAAAGTCGATTATGGTCCTGAAGCAGGCTTTGTCTAGCAAAGGATATTTTGGCCGCGCTTGCGAGCTTCTGCACACGCCCTTGCAGGCGCTGTCTGCTAGCCTCGTCAGATGCAGCCGCACAGGTATCCTGTTTGATTAGGTCGGTCAACCATATTAAGCCCTCTACCGTCACAGGCGTCACAGGTGTGTGTAGAGCCTCGTCCGCTGGGCAGGACGTTGGCGCTACATTTGTGCTAGCATTGTTATGCTCTACAGGTGGCTTCGGCATATCACGAAGCACTCTCGCTGGATCGAAAGGAGACAAGCCAGCCGCAGCCCATCCCGCTAGGATGTTCCTTTTTGTTATGGCTCTATCTCTGGCTGGCTTGTAAAGGTACGCAAAGTGCTCCTTACCGATTGTGTCTACACCACCTCGATTCAACCGCTCAACTTGGTCGCGGTATGCTGTCTTCAAGGGTGCAAAAACAGAAACGTCACATGGCTGGAGCTTGTGAGAAGTGTGGGAGGGTAGTCGACAGAGAGTGATGTTGTTGGCGAAGCAAAACTCCAGGATCTCAAGCGTTTCGTGGCTGCCAAAGCCATCAGATATCAGTACTCGTGGCTTGCCGTTGGCGATTCTTCTGGTCTGGGGATCGAACACACGCGTGAGCCACTCTAAGCTAATCTTAGAGTCATTGTACCCGTTTTCGGAGAATCCATAGTGCCAGCCAGGGGACGGATGGGTGGTCCAGTTACTTCGGTGGGTTGCAGCTGGCCAGATGATAAGAGGGTGCAATGACCTACCATCAGCACTGACGTACTCTATAGCGGTAGCCATTGTCCGCTTAACGCCGGCGCCTCTATACCCTCGTACGTCATCTCTGCCTATAAGAACCTTGGTAGAGCTCAGCATGCTTAGCATGACGCCTGTTTCATACATGTTGTATACATTCTCTGGCCGGATAGCAGGATCCTGTAGCACCTTGCCTATTACTTCAAACCACTCCGTGACCTTGTCGTATATATGTATCTCATGGCGTCTCCAGTCTATTGATCTGACTCGTTTCGCTTTCAGTTCAGGATGGCGTTTCCCGAAGGCTTGAGCCCAGTTCTTACCGGGCGGCTTATTTCGTCTACTCGCAAGGGATCGGCGTCGGGCTATACTGAGGGCTAGCTTTGGTATGTACTTGATGCGGACTGGTTGTCCAAAACTACACATTAGCAACAGAAATGCGACAAGGGCTTTCTCCTCTTCTACGCTGAGGTACAGCTGGCGTTGGGCCACCTCTTCTTTCGAGGGTCGCCCCTTGTATCGATTGTATAGCGTGGTGAGGGCGACACCACTGGAATCAGCTCGGGCAGCCCATGTGCTGTTGTCATTTGGAGGAAGCTTTGCAAGTGCCTTACTGGCTGGGTCCATTTGTGTGATCGTGATGGTAACAAAAGACGCGATGAGTAACTTCTGGTAGTAGTGTATCCTTATGCTTCTATGTTAAAAATAATCCAATATCTATAGATGGTTCGAGAAGGGCATCATGCTTGGCGCTGCGTTTGAACGAGCATAGCGGGTACAAGAACACTAATTTTTTAGTTGAGCAAATAGTTAGTCAATTTGTGGCTTTACGTAACTTAGACTTAAGATCGTAGTGGGAGTTGTATGTGTTTTTAAATTCTGCTTGTTACAGTACAATAGGGTTGAGATCTGGAGAATAAGCGGGCCAGTCTAGCGTTCTAATGTGGTGCTCATCCAGAAAATCTCTGACCGCGCCAGCGGTGTCTATCCGCACGTTATCATGCATGAACAGCTGTGTGCGCCGCCAATTGGGTAAAAGACCTCGCTGGAGAGTTTGGATGTAACTTTGGGCGCTGTATCCGCAGCGGGCGGCATCTATATCTCTTTCCATAATCACTAGTGGGCTGCGTCGTGCACACCCAGTTTCATCCAGCCATATAGCCCCCCACACCATTTGCCGCGGGCCCTGGCTGGCCCGGGCCTCTGTTAACATCCTATGCTTCCATTTTTCATGAGGATACCGAAAGCACCACTCAGTTGTGGAGCCAGCATTTTTCTGAACTAGGCACTCATCAGAGAACTTGACTATGCGGCGCTGCCAAGGGAAGTTACGGTATTCGCGGGCGAAGGCGAGGCGTTTTCGGGCATGGGTGGCGGTCAGTTTTGGGCGAAGTTTGCAGCGATAGTTGACTAAACCGCGACTGCGGAGTACCCGGCTAAGTGTACGGTGGCTGGGAGGCTTCGAAATGGTCTCATCTTCTTTCACAAAGCTTGCTACTTTAGCGAGGTCTTCGTATAGGATTTTAGGCATTGCGCGTGCAGCCCGATATACTATCTTCTTCTGATGATCCGAAAGTATTGGTGGTCGCCCGGAGCGAGGTCTGGTATCAATAGTGCCGGTTTAGTTGAACTTCTGGTGCAGTGCCCGGATGGTGGATGGGTCGCGCCCAAGCTGCTCCGCCACCTCTTTGTAAGTTGCGCCGCCGCGCAACATCCCAATCGCGACACCACGATCCTCTATTGTCATGTGCGGACGACAGCGCGCATTTTGAGGCATCGTATGAGCGAATTGGTTAGGCGCAGCGTTGGTGGTGAGCGTTCAAAGTTGGGTGCGATGTTGGTGTTGGTGGGGCGGCTAGAGCTTCGGAGGGAAAACTTTTGTCATGTGACTGTATCAGCTGCTTAGCGTAGCTGGATCGTTAATTACTCGTGTAGATTTTGAGCTCGTTCCGCTGCGCGCAGTAGTTCCCCCGCTTGCATGCAACTTTCTGGTTGCGATTTAATTAAATCACGGAAATGAAACTTGGAAGACAATAGTTAGTTAGTTCAATACGCCTTTGATAATGGAAGTAGACTGTGTGGAGAGTTTCCAAAGACCTAAGTAGCGGTTTTTTCCCTGTCCAGCAGTTTTTCCGATTGACAGGAGCGGCATTGTATCAGTCCAAGCTGAGTACCTTCATGCGATTCAAATGTAGTTATATCCTTCACTGGCGGAGGTGCTTTTTCCAACGTAGCATCTGATCTGTGGCGTTCACCACGTGACGTACATACTCCTGGCAGTGCCCCGCATATGCCTTGCATAGCAGGCGCTAGCGCCGCCATAATTGCTAAAAACTTCTGCACGTAAGGGCACATCTTGACGATTGGACATGAATGTTCGTTTTCGGCCTCTGATAAAATGGGCATAGATCTCAAGTTTGTCACCATTCCCGAGGAGGAAGCGGAGGATGAGCATAAGCTCAAAGAGATTTTCATGAAAGAGGTATGACTCTACAAATACGCCCAAAGAATTTATCTGAATTATGTGGCAGACAAGCACAGTATCCGAGCATATAACTGCTACCGAATGGCAATCGGGATTAGGCACAGAAGAAATCAAACTAAACGACTTTGCCATTGTTATTAAGTACAATACCGGCACAGAAGGCTCAGTAAAGATTTGTTCAAACACAGAGCACAAAACAGTGAGCACCCACCCGGGGTCTGTGGAGGGGGTGAAAATGGTGATCTTAAAACCGGGCTGTTTCTGTTATTGGTTCGGAGGGGCGACAGTTCGAATTCTGAAGTAAGGCTGTCTCGTTTTGCTTGATATGGAATCTGAGGGCGTTCGCACACCAATCGTGTGGAACGAGAATGTACGGCTGTCTCGCATCATACGGCAAAGAAATCTCGATGGTTGCGCCGTTTGCAAGGGCATCGGCCATGTATCCAACCATCCCTTTTGTTAAGGGAACAGCTATAGCCCATTAGACTTCTAAGTAGCAACGCACTGCCATTAAACGTACTCTCAACTTTGTTTGTGTGTCGTACCTGGGCTGGATTATCTTGCGCACAATTGTAGCCTTCTTGGCTGATATCTTGATCTTCTTGACCTACACGGCACTCTAAATCTGCACAAGTTAAAGAAGTTAATCAGAAAGTGAAGGAAATGCTGACCTCGAGTAGTTTTAGTGAGTAAATACGACCGTTTAGCAGAGTTCCACCATTCTCGAATGTTTTCTAGAGTCTTTGGATCTTTTTGCAGTACAGCAAGGTCTTTCACACTGACCGTAGCTGCACATAATAAGACGATTGCAATGTCAATTGCGGAAATGTCGAGCAACAATTTTCGTGCACGTGCGTTAATGCTCCGCTGTGCTGCTTTAGAGGTACCGTGTTTTCCAGCCATTACCGTTTCTCTCCATCTAATGTATTTTTTTTCGTATTTACGAATTCTGGCGGTTCCCTGAGCAAAGGACGCTTGTTCTTGTTTCAGCCGCTGCAAGAATTTCCCAAGGTTCATCTTGAGATGGTGGAGAACGATAAACGCGAAAGACGAGCGTCGAAAGGCGGATGGCGAAAGGCGGGTGGCGAAAGGCGGGTGGCGAAAGGCGGATGGCGAAAGGCGGGTGGCGAAAGGCGGATGGCGAAAGGCGGATGGCGAAAGGCGGGTGGCGAAAGGCGGATGGCGAAAGGCGGATGGCGAAAGGCGGATGGCGAAAGGTGAAAGGTGAAAGGTGAAAGGTGAAAGGTGAAAGGTGAAAGGTGAAAGGTGAAAGGTGAAAAGTGAAAAGTGAAAGGCGGAAGGCGGAATCCTTTCGCGTCGCTTACTAAACTAAGGCCTCCCTTTAACTAGTTAATTACTACTTATAGTTTCTGTTCATGTCACGTGATTTAGATATGAGGCTCAAAGGGCAGCCCTTGGGCCCATCGGGTATCTCTTGGGCCAGTTAGGCGGAACACCTGCGTCATGTGAAAGCTCTCGCCTGATACTTAGGATGGAACCTAAGGATTTATCTGAATGCTAATCTGACATTCTTGCACCCACCTGCCGAACCTCTCACACATGGGGCATCAAGAGTCACAGGTAGGCTATGTGGCGTGGCGGGAGCCAAACAGCTAGGCTCATGTAGTTGACCCAGTGAGCTTAGTAGAAGCTAGTGTGGGCTAATCTTCCACGAATCAAATCAAATGGTGTCAAGAAAATTTGCTATTCTTGAAGGATCTCTAATACCGAGCAGCTAGATGTAAACCACCACACAAGTTCTGCATTTCGTGGAATCATGACCCAGCCTTCTTCCACTTTTCTGTTACAAAAGACTTTTGTGTAGGGTCCCATTTCCGTCTGCTCTAAGAAAAAGTACATCTGCCCAGTCAACTCATAATCCTCAATATCGTAATCATAGCCAAACCGTCCCAGTAGTTCTTCGTGGTCTTCGTATATCAACAATATCCCAATTGTAGGCTTCTGTGGCATCTTGTTGTCCGTATATAGTCGTACGCGGTCGACTCCAGTCATTGTTCCCAAAGACTGGAACCATTGTGGAATTGGTGAAATTGGGGGTGTGTGTGTCGCCTGGAAAGGCCTGTCAGGTGGGGATCGCAGCGATACTTTTTCCTGTGTTACACCGATTCTCATCTGCTCTGAAGATGAGATTCCCTTGTCGTTGTAACAAACACCCGTTACTCGACTGTCATAAGAAGCGAGGGGATGGTACAAATAGCTGTCCTGTTGTTCGCTAGGAATATATGGTCCAAATGTGCATGTTCGTTGTAGAGAAGTGCTGAGCTGTTATTGAGTCAGATCCCTGTTGCTAGGAGAATGGATTACCTTACGATGAGAGCGGGACAATGTATGTTGATACCATTATTTAACTCGCGCACCCAAGCTGATACGACGTCCTCGTTCTTTGCAAGAGGAAAATAGATACACACCACGTCCCTAATATGTCGACTTTCATCTCCGGAGAATCTCCATTTGCTACTGTCGGTGTAAGTATTGATGCTAATGATGCCACTCAGAGTGCACCAGACAACGACACCCCGTGTGTCGTTCCTTAGTTCCACGTATCTCATCAGGGTTGGAGGAGATGAATTGCGATCATTGATATACCACGTATCTACCATAGGTGGATGCAGTAATGGGATGTCCCAGTACGGGATCCAAGGTGACTCTTCGTTTCCCGGTTCGAATTCTGTGAGAATGTTCTTTGCTAGTAAGCGGCTATAAGTGAATAGCAAAATATGGCACATACCATGATACGGGCACGTAGTTTGAGATGCTCTGCGCTAGTACGTATGATTTTATACCAAAGATCCTGCCGTGAGAATGGAAATTCGCCTTTAAAGTTGACCTCTATGACCCCTACACTGTCTCGGGTGACAGTAATAGCCAACTCGCCTCGCCTGTAAATGGTCGCTTTTCTGTCGATGCTCAGATTCCTCACGTATGAGGAGCCTAAAAAGACTACTTTCGCAGCCGAGACGGGCTCTCCACTATACTCTATGATGTCGATTGTATCGTGTTCCTTTCTCTCCCAAAAATCTTGTAGTGACTTTTCCTCTCCTAGAATTGTTACAGGCTGCTGCAGAGCACACGGCCACGAAAACTCTGCGATACGACAAAGGAGTTCTCGTGAGAGTTTCTGGGCCATCATCTGTAGTAAGTTTGTCGAACCCTTCTCTGGATCGCCACAAATCGCATTCAGACAGCCTATGTATTTGGTATACGCATGCTGCTCTCTTCCGCTATTGGGATATGCAAAGTTTACAGTCCCAGACAACTGTAGTAAGTCTCGAAGTCGTAGCCGTGATTTTGGAAAGAAGTGCTGGTAATACTGGTAGCAGTCCCAATGAACACAGTTTGGTATTTGTATTTGACCAGATTGGCATGGTAGACAGTAGGGTTTCTGGCAGAAAACATCTTTGTATGGACGAAACAAAGGCTCTTGGGCGGCACCTAAAACACGGAATATTAGCAGAAGCGCTGAGGTTCGACAGAAATGGACGTACCAGTAGCAACAAGTTCGTTATCCTGTACTGCCAAGTGACACAGCAAACATGATAGTCGATTCTTCGCGTGATACATCGTAGCGTGATAAAGAAACGAGAGTGCGCTGCTGGAGCTTTATGTCATTGATGGGACGCTGCGCACGGACCGACGCAGTGCCTCAGGAGGCTTGGTCTGTGCGTTGACTAGTCGCACTAATACGCTAAGATCCTGGCACCTTGGTAGGAGCGCAGCTTATCTGCTCCTTCCCACCACACATGCTCATTGCCAGTTTCCAGTTCTTGACATTCTGCTGTAGGGACTCAAAATAATGTCTCTAAGTTACACATTATGTTAACCTTAAGTTTAAACTAGTTCGTATGGGGCGTCTGGCATATAACATGATTGAAATGTAAATTTAATTCTTTAGTGACTAACTATAGACAGATACATGAGGTTGGTGCTTGCAAAGATTGTGCGGCTCATTGGACTTGGTTGTACAGTCTCTGTCTCGACGGATAAATCTCACAAGAAGTGTTTCCTACTACGTAAATCGTAACGAAAACACAGAACTAAAAAAGAAGACCATGACGATAACTCAGTATCCACCGAAATCCCAATAGTTATATACCTATCAGTTCCACTCAATTTGGCCATTTACGTACCGATACCACCTTCCAGTTGAGTGCTGTATCCACTGTGTAGTCGATGTGTTCGATGGGGTGGATGGCAGTACCGAAAATGTTGGCTGTGGCACCTGATTCGAGCTCCTACAATCGTCTTAGCATTGTAACGCAAGATGAACACAAGGTTTCACTTACTGTGACGGTAACGCTGATGGAGTATAAGCAGAGCTAGGCGGAAGTTGCTTCATGTGCAACAAACCGGCACGCAATTGAGCAGCGTCCACGGAATTTGCATCAATATAAGCACTGCGAGTCCCTTGAGGTTGAGCATTCCCGGAAGAGTTAACTGTGAGACTTCGAAAATTACCATCTGATTCGTATTTCCACAGCCGTGCTTCAGTACCAATCGTTGTTACGGCGTATACGAAGCTGAGTCGTTTATAGTCTAGGTAGGTGCCACAAGCCTCAAAAGCCTGTCCCTCGACTTCTTGCATCGCAGTAGTGGATTGGCTTGCCCGTTTGGCTTCGTGGAAGAACAGAACCATGATACGCGGTGTTCCAGCCTCAACATACTGCAGTTGACCATCAACGCGCCGTTGTGGATCATTTGCTGAAGCTGCCATCTCTCGAACGAAATTATATTGCTCTTCTGGAAAAAATGTTTTAAATACGAGCGTCCAGAATGCCACAGCTGTGCTCTCATTGTTTTGCCGGACGGCGTTGTAGTATGCTGTTAAAGCTGGAGTTGTGAGGAGGCTCATAGCGCAAGTATAGGTAAGTGAAGAAGTAGTTATTCAAGAAATGTTTGGACGGTAATTCTAAATTAGAAAGGCGAAAGACTAGATACTATATACAAAAGTCTAATTAGTAACTTTTCGCTTTTCGCTTTTCGCTTTTCGCTTTTCGCTTTTCACGTTTCACTTTTCACTTTTCACTTTTCACTTTTCACTTTTCACTGTCTAACTAAGTATCTACAAGCGAGGCCGACCGCGACAAGACTAGATCGTGGCCGTAAGCAGTTTGAAGGATCTGTCGGCTCAGCGCATGATACGAACCGTGCTGCATTAGGGCGCGTGCTTACCAGTAAGCAGCTTACGCTTCCCAAGTGGCCGTATGCGCAGATTCTTAGGGTTAGGAGTGGTTGAATTCGAGACTCTGGGTGCTATCATGCATGCCGCGGGGTTGCAGACTAATCATTGGATGTCACGTTGTGTGACAGTGCATAATCATCCGGGAGAAATCGAATCATCGTTGTTGCGCTAAGCTGTATTCAACCATTTGCAAATATGAGATGTCAAGACACACGCTTTATACTATGGTCGCGTGTTCTTGCTGTGACGATCATGCAGAGTCGTATGCCTTCGCCAAACCCTCCTAATCGCATATCGACACGTAACAGAGTCGGCTGGCCTCTTGCATCACACAGTATGCACATGACTATGTATGGACACGGTCTTTGAAACCCTCAACTGATGTGATGCTGTGTGGAGCGGCGCGACCCGAGTAGCGCTGACTGCCATCAGACTTGTGCGTTTGCCATGCTGATCTTAGCCTCCTAGCACAAATGGCCTATCTAGGATGATAATGTCATCGTTCCGTGCGGGGACATGCAGGCTGGCGAAGCGCTTGCGTTAGTGTATGTATAACTTGAGTGGAAAACACAGGAGACACCTAGCGAGTGGGTTTCTAGCAAGGCAGATGCGCACGCTAGGAGGACAATGCACTCGCATAAGCCATCTTCGAGAGTGTCTGTAACTTTCTTCTCCTATGCTTGCCTGCTATGGAAACGACCAGTGGTATACAGAATTGTGATGGCCGATAGCAGCGATTGCGGTGCAGAAGTGGCCGAATCTAGACCGTATGGCTGCTGCGACTATCCCGCGCTACAAGCAAGGCTGACCACGAAAGAGCTCGACAGCGACCCTAAGCACTTTGAACAATCCGTTGGCTCAGCGCGCGATACAAGTTATGCCTCGTTGGAGCGACTGCTTGCCAGTAAGCAGCTCACGTTTCCCAAACGACGGATCCTAAGCGAACTTCCCAATACGCCGTAGCTCAAACAAGGGTAACTAATTAGGTCAGTTTACTACAGGCAGCTGCGCCACGCATCCTACAGGAAAAAGTATGGCATGGCAAAGTGACCCTCACAGATATGTGATACATATATACAGCTAGTTACAGGTTTCTCACAAACTCAACATCATCTATGCTTAGCTCATACGCCAGGTGTCTAGTTAGCAAAGGTATGATTATTAAGGGAAGTCTCTAGTTAAACATCACGTACACATATCTTATCAGTAAACAATTTCTGTGCACATGGATTCATCACGCATAGACCAAAGCTGGCAATTCTAGGCGCTTCTTCCACTTACTACTGATCATAGGAGAAGTCAATCCGCTGTAACTCGGCGGCTGGATGGACCTTGCGCGAGAGTAGCGGCTTTTTTTTTGACAGGACTATTAGATGACCCTACAGGCAAGCATAGTCCTTGAGTGGCCATCTATCACGGCTAGCAGTACGCTTTTTTATTATAAGTCGAGAGCCGCTACGAGAATACAGTAGTAGACCCTTCATGGCGGAACAGCAGCTAACGGCGAGTTGCACTGCAACCAACGCAAGTTTCGATATTTCTACAGAATCAGGGCTCCACGCCTGGATCCATTGGCACTATCATGAGAAGGGCTTTCGATACAATGGGACGTACAAAAGTTTGGCAGGGTTGCGAGCGCATTTGTTTGCCCTGAACACAAAGCTTTCGCGAAAAAGCATCCGTCAGGCGATTCATCAGTGAGTACACCCCGCGACTGATTCTTGCTCGGTAGCATTCTTTGTCAACTCTATTAAACTCTAAGCATGGGTCGGCTTGCACGTTGTCTCGCAGTGAAGTCCTGAACCTTGATATCTACTGAAATACATGTCACACACTTATACCTAAATTAACGCTAAGCAGGCTTCTTTCACCAGAACATCCGTACAGCCTGATGGAAGCAGAAAATAGAAGTATCTCAACGAACAATACTAGAAATAAAGATACGGATACCCTACCTTCGAAACCGAGTGCTAGCATAACCAGGACGGAACCACTAAAGCCACAATCAGCCCCAGGCATACCGTACGTGCCGCAGCCCGGTCTTGCTCAAGGCGCAGCGGTGGCTGAACAAAACTTCTCCGTCCCGAGTAGCAAGGCTTACTGTTCTTCCAGTACCGTCATGCCTGAGAACCTTGCGGCTGATCGAGGTGGATGCGTCCGCAAAGACAGTCTGACATCCAGATATGGCATTTTGAGCGATACAAACCTTCTTGTATCAGACGATAGCGAACAAAATGACACTGGATATATTCAACTCCACGAAAGGGCTACCCAGATTCGGCACGCACCGATATTGGGCATGGATGTCATCTTGCAGAACGATCAACACCTTATCCCACAATATGGGCTCATAGGTTTATACGGCGAAGCGAAGAATATCAGATCTAAGCTTTTCCTGAATACCAATGTCCCGTTCTCTATGTTCCTTTGCGGAGTCCAAGGAAGCGGCAAGTCCCACACAACATCCTGCATCCTTGAGAATTCTCTGATACCCTCTAAACATCTCGGAGAGCTCCAAAACCCACTTTCTGCGCTAGTGTTCAGCTACGGTCACTTTAGTGGCGACGGCATTGGGTTCAGCATTAGCGAAGCCGCGTTCTTGGCTTCTAGCGGATCCAACATACCTAGTGCAGCCCATGTCAAAAAGGTGCATGTCTTGGTATCACCGTCGAACTATGTGCGAATATCGAAGCTGTACCTACAGCTTCCTAACGTTTCGGTCACGCCGTTTAAGATCAAACCTCGGAACCTCGACATCACTACAATCCTTACATTGATGAACGTCAACGATTCGGAAGAAACACCGCTCTACATGGCACAAGTCACGCAGATACTTCGCGAAATGTCGACAACAGGAGAACCATTCGATTACAGGGCGTTTAAGCTACATCTAAAGAAGCAGAAATTCAACCCTGCACAAACCAACATGCTCCAGATGCGTCTCAGCTTACTCGAGTCATTTTTGGACATGACAGATACCTCTCCCGAAATGGTGTTCTTTCCTGGTGAAATAACAATCATGGATATGTCTTGTCCCTTTGTTGATGCCAATACGGCGTGTGTCCTCTTTGAGATTGGGCTTCAGCAATACCTGCATTCTCAAGGTGCCGGTAAGATGATCGTCTTAGACGAAGCACACAAGGTATGGACCATAAAACCTCTCCATTCCCGGCTTTGTAACTGATTCTGATCAGTACATGCTTAAAATACCGGGAGCGAAGTCGCTGAACGAGGCACTTCTCCAGACCATCCGCCTACAGCGGCACCACGGCGCTAGGGTTGTTGTCTCAACACAAGAGCCTACCCTCTTAACTGACCTAATCGCTCTTTGCTCCGTTACGGTAATTCATCGCTTCTCAAGTCCAGAGTGGTTCTCGGCTATCAGACGCCATATCCCCATCACAGATGAAAGCCGCAATGATCTCATGCGAAGGATTGAGAGCCTAAAGACAGGACAAGCGATCGTATACTCACCTAACACAGTCCTTGGTTTTGATGACTACGGCAAGTTAATCATGGGTACAAGTGGAATGATCAATGTTCGAGTTAGGAGGAGACTTACAAGCGATGGAGGACAATCTGTACTAGCAGTGTAGGAAGGTTGCTTCCGGAACAATTTGAATACCTGCGCATTTTATTTCTACTCGGTGAGGAGGGTACCACCTTTGCTCTCATGATCTTCATGTTGAAAACCTTTTTTTGCAATCGTGGCAATCAATCCAGATTGAAAACCCTGCCTGTACATGAAGCAATGTAACTCATTGCTGTGTGGGCTAGTTTTTAAGCTGTAGTTACGGGCTGCACTACGTGAGAAGGCATCTTGGAGAAAATGTAGACGCAGAGATGGACCTAGTCCATCAGGGATACCCGTATAATGCTGGTAGAAGTGGTCATATGCGCAAAACCAAGTTACACAGTTTCCCAGGTGCACATAGCAGCTGCCTAAGCCAAGCGTTTGGCCCTGAGTATTTCGCCTAAAGACTAGAGAGCATGTTCTAAGCTATGTGTCTTGGAAGACCCACGGATTCCACTTTAAGCAGGCGCTGAGTGCTCAGCTGAAGGAGGTGGCATTGACAGGGAGATACATCACATATTCAAGTACGCTGTAAGTAGACATTGCAGAGAGTTGGTTTGTTTTGCAAGGAAAAATACTCGAGATACGATAGTGTTGTCACTAGTTTCTTGAAATCACTATGTCTAGAAGCGCCGATTGGGTTGATACATGTATAATCTCATGCTGCCCAGCAAAAGTAGACACATTATTTTCCTGACGAGTATCGGCTTTGACCATTCCCAGAGTTATAGTATGTTGAGCCCTGCTTTCATTAGCTAAACAAGAATCGTTAAATCGAAGTCGAAAAGCCGTATACATTCGGGTTGCTATAGTAATATGAACCATTGCTATTCGAGTAGTGATAACTATTCTGATTCGACACACGCGCACCGTAATCACGAGAGCAGTAGTGGTTGCCCTGAGATAACATTAGCATCAGCCGTAGTGTGAAATTGCAGACTGTGATTCATAGTCTATCCTACTGTCAGATTGTGATGGGTTTTCTGATCAAGGACACGTTGTACTGTAATAAAAGATTGTGATAATTGATGGGAGGGAATTGATGGTATTGATTGTTCTGCTCTCTGTCTGCTCCAGCGGCGCGCAGGCGCGCCGCCTTATGAGCGCTGTTGCTATTGTTTTTTTTGTATCAGGTAGGCGGCGGAGTATCAGCCTCGCCTAGGGGTAGATCTTGGCGCTCGGCCCTGATCGGCCCGGATCACAGAATCCGGGTGCTCAGTTACACCTGGATTCTGCCACTTATCTGACAACTAGGTAAGTGCTGACAGGGATGGCATTGTATCAAGAAACGATATTTTCACACTTTCATGACATCATCGTTCCACGGATCAAGTTTCTCTTCTGTGACGTCTGCACAGCGTGGGACGGGAAGTTTGATGGCAGGTTGGAGCTAACTACGCCACCCAAAGAGTAAGTGTCACACGGTGCATAGATGAACTTGTTGGGAATGACTGTATTTAGACTCCACGTGAATTGTCAGGTGACAGTGTAAGTAGCGCCTTTGGAATATCCTTCAATTTTTCCACGTCTATAATAGTGGGCAACACATCCACGTCATGACTTTGGTGGAAAGCTGCAAGAGCTGACAATGCCGGTGCGATCGAGTTACTGAGTTTCCTGAGGAGCGTTCCTTGCTTTTCTTCCAGCAACGTGGCAAATTCAGCAAAATCGTTGATGTTGATGTCGAAGAGCCTAGTCTGGTCAGCATGATTGGCAGTGCTGAACACATAGCGCACCCACATGTGATCTGTCAAAGAGAAGCTAGGGAAAGACGGTCCAGAAAGTAAGAGACCTAGTACACCGATGCCAAAGTGCTTTGTCAGCATCTGCAGTCGTTTTCCTAACTGCCGAAAAGGTTTGACTTTGGAATAAATCGCAAGGTATTCCTTGGACGTGCTTTCTACACCAGGGATGATTCGGGAAGTCAAGAATATGATCTCGGCAGCATCCTGCAGCACATGAGGATTGCCTATTGGTGATTTGTTTCAGAACCCAAAAGTCTCTAGAGTTTGCACGTTCATACGTTCGTATCACTGAGAAAACTGTTTTCCATCCTCATAAAGTCGTATCGCATAGTATCGCTTAGGAGAATGCAAGTGTTCTTTTCGTTGTAAGGAGGCGACCTTGGACCTCACGCTAAGCCTCTGTCGCTTAGTGGTAACCTTGCCCCAATGGCATCAGTTTCTGTTAGCGACACCATAGGCTGATCTTCCTCATACTCAGAATACATAACCAATGCGTGCTATTTACGTAGTTAGTTTGAATCTTTCTGAATAAGCGTATAACTAGCGGGCCCATGTCTTTTGTAGAATGACAACTTAGCTGCGCGTGCAAAGCGGAAGCTGCAAGTGCATAAGAGTGTAGCATAGGCAATGAACCCTTATGGTTCATTGTGTTCAACTTTGTACAAGACTCTAGTATTTAATCTAAGGATTATACTTCATTCTCGAACCCCTCGTGATATTATATCGATCTACCAATCGTGCTATCACACCAACCCCGTCCATCGTACTCACTCATTCCCTGAGAACCAACTCTTAGGTCATCTAAGGATAACCTTCACACTTAGTTTATACTTAAGTACGTATATAAAACTGTTACAAGTAACAAGAAGGATTCTCTCCTTGATGTGGGACTCGAGGCTGGAGACCAACCAGTGTCCACGTCAGAAGGTAATGATCAACGCGGGGCGTTGGTCACGTGAAGTGGCATCTCGCCAAGACACAACACCTCGAGATGCCAGGCCCTCTCCAGACGTTGGGGCATCTGCGATGCCAGCGACATCCGAGAAGCCACGGGCTTGAGCAGAGGACAGGTACAGATTGCAATGGGTATAAAGGATGGACGGATTTCATTATTACACTCGTTGTGGTCAACTTAAATAGTTTATCTCTTACATAGATTGTCAACTAGTTATTCTATCGTTTATAGAATTGGCATTGTTTACCTGTTGGTTAACATTGAGTCAAGAGTAGCGAATAAGTCCTGATTAGAGCGTCATGCCCTTATATACGTTAAGAAACGTTACACGTGCGTGGAAGACGACAAAACGAGAGGAAAACAACAGTCAAGCTTTACGCATAACCTTGTTAGGTAGTCGAGAACCAGCGTATTCATGCGCAATGCGAACAAAGTATATTGAGAAGAAGAATATGTGGGTATCGTGTAAGCAACCAATCAAGCAACTCCTTTTTGCCTGCCAAATCCCCAAAGCGTAATAACAAAATGCACGAAGCACACCACGAAAGCCTTCACAGGCCCTTTCCCCGACATATATATTCCACCTACTCCGCCACCTCAGCTCCCACTCCCAATTCATCCTCACGTTCCGCATGCCCCACCTCATACCCACTCAAATCCCAAAACCTCGGAACTTCATGACTAGCCATGGCCTTGCCAGCCCATACTTCACGTACCCAGCGCATCTCCTCTGTCCAAGTCTGTTCGGGATCAGATCTTTGACGTTCTTGTTCCAACCACTTTTGTGCCAAGGGCGAGCCGTGGGATACTATCGCACACGATTCTTCTGCTTCGTGGTCGGAATGGCGGGTGGAGGATTCAGTGGATGGCGCCGACGAGACGTTGGACGAGAATGATGCTTGCTCGGGGATAGGCGACGCTTTCCGTCGTTTGTTGCTTGGGGGTGTTTGACACGGTGAGAGGGGTTCGTGATCCATACATCCGATCGAACGTTTGCGGAGGTTTGTCGCAGAAGGAGATGTGTTCGTGTTGACATCCCTGTGGGCGTCAACATCGTCAACACGATTGCTGCCGACCGCATCCTCATCCGGTTTCCGTTTCTTCGGGCTCACCGACCGCTTCCTGCTCGACGACATGGAGAACCGCTCACAAGCCGCGGCAGTAAAGTATCCACGCGAGAGAATCTGGTCGTTGAGAGCGGCACGCACAGCCAACCGGCGACTCTCCTTACACGAGAGGAACGCGTCCAGCAGAGGAAACAGCGTCCATGCGAAACGCGCAAACAGCATCTCAACCCCGACGTCCGACTGGTGCAGCTCCCGGTTGTGGTAGAGATGCTCAAACTCTGCTGAAGGCTCAAGCAGATGGAGAACCAACCGCATCTTTCCGTCGTCACTCGAAGGCTTCGGCACAAAGACGAATCGGGGCCTGTCAAAGGCAATGTGGAGGCTCGCTGTCAAGAACATGGCATTGGCCGTATCGTCCATGCCGCTGGTCAAACTCCGATTGTAATTCGACATGCTGTTTGCCTTCCACCAGTCCACTTCCGCCTGCGGCACAATGTGCGCGACCTGCAGCTCTTCTCGGTATCCGCTTATACGGCAGCTTCCGTCACGCATCTGCAGTGCCATTGTGAGGTTGGAGGGTGTACGGGCCGAGTCGAGAGACGTCGCGTTCACGGAAAGCTGCTCCCAGTGCGCTGGGGTTTGGTTGTGTGGGAAGTGCCATTCGTGGAAGTTGGGGACGATGCGATACGGCTCGCCTTCGGGTCCATCGATGGGTTCGTCGTGGTCGAGGTGGTAATAATAGCTGCGCGCGACCAATGTGCTATTGGCATCGACTCGGTTGTTGCGCGCGTCGTCGGGGTTGCGTGACGTCGAGAGCCAGCCGTTGAACCGATTGCCTGCGATTATGGCGCAGGCGTCGAGGGCGAACTGCGCATAGAGGCCTGGGGTTCCGGGTCGCTGCGACGCCTCTTCCCCGTTGTCATGGCCGCCGTCCGTGTCCGTATCGATCGCATATAGTTTGAAGAGGACGTTGATGCTATCGTCGTAGCCGGGGTGGCGGAAGAGAATCTGCGGGCGCCGCGGTAACTTGGGCAGTGGGGGCGCCGTGGCTGGGGGCCGAGCGTACGGCATCGTCGTCGTGTCGTTGAGCGTGTAAGAGGTTGCGACGTCTTTGGCAAAGGCCGCCGAAGTTGAGGATGTGTGGTTGACCAAGCAACACGATTGCGCCCGCGGGCATGCCAAGCCACTACAGCGACCCCGCCAGCACGAGCGATACGCTGGCCATGGAATTACAGAGCCGCTGCATGTCGCCTATGGCCGTAAACTTGAGCAACAAAGACTGACGAACCCACACTAACGTATGCGATTCCGAGCAGTAATTGCAAGTTCTGCGAAAAGGGCGTGCTTCAATCTAGTGGCCTACACCAGTGTCCAACCGAGATTTCTTTGAGGGTAATCGTTTCCATCTCTTGCATAAGGCTGTTTCTCCACATATCAGTACTTCATAACCTGGAATATCATACCACCATCTCGTCCATGCATATTGTTACAGAAAGTGTAATGAGAAGTGAAACAACGCTGCTACATGATGCATCACGCACACGGGAATGCCAAAGCAGAGGGTTCGTATTGTTACTATATACATTTGATTGCTTCCATTTCTTGTCTAGCACTGAACTCGCAGTAACAGTTTCTTCCTTTTATTTGTTCAAGCTAAAAAAGATTCTTGTATAGTTAGGCTTTATTTGCTCCTGCTCCTGTTTCATCTTTCAAGTCATCCTCAACTGCCCAGTGAATTCGACATAGTAAGCCTGGTGATGCCAATGGGCATCGCAAAGTATGTTTTCACCGTCATATCCTGGATCTTTCGCAAACATAAGGCCAGGATGTTGCGCACACTTCAATATCGGAGGGCTCACCCCATCACTTATAATCGAGCAATCCTCGCCACCGTACAGCACAGATGGTACACTCCATTCTCCAGCAGGAGTCACAGGAGGTGTGCCGATGTCGCTGATGATTGGGTTTGGGCGGGCCGGCCCTTTGTGGTGGTAGACTCTTGAGAACGGCTTAACATCGCAAGGATCCACTTTGACACCTTGAGGCCCAAAGTACACACCCCAATTATGTGCATAGCTGAAGATGTTCTCTTCATACAAGATTTGAAGCGAGTTTTCGTGCGATGAGGAGCGTCTTGCTATGTTACCACTTGCTGGTTCATCTAGTGCAGCTGGAGTGCAGAGAGCACGAGAAACACCTGCTTTCTCACTATCTTTGTATGTCCCACGCGTTATCAGATTGAGAGAGCATGTTACAGCCGAGGCAAATGTCACTGGCAGCATTGCTAAAGCTATGATTGACAACAAGATCATGATTAATCACTTCTTGCGCACTCTGCGATAAAGTAAGCGTAGCAAGATAGGTGAAGAGTGGTCCGTGAAAGGAAATTATGGATAATACCGCGAAACAGAATTGCAACACCAAAAGAGCAGTCATTTATAGAATTGCACATGAATGGGGAAGGTAATCGTGGTTTTAAGTTACCAACGCGAGACGTAAGCATAAGCAAAACCGCGACAATTGAGCTATGCCTGTACTTCCCAGCTTGCAACATCCAAGGATTCATTAAGCCAGACCTGCCAAAGCAGCCTTTTTCACTGACTATAGCCATTTCCATCTGCAGTTTTGTCTTTTTGCAAAGAATACAACTTTGGTACTACGCCGATGTTATCACGATTGTTCTAGACGATGCTGGTGTCATCATGGCAGGCTACTAGTGATTATTGTGCGCCCGATGACATGGTAGAACCATAGAGAGCTAGCTCAATGCGACAAAATCTAGCGTAGGATGAGAACTAAAGGAGATGCAAGAGCAGAAACTGCTAATATACATTCAATAGCCAGCCACTATAGTCTGCTTCATGTCTGGTTGATTATATTGGAGCTACATTGCTAAACCTACTCAGCCTTTAGTCTGTTCTCTGGTTGTTTGATTTTCTTACTTGCATCATGCTAGGCTTTGCTCACCCTGCTTGGCTCAACTTATCCAAATATTCGTCGGAACTGTGCCTCTAAATTCGCTGCCTTGCCAGGAATAATTCGATATACAGAAAAACATGGTTCTCGCATTTTCCGTCGACGAGGAACTTGAAATACCACCCGAGATCTGGCTTCTAGTGCTCGATTATCTGGAGCCGCACGACCTTCGCGAATGCCGGTTAGTAAGCCGGAGCTTGGAACCTCTTGCTGCGTCTTTGTTTTTCAAGACTCTTGTGTTCCAGTTCAGTAGACGTAGTGTTGATAACCTCGCCCAAATAGCAGCCAACAAAAGATTAGCTGGGTATGTGAGAACCCTCGTGCTTTGGAGAGGTCCGAAACTTGGATTACGAAGTTTCAAATCTTTTGAAGAATGGGAGGAGTGTTTAATATGGCCGAATGAACAAGATACCAGCGACGACAGCTACTCCAGTGATGGATCCAGCAACGACAGCAAAGAAAGTGCCTGGATGTCTGAAAGAGATTGGTCTGAATTGACGCATACTCAAAAGTCGGGCTTGTATCGCGACTACAACAAGGAGAGAAAAATGACACCAGATGTCAGAGGGTATCTCATCAACGGAGTCAAGGATGCTGTAGAAAAATTGATCAAGCTTTCCAAAATCATACACGACCCCGTTGTTCGAGGCGAAAGTCAATGGACTGAGCAATGGAAACAGCTACGCTTTGATCACTGGATCAACCTTCCGTTCTCTGATTCTTGGGAGAAGGAGCATGACGTCGATGCTCTCCACTTTGCATGTCTGCTGCTAGCTCTTGGGCGTATCGAAGAACATCTGACTCATCTGAAATCGCTAACTTTCTACGTTGAGGGACCGGCGTTTTGGGGCCCGAATCGACTACGACAACTCTTCCAAGAGTACGATCATCGCAAAATTAGGCAATTACGAGAATCCATCATCGATGCTACACAGGCAGACGTGATCGCTGATGGAGACTTTGATGGCAGCATGGGATTGAATGATGAGGTTGCCCGACTAGTCAGCATGGGAAAGATCGTGCGTCATCTTACCCATATTGACTGCTATGTCTCCGATGAAGATAACAACGGAAGCCTCCTCACTATAGCGAAGCCGCTCTTCGCGATTCTTTGCGATGGCGCGAACTTGGAACAGGTTTCTCTTGCCTTTGGCGACTTCGCTGACCAAGACACTGAAAGCTATGACAGCTTAATCTACTATCATGATACAAGACCAGGTCTACTGCCTGCACTAGCACGCCGCAAACCCTGGCCGAAAGTCACCAAGTTGAAACTTTCGATCGCGACAAACTTGTCTACTTTGCTAGAGTTTCTGGACTCACTCGCGCCGACGCTACGCCATCTGATACTAGAGGAAGTTACACTCCTGCCCAGTGAAGACGAAAAAGCATTATGGGAAATTGCTCTTCCGAGCATAGCAAGTAGCCTTCAGGGACTTCAGCAACTAGAGTTGTCGTTTTTACAGGACTTCCCAAGCCAAGAACAAGGCCCAGATGCGCGCAAACTTTTGAATCCTTTCGTGGACGCGTGGCAGGGGAGGCGCGATTGTTATGATCATCATATACATATTGTGACTAATGATCTCATGCGTACGCAAGAGCTACAACACCCGCTGGAATCTGACGCATTCATGGAACAACACAACTGGATCTGCGAGCATGTAATTCAACTCACTAGTTAACTGGAATACTTATCAAGCGGAACTAATTAAAAATACATAGCAATATAGAGAGCATATGTAACTAATTTGCAAACTAACGTTAAGTATTACTTACTGATTAGTTAGAGCTGCTTCTGTGTAATTTAAATTCATTTGTAAGCTTAGTCTTATCAAGGACAGAGAATTTTCACCGGTTTACTCAAAATTCCCGTAGTCACGTAGGGCAATGTTCTAAAATCGGCTCAAATAATTAGTCTAGCACCTTTTGATTCTGAAAGAGCAGACGGAATGTATTCAATTTCTCTCTTCCCCCTATCGCTCTATCATTTTGTCGCAACTCCAATAAACTCTTATTTCAGTGAGCCAAATACCTAAATCTAAAATATCAAAGATAGAAGTTGTATTTAGTTGACTTCTGTTTCAGAGTTATCGTCATAACTTTGTAAGACCTTTTTTATCGCACGCTCGAGAGACTCATTGCCTCTTTTACGTTTGCGCAAACCTGGGTTGACAGCTGATTCGATTTCTTTCGCAGATTCAATACATTCCTGTGCCGCTATAATATGTTTATCATGAGCTGTGATGCCCTTGCGGAGCAAAAGCGCTACTGTTGCGTCGGAACCAGCAAGTATGGCTTGAGTTAATGGGTCCCCTCCCTCCTTTTGTTTCTTATTAACATCAGAATAAGGGTAGTCAAATCTTTTACTACATCCCAGAAACGATTGGATGAAACAAATCTGATGTTGGGTGTAACCACATCCCTTCGTTGTTGCGACCTGGAGGATCTTATAGAATCTTTTGCCTGAAAGATATTTTCGAATTTCATCTAACGTTGATACAGTGGATAATAGCTCTATAGCTTGTACCCAATATTCGTGCTTTACGTACTCTCGCAAGAGTTTGTAAGCCCAACGTTCGGGACTTTTGTATCGAATTAGAACTTTGGCAGCTATAAAATGTTTCAATCTAAGAGAGATCATCAAGGCAATTTCGAGGACCTCTTTCATGTCGGGTTCAATGTTCCATCTATTCTCTTGAAGATACTTGGACAATTCGATTTCAGAGTTAGAGAGACATGCACATATTAGTTCCCTGCCAATAGATAGCTTGCGTTGATCTAGAAGGGTGGGTGGAGTATCATCATCATTGATGGGGTTTTCGTCTGCGTTATATGAATACTTGTTCGACGACATAATTGCGCAGCGTGCCTTGAAAAGTACAGGAGTTTATTGCAAAAAGGAGTTTATCACCAGGGTAAATTATGGAATGTCTTCCCTTTTAGGTCAATTTGCGTGTAAGCCTGATCAAAGACGATGTTTTGATGATAATATGTGTACAGTAAGCATCTTCATGAGGACTCAGAGATGTTTGTGAACTATAAATCTTGCTAATGCAAATGTATGACCTTTGTGTTCGTAACGCTGCTTACTATCAGAATAGCCAGTGTTGCACTATTAGCTAGTCCTGTCCCATCTACAGTTATGTACTTGCAATACGACAGACGGGGCCACACACAGGCTAAAGAGATCATAGATCATATCTAGTCACTGTTTTTCGGATTTTTCAAGGTATTTTCCCAATAGGTGTGCGCAGCGCAATGGGAAGTCATCTAGTTAATTATGTTGATCGGGGTTTAACTTCATCCATTAAGAACCATCAACACTCCGAGTAGTACACAGAATCTCTCAGGATCTTGTTTTGTCAAATATAAAAACTTTATAAGCACCCTTTATGTGACTATACCCGCTTGCAAAATCTGCTTTCAGTTTGCGTAATACGCAGAGGATTTAGCTTGTAGGGCTCCAGTTGCGCTTCGCATAGACTATTCCTCATCTGTCGTAGCCTCAGTGTATAAAAATGATCCGCAAATGGTATAGTTAATCAACTAGTTGGGTTTACCGGCCCTCTGGTTGAATCTTACAACTCTCTCTCACGAAATTATTCCGTAACCTCACGGAACGCTAGCGTCAAGCTCATTAGACCTAGCTTAAACTCGGACAGATAAGTATAGCTATAACCCTGTGTAACACCTGAAGTTCATCTGACTACATAAGAATAGACGTACACATAATTTTAGCGCGTAACTAGTGCATGCATAATATATTATGTTAACTACATCAACCAGCTTGATGCAAGAGTGCTAACTAGAGCGCTATCTAGACTACGGGTTGACTCTAATTCAAAAGGGGTTTAGATTTCAAGATTAACCAACGTCCATTTCTAAGTCACAGGATGCACCCCGTCGCGAGACGAATTGCAGGTACTTTGAGACCAAGCCACTGTAGTCTTCCGAGTACGTACGATTCATCTATAGTTACTCTTTTATTAAAAGCTCGTTGGCTTACTCTAGAATACTGTCATGCTTCAAGGTACAAAAGCTACATCGTCGTTGGCTCATGCACGCTGGATACAGTCCAGCATTCTCTTGAGCCAATACCCAAGACTATGCTACACAGCACTGCACTTAACCCTTCAAACCCTGTTAGTTTTATAAACTCACTCATATAACTAGACTTGTAACTAATTGTTATTATAGGTATGTTACGTTACAACCAGCCTTGTGGCGACGGTCGTGCGCTGGTTCACGCATGATTGCCACCCTGGTCGGTACTTGAGATGGAAACGGCTTTCCGATGCAGTTAGTGAGGGACAAAACCCCGGACTTAAAATAAGGGTAATCAGAGTGTGATTCACTTTGATCCAAGAAGCTGACTTGTGCAGCTTTATGGTGATGCTTACGCCGACGTACAGTATGCGGTATGTGAGCTCCCCAATAAGCCACTGTCAGAGTTTTCTATTATTAATTTCGTTTTAACATCCTCCTCCTGGTACGTTCTCCACGTCGAATGGAATGAATATATAGGATTTAAGTTAAGTTTAATCAAATGCAACATGAGCATTCAACTTATGAAAAGGGATTGCTCGAACGCGTGAACATCCAAGGCTAAGATTCTCGGCCTTCTCTGGAGCTTCTGTGAATCACATAAGCAGTGCGTCGTATACAAAATGATCCTAGTTCAGGCTAGCGGACAGCGATACAATATTTAATGACTACATTAGGTGGAAAAGTCGACCTCGTAGTCTTTTCAGTATATCCAAATATGATTTTGATGATTGGAACAGAACCTGTCGAATGCTGCAGTTCAGCCCGCTTGCAAGGGAGGGAAAAAGCCGTCTGGAATGCGGGTGTTGGGTGGCAGCTTCCTTATGACTTTGAGAGCAAGTTTTGCGGAGCGTAAATTCCTGTTCCTGATAGCCTGAATAGTGAAATCGCGGGCTGCTGTGACTACCTCAAAGAAGTGGTTGTCTGGAATGCGGGTGTTGGAGGGCAGCTTCCTTATGACTTTGAGAGTCGATCTTGCGTCGGAAAGATGCCCGTTGCTGATAGCCTGGGTGACTTTAGTACAGACACGCGCACACAACTTGTCGACCAAGTCACCCGGTTTGGTCCACGCCATCACGCATCGGATTGCGCGGCAGGCCTCAGAGAGGGAATCGCTCGTCTGCACCAAAACATCTGCACAAATCCGAGAAAATCTTTTGTGTGACGGTGAGATTTCGAACCTGTGAGACATTTTGAACAATCCTCAATAAGAGCTCATCAGGTAGTGCTAGTAAACTAGTACCCATCTAGAGGGAGTTGGAAATCTTGAGAACATCAGGGTGCCTCTTTTTTCGCGGTGGATACGCTTTCTCAGCCTTCAAAGGATCGGTCTTGTCACCATTCATAAGATCGTTATATTTGTCTACAACCGTCTTGCAGAACCTGACCCAAGCTTCGTCAAGGTACTTGTGGGCCTTGACTTTTTCCTCGGAAAGCAAGCAACTGTAGTCGATGCTCCAGCGAGCGAGTTGTTTCCAACTGTATAGAGACATGCTTGGCGCGCCGACCATGATTTGGTAGAATTCGTGTGACATAGAATTGCTGCAGTAAATGAAGTCAGCAGTCAGCACTAGATTTTCAGACACTTGCTAAGAAAATGGGAAATACCTGAATAAATTTGGGTTGTCAGTGTTAACTGTACAGGGTATGCCTGCAGCTAGCAGTTCTGGGTACGGGTGTTCTTTTACGTTTCTGCACAGGTGCAAGAGCTCGTTTGAAACAGGGCACAACTCAATGCAGATGCCAGGGTTGGTTTCAGTCTTTCGGAACTTTTCTACCAGATGAGGGTGCTTCATCAGAGCGAAGCCGTGACCGATACGCTTCGAGTTTAGGGCCACCGCGTCGTAGAGATTCGAATTTGCAGGGTCGTCGGAACCACCAGTGTCCAGTAGTGTCTCCCCTGCATGGAACATAAAGGGTATCTCCAGACCCTTCTTCTTGCACTTTTTCTGAAAAGCAACAAGTTGGTCCTTGTAATATCCGATGGAGTTGGGACGGTCTTCAGCACCGACTAGATCGAATCCTGAATAGACTTTAGACACTAGGAGTATTAAACTGAAGGTTGGGACTTTAATTACCGCAGATCAGATTCGGAAAGTTCTTTTTGAGTTTCATGCACTCTTGCAACTCACTTTCCATTTTATCAGTTCCTATTGATCGCGGCGTACAGTAGATTATCTTGAGTCCAAACGGGAACTTTTCTTGCTCCTGTTTTTCCTTTAGTTCGTTCTTTTTTTCATTTATCGCTTCCTCGATAAGCTCCATTTGGGCAACAAGATCAAGGCGATCTTTTCGTTTCCCGCTATCCCCAGGGATGAACTTGTCCAACAGCATTGGCCGTAGTTCGGCATACATAACCTTTTCATCGATCATTCGGTCGATAGCATCCCTTATGTATGATTTATAAGCACTCTCATAGTTCACCAGCCCTTTAAATGCCCTCGTGGCTTGGTTGAATCGAGCCCAGATCCTGTATCACTATCTGTTAGAAAACAGCTTTGTTAATTCATGATGTATGTACGTACCCATTGACGGTTTGGTCGGGATGGTAAACTTCCTCTCGACTAAGCACCATTTTTGACATCAGCCATTTCTCAGCCGGATATAGAGTTTTCAGTGACGAAGATCCAGAACAGTGCGGTTCTCCCTTGCGGGAAGTCTCAGACTCTTGATCCTCATACTTTCCCGGAAATCTTTTTTCAAATTTCTTCTGGAATTTAGCCCAGCGCATCCAGACTTTCTTCTGGAATTCATTGTCTTTCATATCACTAGGGGTTGTGATTGCGGGGTAATTCTTGGAAAATATGTTAACACCATCTTCGACGGTGTTCGGATCTAGGACGCTCAGGATCAACTCGGTTGTGCCCAATTGGCTTTCGTCCTCGATACGTTGAGTGCTACGGATGTACATGTTCTTCCTTTCTCGGGCCTGGAGAAGAAGTATTTCAGGGTGTAGTTCGGCATTGAAATGCAAATGCAGAAGAGCTCCCTTTGGTACCATCTTGGATATCTTAAACAGTTGGCTTTGAGTTTCTATGCGCTTTTTATTAGTAAGATATCGGCCACCCATGTCCAGATCCTCATCATCTGGTAGCGCCTCTGATGCCAGGTTTCCAAAAGTAACTTTACGTTCATACTCGCGGATTGCGCGTATGATGGTGGCAGCTCTTTGTTCCACCTTATCTTCATCGGATTCTAAGCCAGGCTCTGGCCTTGCGCCCCTATCCCAGGCATTCTCGTTTTCTCTCTGAACAAGCTCTTTTCTCTTGTTCACGTATTCTTCAATGTCGGTTTTGAATCCCATATTCTTGCCGAGCTTGGTCGAAGCTGTGTTTTCTCTTCGCTATTGCGTCTCCTCTGTCGGGCGCATCCCGGTGATAACTGGCCTGTTCAAGTGATGGAGATTCGTACTATTGACACAAAAAGTCTTGTTTACTCGTAAATACGTTTCTGAAAACTGTCTTTCTTCTGGAACGTTTTGGTAGAAAGTGTTCAGCGGCAACTTCGACTTCTTATGGTGATGTGGATGAAGTTTCAGGTATCACAGTTTAATGATGTTTCCATAAGGACACTAGTAGTCATCATTGCTTACTACCTTTTGTGAAACATTACTATCCACGCATATAAAGCAGTGAAATTACAGTGGTAAAATCTTGAAAGGCTTAGAGGCATGTCGTAACGTACATGTTTAGTCACTGCATAGCACCTTTTCGCCTGATGATGGCGTATCGATTACAAGTCTGAGCATTAACTACTTAGCGAACATAGTGTAGCTCATGCGGAAATCCTAGGCATAGATGTCATTCGTCTCAGTACAGATAGAGTAGGCCAGTTGTCATCGTGATGACTGTGACACTATGATGGCACCTCTAATGGTGAAGCCGTACTCTCAAGTTCTTTACATACCTAGTTATTAGGCATTATGTTTAGAGTTCTGCAACTATATTGTTTGTTGACAGCTGCTCGTAAGTCACGAGACCTGGCAGTACCTATGGAGAATATCGATGTTTTATGGTAAGCACCAACAATGCGCATCACGTGTAGTGTTCGCCCGTCAGCAATCCTGAAACAAGTAGCAAACGGCCCTTCTCATGGATAGCGCATTGTTAATTGTAAGCCCAGAAGTACCATGTATAGCCACGTGGTTACCCACTGACTAATAACACTGTATTTAAACTTGCTCTTATCATCATGTACTACAGAATACATAAGACTTCCTACACTCTCAACTGCTTACATTAATAGATCATCATCTATCCAATATCCCGCCTAGTACAACCACTGGAGACCGAAGCTTCATACCCGCATACAGTTAAGCATTCCCTTCTCAGCTACATCTTGCTACACATCACCTGATGTGCGATATCCTTTCACACTCTCCAAAGCATATTGGCACACACTTGCAGAGTCTTCGAGCTGCAAAGTTAGCGAAATCAATCGATTATGTTGCAAAGCCATACTGCCTCGCTTGCAAGTCTTGCCACATCGCTCTCTTGCTGTCCCTCATACCCTCGTACCCAAGCTCTCGAAAGCGCCATCCTTACAGGTACAAAGATCATGGAGATACACTCGAAGCGTGGTAAGCTCTTCATATATGGGCCTCATGGTCAAACTTCTCAGTGAGTATGGCCTGTGAAACTGGTCCTCCCCGGTCACCCTTCCACCACTCATACAGCAATTTCGTAACCTCTACGCATTTCAATGCCGATACTTAGATTCTAATCTAGGACGACGATGCAACGTGTTTGTCTACACGTGTAAAGACATCTGGTAAGATTACGTTCAAGTGTATGAGCGAGACGGTATTACACTCATAAGCAAGGGCGTTCAACCTACGTAGTCATAGTTTAAGACGTTTGAAAGCTCAACATGGCCTTTGGGAACGGCATACTGTCTGACAACGCTTGGCGCTCACTATCGAGTAGCTGGCACAGATAATGACACGAAACTAGAAGATGGTAGCTGTGATAACGAGGAGCGGCTCAATGGAAAGTAAGCCGGGGAGTTGCAGGATCGATTGATATCAGCACTATTAGAACAAGAGTTGAGCGATAACGAGTATCAGCGACATGATTGTGCTACGCATAAGCAAAGAGAGGGTGTGCTTGGATTCGCTGCTGTACATGCTCATACAATCAGCTGCGGTCAGTCTGTAACTAGCTTAGGTCAGCCCACGATCTAGATAGCGGTAGTTCGACTAAAATGAGGGTCTGTACCAGATTTGGAGCTTCTTCTAGCTTGTTTGGCTTTCTTCGCCTTTTTAATCTGCTTTGCCTTCTTTTTCGCTCGATCCAACTCATCGAGAATAATCAAATCGTGATCGGCGTATGAGCGTTCTTCCATACAAGTCTTCAGGAGCTCCTGCTTTTTATGAGCGAGCAGCGCTCTGAGACGCGCAACCACCAACTGCTGCTCTTTTTTCTTTCGTTGAATCTCCTCCCACTGTTCTTCAGAGACAAAGACAGTACAATCAGCGTCTACGACAACGCAACTGATACACTGACCGGAAGCCTCGATAACAAAACATCGAAAACCCTTCTCTTTACAGCGGTCACACTTTGTTACTACCTCTAAACAATGATCCTCCATTTCCGCTACGTTGCCTCAGTGTTCCAGAGATGAGATATGCATTCGGTAGTGAAGCGTTGGCACGATTCTGGGCTTGGGAATGAAGGTATGGCAGGAAGGCGTATGACTTAAAAAGCGTACCAAAGTTTGATTAACAACCCATACACAGTACCGGGTAGCAACACTCGAGCGTGTTGAGGCGTTAGATCATGAGGAGTTGTAGTATGTTACAATGGGTCGTGTGATGCGGCTTTGACCTGGTCGGCACTAAGCCAGGTGAGTCTTGTGTTGAAGACGTCTGCGCAATTGTCTGACAGGACTGAGTTACTCAAACGGTATGCATGTAAAAAACTAGCACTGTAAGGATATGTGGAAGAACAAAGCATCGGTCTATGTAAGAAAAGAGCCTATAGGATTTGATCATAGAGAATACGATCATGGAATCTGACCATCGTCGACGATCGCATGCTGATAGGTTGTTCGGCTAGCTGATCATCAACAATCAGTCACGTGACTGTGGCGTGGGCAAAGGATTGCGGCACAGCAAGCTCACTAGCATCCTCCAAACTGATTACCTGTCATCAGTCTCACCGCTACTCCTTTGTCATTGACTTGCTGTGACATAAGCGCAGTCACGATACACTCTCATACATTTGCAGGTTCCGCTTTGCACACGTGGCTCAGTTGTCATCTCGCACGGGTCATCGATTCGCCCAGTATACGTACGCTTGCTCAGAAGAGGCTTAGACTCCATAGATATCTCACTTTAATTGGCCCGAGTATTGGAAAGAAGATTGACTCATGACATTGCTGACAAGAGCTAGCACTATTCAGGCTTAGCATGAGATCAAAATCCGCCTACTTACAGAAACCGGAAGCTACAAGTGCATGAGATTGTACTAATGATGTCCAAAGCCCTTTTGGTTAGGCTTGAGCATTTACCGACTACATATATACTACAAGCAATAGGAATAATTTTCTCTCAGGGAAAGTGATGAGTTATTGGGAGCCCAGTAAGCCGTAATCAAAGTGTATTGAGAAACAAAACCTCCTGTAAGTACTTACGGAAAACGACTAGCATAAGCACAGAATGTCGGTACAGTGGTGCGACAGAGTATACGGCACGGATTGGTAGTTCGTTAGATCCGCGGAAGACTCCATTGGCATAGACAGCTGTTGTAGAGTGTTATTGATGTACCAAAGACGCATTAAGAGGGGCAAATTGGTTCTGGGTCTCTATGGGGGACGAATATAACGGCCAAGTCACAACAACCAGTCGATGACTTTCAGCCCTATAACCTTGATAAACGTGTAGACTTATTGAATCTCCGTAAGCCTTTCATATACTTCAGTACGAACCCAGGCCAAGATTAGGAGGTGCTAGATGCTGACTGTGTACGAACACTTCTGGCGTAAGGATACCACAAGAAACTAGTTACATATTTACAAATTCTTTCCTGCCAAGCCGTTGTGCACTCAAACGAAGCCAACGAGCTTCTGTTGTCCCGTGATGAAATTGTGAACGTGTTTCTGCACCTTTTCAAATCGCACAAAGTTACAACTCTCGCTCTCAAGATGATTGAAAAGCGATGCCAGGCGGCCAAATTGACGGTTGCAGCTGCGGTTCGGGCAATGATACAGCTTCTCGCTATGAGCCGGTGAGTTCAGGTGCTGATTCAGTGCTTGAAGAGTGTTGTACTCTCGATGACAGAGGTAGCACTCATAATCAGAACCGTTCCAAGCTGCGTTTGAGGCACCATTCTGTGTGTCATCGTCCGGGTCGGTAAGAAGCTTGTTTGTCAACAAACCGTTGCAGTCCCGCAGACTAATGGTGTTGAAAATAATTCTGTGACTGAGACTCCTGGCTTGTAGGCATGAGCTGGTCTCAAGGTGGTGCGAAAGGCCGCTAGCCGAGGTAAAAGCTGCCTTGCAAAAAAGGCATGTAACATTCTTCCCGCGGTGGATGCTTGAGTTCCAGTGCTTACGAAAATCAGTAATGCTCGAGACTAGTATGAAGGGGAGCGCGCTGAACAGACCATCTTCAAGGAATTATCATCCTGGTACGCCTTGGCGCAATCATAGCAGTAGTATCGCTTGTAGTGATCCAAAGCACTCATATGCTGATTGACGGAAGATTGAGATCCAAATCTCCTGTTGCAAGTCTCGCACTTGAACTGAAGCTTCGGATGTCCCGTATCGCGCATGTGCTGATCTGCCGAGTCCTGGGTACGAAATCTTTTGCCGCAAGTTTTGCATTCGAATCGTAGGGCCCAGTGACCAAGTGCATCCATGTGCTGGCTGGTGGCTTGCTGACTGCCAAGCTTGAGATCGTGCTTCTCGCATCTGTCGTCGTAGTACATGCTGAGTTCGTTACGTTGCGTTGTTATGCTGAGGTTCGGTCAAACAAAGAAGGGCGACCTTTTGGATTGTGCAGGCATGAAGGACGGTCTGCAAAGCACCCCATCGGACAGCACAACTGAACAAGCAAGGGACACGCAGCTGTTTGTATACGTACTGTACAAACAACCGCCTACACTCATAACTTTGGCAATCTTCCTGAACGTAAAATCTTATATGATTGGCCCAGCGTTCATAAACGTTGTTGTTTCATTGGTTCAACTTTTCTTAACAGCTGACAGTCAGCATACACTAGGCTCAATAAGGAAAGCGCTATGCTACCCAAAGCAAAGCTTGGCAATTATCATGCCCTAGTCAAACCGTAGTTTCCGCTGATAACGTGGAGTCGCTTGCTATCGCTTACGTTGCTGTTGAGGCCAAGAGCCCTGTGATTGAATTAAGGCTGGCCCAATTTCAGATCATCAAACACCACACCTGGTTTTAGCCGGTCGCCATGTGGTGTCTGGATTTGCACGTCATGTTTTAGAGTGTAAGTTATTATAGCCAAAAATAAGGATTCGCCCAGAGATCTAACTAACCAGCCAGTTGCAGAGTACTAAAGAAGACTGGCTTTTGAGGCAGAATGATTACGCTTACTACTAGTAAGCAAGATGAAGGATGCAGCTTGAAATGCTGCGCCACAATCCTTCTCACCCCGCCACAATCATGTGATTGATCGTCAACGACCACCTAGCCGAACAGCCAATCTACTGGAACGCCTCGCGGGCCAGTTGATACAGACCATACATACAACTAACGTCGATCCAAGCGTGCCGGGACGCACGGTGTAACGGGACACTTTTCGCTCCGGAGCCTCGCCATCTCTTGTCCGCATTATTGTGGACCTGCATCTAGCGTGTTGGTCTTTCAGAGCTGTCTCTCTTCTAGGCCATCTACCTCCGGCACGAGTTTTCGCGGTGTTGCCCTTGCTGTCGATCGTTTTGTTGGCGCTGTTGATCTACCTTCCGTCGATACCCCCCTGTCTGCTCGCCATGAAGAAGGTTTCTGCAAAGATCGGAGGGTCTGTTATGAAGCAGAGATGAAAAATAATCTATGCTATACATTGAAAAGGATTTCCAGCCAAGCGAGTATACAGTCCGGCAGTTTCGCCGATAAAAACGATGATCGCCAAAAGCATTCCAGCGCGATAGGACTCGCTAGTGTCTCTTGGCATGCCAGGTGCCCGTAGAAGCGTGCTCAGATATTTGTGTACCGTGTCGTAATAAATTCGGCGCTATGCCTATAGCACTCAGATGCTAAAAATGGCTGTGGCGCATGCCAGCGGCTTTCTAGAAGCCTCTACGGCCAGATGCTCAGCCTCGCTGTTGCAGCGCGACCTCACCCGCCAACGCCGTTTACGCTGTCTGGAGATGTCTCAACGTGCTCACTGCTAGCTCTAGTCTTCCGCTCCGTCGTAGTTCTCATGGACAAGGCTAGTCAAGTGTTGGCGAAGGGTCTTCCGCCTGCCGTACCCACTTCTTATCGTGCTCTTGCAGACCATGGCGAGGTTCCTCGCTCTACCCTTCATGCCCGTGCCCAAGGCCGCCGCTCGATAGAAGAGAAGGCCCAGAGCCAACAGTATCTCAGCCCGTGGGAAGAGGACGCGCTAGTCAAGTTCCTCCTACAGATGTCTGATCTAGGGCAGCCCGTGCGGATCAAGTTCATACCTTTCCTCGCCTTCTGCGTTGCCCGCCAGCGATCCGAGCGAGCCCGACCACTGAAGCCACCGAACAAAAACTGGGCGCGCGCCTTCGAGAAACGCCATCCAGACACGCAAGCGCGAAGAGTCGCAGCACTGGACTGGAACCGCCACGAGAAGAACACGTATTGGAAGATATCCCACTGGTTTGAGGTGATCGGAAGGCTGCTGCAAGACCCAGCAGTCTTAGCAGAAAACGTGTACAACATGGATGAGACTGGCGTGATGTTATCGATGCTCGGCTCGGTCAAAGTGCTGGTAGGTAAGAACGACGTGCGAAACTATAGAGGCGCACGTGTGAAGCGTAAGATGGTCACCGCGATCGAGTGCATCAGCGGCGACGGTAGGTATCTCAACCCTCTGATCATATGGCCTGCGACCACGCACCGGAGCAACTGGACTACGTTTCCCACCCCTGGGTGGCAGTATGCGTGCACTGCTACCGGCTACACTGACTCTTATGTTAGCCTACAGTGGCTGAAGCGGATTTTCGATCCAGAGACCAAGGAGCGGGCGAACAACAAGCCACGGGTGTTGATCTGTGATGGCTTTGGTACGCATGAGACCCTAGAGATTCTTGAGTATTGTTTCGCAAACAACATCGTGCTGTGTCGACTTCCTTCTCACACTTCTCACAAACTGCAGCCGTGCGACGTCGCTGTCTTTGCTCCGCTGAAGGCAGCCTATCGCGAACAGGTCGAACGGCTGGAGCGGGGAGGCGTCAACACGATCGGCAAGGAGCATTTTACTTCTCTGTTTAGCCCTGCACGAGTGAAAGCATTTACAGCTAAGAACATCAAGGCCGGCTTTGCAGCAAGTGGCTTATTTCCGTTCAACCCAGATAGAGTGCTTAACTCTATGCCTAAACCAGCCATAGGCCCCTTCACCGCATCAACAGCTAACAAAGCTATTATTGGGCCAAGTTCCCCAGAGCAAATCCCCCCCACCCCCGTGACACCAGTGTCAGCAGAAGGTCTGATGTCCCTGCAGAATCTGATCATCGAGCAGGACGCCCGTGCTCTCGACGAGAAGAGCAAACAAAGCCTACAGAGACACCTTCTCAAGTTCTCAAAAGCCGCCCACCTATCCTTCGCCAAAGGGGCCCTTCAGCAGAACCACATCCGACTCCTGCTAAAGGTCAATAACGAAGCTAAAGTGCGACGATCAACAAAGTCACTAGTGTTAGGAACGGCTAAGGTCATGGGCTACGAGGAGCTCCGAGATGCGCGCGCGAAGCGTGCTGAAACGGAGGCTGCTGAGGCGACTAAAGCTAAGGGGAAACGGGGTCGAAAGCGAACGAAAGCGTCGTGAGAGGCAGACGCAACAGAGCCAAAGCGAAAAGTAGCGCGAGCAGGAGAAGGGCTGGCGCCAACGCGGGCCTCGGTACTGTCACTAAGGGTCCCCGTGGCGCGCATGTACTAGAGAACGCACTTGGGCTTCGCATCTATTATAGTTGTTTGTATGCTGAACTGGGCGTTGTGTGGATAGCATAGAATAAAATATTACAGCCGTGACAATACAGTGCAGACGTTCATGAGGCGAACCTGCGTCATTGAGTGATTAATTAGTGCAATTACTTGGCCGCTAGAGCACTGGCAAGCTCGCACGGTACGGCGCGCTTGGGTTCACCTTTTCCGTCCTGTATTAGTACAGGCTAGGCAACATCAACGGGCTTTGGGTCTCTGCTATCCTGCTAAGCTTGCAGCGCCAAGGACGCGTTCAACATGGCCACAGCCTTGCGGCTGACGTTCTGCATGCGCATGAAGCCACAGCTGCTCCGCCTGAGACCTCGTGCGATGCCGTCGCCATCCCAAGAAAACAACACAGCGCGCTCGGCTCAGCTCTCACAGTTAGCAACGCTGTTCTATTATTGAGCCATCTAGAGCTGTGCGGCTATCGATTGCCCTCCTCTTACGCCGACCTCTACAGCGCACGGCACGGCCATCACGCCCTCGTCCGACTAGGCTGCCACATCAAACTTCTCGCGTCTCGTTTCCACCGCGCGTTCACCATGCACCCACCTAAGTTGATGCGTCTTCTAAGGTACGAAGACGATGGTCGCCTTACTATCACCAGCTTCGACGATAACGCGATACCCCAATATGCGATACTTTCACACACCTGGGGGGCAGATGCAGAGGAGGTGACTTTCGCGGACCTTGCAGAAGGCGGCGGCATGCACAAGCCTGGCTACAAGAAGATTCGCTTCTGTGGAGAGCAGGCACAGCAAGATGGTCTGCAGTACTTCTGGGTCGACACATGCTGCATCGACAAGTCGGACAAGGCTGAGCTCTCTTCAGCTATCCAGTCTATGTTCCGCTGGTACCAGAACGCGACGAAGTGCTACGTATACCTATCAGACGTGTCAACAAAGAAGAAGAAATTTGATGATATGATTCCCCAGTTCACTTGGGAGTCAGCCTTCAGGTCAAGTCGATGGTTCACGCGCGGCTGGACACTTCAAGAGCTCCTCGCACCAAACGTGGTGGAGTTTTTCTCTCAAGAGTGGGAGAGGCTTGGTGATAAGATATCGCTGAGGTTATTAATCAAGAAGATCACTGGTATTCCATGCGAAGCGCTCGACGGAACTCCTCTTTCCCAGTTCAGTGTTGACGAGCGGCTGCGCTGGAAAGGCGATAGGCAGACCAAGCGTGAAGAAGACGCATGGTACTCATTGTTAGGCATTTTTGATGTCGAGATAGCGCCAGCTTACAGCGAAGGGGCAGCTAACGCATTCAGACGTCTAAAGGACGAGATTGATAAGCTCCAGATATGCATTCGAGACATACGCTACACAGATCCGTCCGATGACAAGAAGCGCATTGAGGATACAAAGGGCGGACTGCTAGCAGACTCCTACCGCTGGGTTCTCGACAACACCACTTTCCAGCAATGGTACCAGGAGCCCAACAGTCGACTGCTATGGGTAAAAGGCGATCCCGGTAAAGGCAAGACGATGCTGCTCTGCGGCGTCATCAATGAGCTGCAGGGTTCGATGCCCCAAAGTGCCCTACTGTCATACTTCTTCTGCCAAGCGACCGACGCGCGCATTAACAGCGCTACGGCCGTGCTTCGAGGGCTGTTGCATATGCTTCTAACTCAGCAACCATCGCTTGCATCGCATGTCCGTAAGAAGTACGACCACGCTAGCAAAGCCATCTTCGAAGACGCGAATGCCTGGGTAGTCTTAGTAGAGATCTTCGAGGCTGTGCTCCACGATCCAGGCCTAAGGACGACATACCTAATCATTGACGCGCTAGATGAATGCGTCACTGGTCTGCCAAAACTGTTGGAGTTTGTCGCCAAGCAGTCATCTGCGTCTTCTCTCGTCAAGTGGATTGTTTCTAGCCGTAACTGGCCTGACATTGAAGCACAGCTAGAGCGGGCAGGACATAAAGCTAAGCTAAGCCTTGAGCTGAACGCGCAGTCGGTTGCGGCTGCGGTTGACGTCTTCATACAGCGAAAGGTGGATCAGCTAGCGCAGGAAAAGCGATACAAGACTGAAGTTCGACATAGTGTGCTCCAGCATCTTAGGTCAAACGCTAACGATACCTTCCTCTGGGTAGCGTTAGTGTGCCAGGACCTCAAAACAACGCCAAAGTGGAACGTGCTAAAGAAGCTAGCCCTATTCCCGCCCGGGCTAGACTCTTTGTACAAGCGGATGATAGACCAGATAAGCGAGTCTGACAGCGCCGAGATTTGCCTGCAGGTGCTGGCTTCGACTGCGATCCTATATCGACCCGTTTCGGTCTCTGAACTCGTTGCGCTCGTGGAGCAGCTTGAGGACTTGGACGACCCGGAGTCGGTGCGGGAGGTTATTGGCTTCTGTGGGTCGTTTCTTACCTTGCGAGAAGACATAGTCTACTTTGTGCATCAGTCGGCAAAGGACTTCCTCTTTGAAAAGGCTTATAATGAAGCCTTTCCAGACGGAAGCGAAAGTATTCATCGGATGATCCTCTTAAGGTCGCTAGGGATTCTATCTAGGACATTGCACAGAGACATGTACAGCTTAGAAGCGCCAGGATATCCTATTGAGAACGTCAAACCGCCTAAGGTAGACCCGTTAGTAGTGTCACGGTACCCGTGCATCTACTGGATCGACCACCTGTGCGACTCAAAGCCCGCGTCTTTGGAAAATAGGGTGGATGAGGTGCAAATTCTAAGCGTAGTCGAAGAGTTTCTTAGAGGGAAGTATCTCTACTGGCTAGAAGGGCTTAGTCTGTGTAAGAGTATAGGGAAAGGCGTGGTCTCGATGGAGAAGCTATGGTCACTAGTGCAAGTACGTCGCACAAAATATATATGTCTTTAGTTTAGCCTTAATACTAACGCTAGTAGGAGATATATAAACAAGGGAGACTTGCTCAGCTTGTGCAAGACACATGGCGGTTTATTATGTATCACAAAGGAGCAATTGAGGGTTACCCTCTTCAGACCTATACATCCGCACTCATGTTTAGCCCTACAGGTAGTCTGATCAGACAGCTATTCCAGCACGAAGAGCCAAAAGCAATCAGTATCAGGCCAACTCTAAGTGAAGGATGGAGCGCGTGTGTGCAGACGCTCGAGGGCCATAGTGGTCCTATTAACTCGGTGGCCTTCTCGCACGACTCGACCCGGCTGGCGTCAGCGTCCTTCGACAGCACGGTCAAGATCTGGGATGCGAGCAGCGGCGCGTGTGTGCAGACGCTCGAGGGCCATAGTCAATCTGTCACCTCAGTGGCCTTCTCGCACGACTCGACCCGGCTGGCGTCAGCGTCCTACGATCACACCGCCAAGATCTGGGATGCGAGCAGCGGCGCGTGTGTGCAGACGCTCGAGGGCCATAGCAGTGAGGTCCACTGGGTGGTCTTCTCGCATGACTCGACGCGGCTGGTGTCAGCGTCTGGGGACAAGACCGTCAAGATCTGGGATGCGAGCAGCGGCGCGTGTGTGCAGACACTCGACACCAAACTTCTCGGCAGTTTCTCCTTTGATCCCACTTTCGCTTACCTCTATACCAAAATAGGCACTATTGATATTCAGAGCTCAGACACTTCTATCAGGACGGATATCGCAGAACCTGCGCGCCCCTTATACCTAGGCACTAGCTTTAGCTCAGACCGTACATGGATTCAGCATACTGGCAACAACATGCTATGGGTACCGTCAGAGTATCGACCATCGCAATTCTGTGTGAGTGGGACTATGGTTGGTGTAGGTATCGGGTCTGGAAGAGTGTGGATTTGTAGTATAGACCTTTGAATTAGGTTAGTTATATGTATTCGTTGCAATAACGCGAATATGTGTTCTACTTTCCTTTCTATCTTTCTCTTTAATACTCTTTATAATAAAAAGGGACGGGGATGCATATAAATATGTAGTCTTTGTATCAGCGTGTTACAAGTAACGAGAAGGATTGTCTCCTTGACGCAGGGTGACGGGGTTGAAGGCCAACCACGTCCACGTCAGAAGGTGATAGGCATTGCGGGGCTTGAAGTCACGTGATGCGCTCTCCCGCCAAGAGCCGTTCTCCCGCCAAGGAAGGGATAACCGGCAAGGACAGGAGAATGCGTTCTCCCACGTCTCCCATCAGACGATGCCTCGGAGGGAGAACGAGGATAACGGGGACCAAGGCAATGGGTATAAGAATGGGTTGGATTTCATTTATTACACTCGTTGTGGTCAACTCTCATAAGTTCTTCTCTTACACAGATTGATACTTAGTTATTCTATCTCACAATAGAATCGGTTTGTCTTACCAACGGTTAACTCCTATAACTCTTTTCCATACGATCGCCAGACAACTACCGCACGATTTACTTCATCAAACCGTCTTGCCCTAACCCGGATCGAGACTAGGCAAGTATTCCCCTACCCTGTGTAGTGTAACGGCGCAGGCAAGACTGGTCGGATCAGTATCGGCAGTAGTATCACTCAGAGGCATATGGGAGTGCGTGGGATAGCAGAAAAGCCTTGATTCGATAGACACCTATAGGCCTGGTACGAAAGGATATCAAAAATCTACAGAACAGCTATTGTGAGACGTCGTGCACTTATACTAGCCGAGTCGGATCAGTGTCGGGTCCGACTCGGATTAGAATCAGATCAACACTAGTTCGTAGGGCCAGATGGCTACCGAGTTGGTTCTGGTAACGTGTCGTTACATGTAGACCCCGTGTAACACAGCGCCTAGAAGCTTCTAGGGCTATTAGATAGAGTAGCTGTTGTTATGTCATGTCGTTAGATGAATCTAGGATAGTTCTTGCTGTTTCTTACTTGTAGGTACGATGCAAGTACTCCGTAGATCATGCAAGTTGACTTGCACGCTTCTAGAGGTTGCTAGCATGCGCCACAGCTATTTTGAGCCCCTAAGTGCTATAGGTATAGCGCCGAATTTGTTACGATATTATACGGCGACATCTGAGCACGCTACTGTACGCTACTGCATGCCAAGTGCTGCTAACAGCGCACGTCCTCTAGGACAAGTTTTGACGATCTTGCTGTCTGCGCGGAGAAACTGCCGGGATGTGCCTATATCACCCTAAGTCGACCTTGCAAGGCTGCAGTCCTGATCTTTGCTACTTTGGCTTCCTTCTTAGCCTACCGAGCTTTTCGTAGACACATACTGTCGCAAACGGACAGGGGAGTCACGGAGGAGAGTCGAAAGACAACACTAACAAAATGAGCGACAGCACGGTTAATAGCGTGCTTTTCGGGATCGGAGACTAACGTGCTAGAAGAACGAGAACTGCAGAATAGATGTGCATTGCACTTGTTTGTATTCGAGAATACAAGGAGCAATCCGAGCGTCCGGAAGAGAAAGCGTCCCGTTACACCGTGCGTCCCGGCACGCTTGGATCGACATTATGCCATTTCTTTCGGATTTTTTAAGGTCTTCTTATGGAGAGCCTGGACCATAAAGGATTTGTAGTTATCGAGTATCTGGATGTCTCATCCATCGACTTACGTCCTGGAGCCCATTGACGGTAGACTTGAAACTAGCTTATACAAACCTTGCATCCCTCCTTGATAGAAATCACGACTCCCATCCTTTGTTTTTCCACACCTACCAGTTCAACTAGCTCTCCTTCAGGGAGATTTATAGATGCAAAACGCTGTAACAAACGCACAATCACATATGCAGCTTCGGTGAGCGCGAAGTCGACTAAAGTACATTATCAGCTCTATCAAATCCCAAAGTGTCTTTTTAGTTCGTAGAACTCACGTCCAAGACATGTCCTAGGACCCCCGTGGAATGGCAGGAAGCCCCATTTCGCATTCGTTGGGTTGCTGTTCATTGGCATTTCTTCGTCCCATCTCTCAGGGCGAAACAGCTCAGCGTCCATTCCGTAGAGATCTGGCCGTCGGTGCATGCAGTATACGCTAAATGACACAGCGCTTCCTTTGGGTATGAGGACTGGCGATTTCCTGTCTGGCCCTCCGCCTATTGGGAGAACTGTGGTTCGCGTTGCGGTGCGCGTATTTACAGGAACAGATGGATAAAGTCGTAAAGCTTGGCAAGTTAGTACCTTGAGGGAACTCAGTTAAGAGAACATTGCTTACTCTCTTTGAGCACATTATTCAAATATGGCATCCTTCTAAGATTGTCTCGGTTCAGTGAACTGACCGTTGTGCATGATGAAGCGATTTCTGCACGTAACTTGTCCATAACTTTTGGGTGGCGGATAAGCAGAAAGCTGTTGCAGCTCAAATGTTAGTGTCAGGATAAACGGAATGCGTTGCATAACGACTCACAACGTCCAGGAAAGAAGACAGGCGGTCGTGTCTCTACCAGCAGCCAAGAGGTTGATTATCTGACCTCTAAGTGCATTTCGGTCCGATGTGCTCTTTGCTACAGTATCTAAGAACACATGTCTCCCCGAGTTTCCATTTGCAAAGCGCTCAGAGGAAAGATTACGATCAATGATCTGATCGGCAAACTTGTGCACGTCGTGACAGGCCTGTCGGAATTCTCTTCCGTCGACGAGCCAATAGAGACCAGGGAGTCGAAACCTCTTCATCACCCACTGTTGAGCGCTGTTGAAAGCGTTGGCAAACGTTTCCTCTTCAATCGCTTCTGGCGTGACTAAGCTTCGAACAGACTCACCGAACAAGAAAGCAGTCGTTGTGTCGAGTGTTAAGCGAAAGAAAAGAGGTTGCAAATCAACGATTCCGTTGCTTGCTTGGAGGAGACTTATAAGATCGTCTACCGCAGGCTGGAATACCTCGAGATTCTCGTATTGCTTGAATTTCAATTGCGGGCGGAGGATATCGCGAGACTGCTTCCACTCAGATCCCTCTTGGGTGAAGATGCCGTCACCGAACATTGGAAAGGTGATGTTTCGACGAGGACCCATTCCAAAATCTGTATATCATGAGCAGAAACTCATGCTGTGTGTAACTATGCGCACCTTTGAAACTAGTCGAGAAGATTGCCTCAAGATTTGCTGGCTCTATCGTTCCGTACGCTTTAGTACCCAGAAATTTCTGTTCGAGCGTACTACCAGTTTGCCTGAAATGGAAGAGGAAGAGTTCCATCAATCGAGACTCTGCATCTGCACGGAAGATTTGCTCAAGTCGATCGATTCCCAAAAATCTCTGATTTTGAAGCCTGGGAGCTGGCTGGCAACCATAGCGTTCACCGATAGTTTCATACTCCTACTCTACTGTCAGAAGCGTTTCCAAGCTGCAACATGGTGAAAATCATACCGCTCGCCTCTTCCTTTGGCATCTATGCTGGACTATGATTCCAACAAATATTACGAACACGGCGAGAATGAGTGTGCTGAACCTCATGTTTGGCTAGATTCCTCGAGATATGAAATCAATCAATCATATAACATACAAGAGGACCCGGCTGGACTATACAATTCTTTTTCATGTATACCTTATATGTAGTTGTTGTTATGCATGAGTATAACCATTGGACGTTCCCGAAGCCGACGTCAAAGAAGTAGCATATGAAACAAAAGCTCCACGAGCTGCACGATACTTACAAACGCAAGCACATACAAGCAAGCAGATGGGGTTGACACCCGCTTGGGAATTGTAAGCTGCTTATTGACGGGTAATCATATCGATGAGGCACAGTTCATACTTACATGAAGAAAGTAGGTCATCATGAACCATATCTGGGACCAAATCTCGATTGTTGGTTAGCAAGCAGACTGCAGGATATTGCTCCAGCAATCGCTGGATGGTGTACATGAGAAACTTTCTCAACTTCTCCTTATGTTCTAGAAAAACCTGTTTCACGATGGAAAGATGAATCGTAGCGCTATTGTTCAACTTTCTGGTGTTTCAGTAGGGTGTATTAGACGTGGGCACAAAAATAAGGTTTCAATGCCAGTTGACCATCAAATTCGGATCGCATAATGATGTTCGTTTCCTATGCACTCACCAATAGGACTAGCAGATGTTTACAGGAGAACAAGCAGTCGTCATCTTAGCCTTCAACCGGTCGTATATGTTCAATGACCCTCGCTAATTCTAACATGAGTCGGTATAGATAAATTGTAAAGTCTTCTTTTCTTAAAACCTTTCCATGCCATTCCCGACCAGCCTCAGCAATCTCTCGTGCCCTCTTCTTTCCATCGTCGTGAGCCGTCATGTATCGCATGATTTCTGGCAGTTCGTCCATAGACAAGCTAATAGGAATGAAATGCACCCACGGCACAAGACGCTCGTCGTGCCATTCACGGAAAACAGATTGCTTGAGAACGACACTTCGTGACTGCAACAAAGTATAAAACCGCCCACTGAACGAGTTGCCGTCGATATCAAACGCGAATTGAGCATGAAACTGCTGGATCTGGGCTTCTCTTTCGCCAACTGTAAAGAACTGATTTTGCTCTTTGCAGTCCACAAGATCACATTGAATGACATCAGTAAATTTGACATCAAATAAGCTGTTGTGATCCTCGATTGCCTGGTAGCTCACCCAGTGCCCGGGCTTGGATTCTCGGAGGTACGTGTAGTTAGTACTGTTCAAAGTCTGTACCAATTTGACGAAGCGTTGGCGGTGGGAATGCCGCCAGCTACCATTCCAACTATAACTGCCGGTCGTACTCCCGGCCCAATAGAGCTTCTTGGCTTTCTGGTCCCATGGAGGGTCCCTCTCATCATCGTAATCTCCTTGATCCATCTTGTCGGCATACCAAGTACTGGGGTACACAATGTCTCCAAAAGAAGTCGGAACTGCTTGAGATAAGATAGGAAGGTGAGTGTTTGTGAGGATCGCCGTCATTGGCGATGAGAAGAAACCATGTGTAAGGGCAAACTCCGGATGCAAGCAGACATCTTTTTCTCTATACCAATCTCGAACCAACGGTATCTTGAAGTCGTAGGTGGTATAGGGTTTCTGACTAAGCGGATCCTGCACGCAAAAGCCAATCGTGTGGTTCCATATTGGAAGGTGGTTTGCTTTGAAAAATCGAGGCTTTGATGCATCACCAGTAGCGATTATCTGCGGCGTCGGAATAATTCGGGGTTCATCCAATAGATTTAACAGAAAATCAACATCTGGGATATCCTGGGATACTTCTTTGAGAAGGTTTCCGAAGTCGTTGGCAATCCAATGATGTCCTTGGGTAAAGTACTGTCCGTTCCGAAAGCCGCATTTTGTTAGGGCAAGATGCTCCAACCCAGACGCATGATCGATGTTCTCATGAAGGCGTCCAGTGTCAACTCTCCAAAGCCGACTCAACCCCTCGTTAATCATGTCGAAATCATCAATCAGAAGCGAGCCCTTTGATTTTGCGTAGGAAAACCATTTGTCAAACCCAGGGGGTGGGTGTTGTGCGTACCTTCTCTGGTACTCAGTCTTAGCAGACTCGAGTGTCTTAGATTGCCGGCCAATGAGACGTTGGAATTCTTCTTGAGCCTCACGGATGAGTATCTCGACAGGGTGATGTGAGCTCTGGCTAGTTCGCCCCATCCAGGGTACAGTTGGTGAGATGGGTAGCCGGGTGCCCAACGTGGTATGTTGTAAAAACAATGCAGCCGCCCATATAGCCAACGCAACTACCGCAAGACGGATCTGAGTTTTCAGCGCGAGTCTCATGTTTTGTTGAAGGATAGGGAAAACGGCAAATGGTACCAGTAATCACTCATGGGTGACCACCTTTTCAAGATTGCATACAGTGAGATGTTCAAGTTACTGATTCCGCGCCAATTCTTTGCTCTACGCCAAATTCTACGGAGTTGATCATTTTTCCATGTATACATAGAATACAAGAATAGCATAAGTGGCAAGCGGGTGGCGCAATACTGAGAACGGAATGCTTACAAAGTGGGCTGCTGAGCACACAAAAGGTACTTTTATCATATCGTTCAGTTGGAAGCTATGCACAGTTACCCAGAGGCTTACTACAGCTTGCTCGGTTGTTCAGTAGTGTCGAAGGGTAATGATTACTAAGCGCATCACGTGATTGCGGGGTGGCTAGGAGGATAGCGGGGCAGCGCTGTAACCTGCGTCTTTCGTCCTGCTGACTAGTCTTGAACGTAATCAAGAGCGTCAGCATTTTGTATCTACAACACAGCAGTGCAGTACCTCAAAACGGTTGTGAAGTTGGAACGGGGAGGCGCCATCTTGCTGAGTTTACTGAAATTCACAGTTGGCTTCTATTTTCTACACAGCCTACATTTCTAAACCAATAGCTCGTCTTTATACTAAGTACTCTTGCTTCTATAAGCTTAGAGAGTGAAGCCAAATTACACTCGAAACCCGGGCCTGCACAGCAGTGACTGGAGTGTTGAGTATATGATTGTAAGACGGATTGTACTTTGCACGCAACCAAACACTCAGGAGCGCTAACTGGTGGGTAAATCTTGCTAGTTAAGGCTCAAGGGTCATTAAATCAACAAGGATCATTGGAGAGGGATCAGCCGATGTTGTTAAGTGGGTGCCGCACTGCTCCCACGCATTCTAATCATGTAAATAGGCGGATTGACAGCCCACGCTCGGCGTTGGGCTTGGAAGCGGATTGAAAGATGGTAAAACTAGTACATAATGGCCGCCATCGGGCCTATGCTTACTCTTGCAACTGATGTAACATACAAACGATCTAGTCACTAGCTTCTGAGTGAGATGGAAAATGTAAGCATCTTATAACTATAACCATATTAGAATTACATAACATCGACATTGACCTAGTCACGTGTTGTAGATTCGTTTGATGCTGCTGACACTAACTGTATTGATGCTATTCATAGAACAATATATATGCATAAGGTTTTAGTCGCCTGAATGGTTATTTCGCTGCCAACGGTTACCTCATGGCGACACACCACTTAATCAGACAGATCAATCGACTAAAGGTACTGGCCCAGCGCAGTACGGACAATGGATACTATAATACAGCGTGGAGTGCGATGCGTAAAGCACAGAAAATCTGGACCCCAGCGCTTGGTATATCCAAGCCTAACTTCTCAAGCGAAGGCTGGCGAAAACTTGACATCGAACGTTTGAATGAGCTAGTGGCACTCGCTCAGCGATACAAGAACAGTGGATTGTGTGATGCAGCCTGGATTGCGATGCGCAAGGCTCAGAAAATATGGACACCAGAGCTTGGTATATCGAAGCCTGACTCCTCTAGCGAAGGCTGGCGCGAGGTTGACATGGAGCAGATAGTTGAGACGACTGCCATCACTGAGGAAAATGAACTTATTGGGTTGGAGAACAGAGCAAGAGTTGCACTGGAGACGGCTCATATCGCCTGGGAAAGACTCCCAGAGCCCAAACCTCCAAGACCACAAATATCGCCAAAAGCTAGGCGCCAATGGTGAAGAGTCCTAAATAGCTGGCAAGAGGGAATTTGGCCAGCTGCAGATTTGTCTACATTTAGCTGTCCCATTTGTATAGAAGATCTGTTAGGAACATGCTATAAGCACAGCGCATGCTGGAAAACATTCCGCCGTTAATTTTCAGAATCATACATGTGTTTGAACAGAAATTGTCCTTTATGTCGCTAGGATTTGTAATCAATTAATCGTGGTTAAAGATGCTGGTTAACTAGAATAACTGACTCTTGACTAATGATCTTAGCTTCTAGTCAGTATGGTGGCTATTATATCTGCGATGCGTCAGGAACTTTCGAGAATTTCTTTCTGAAGACATATTCCCAAGTTCAATTGGGGAGCTAAAACCTTATGTCGACCTGAGATATCGATCAAGGTAACATTGGGAGTCTTCCAGTTTGATATATAACGTGCATCCCTTCGTACCGGAACAACCGGTTTGGCGGAGCACTATTCCTCATGTATGTAGATAAGGGGCAGAAAAATGATTGAAAAAGACTCATAATCTCTGATTGCTTTTACTTGCATGTACCCTACATATCACTATTGCCCAGACAGAAAAATACGCGATGGTGTGGCTGTACATCATCGATACGCTGGCGGCGACATATTTCTTATGGTGTTCATACCCCACACTGACCCTAGAGTGCATCCATATTACGGCAACACTTGGTTACATGAGCTTACAGACCAAGTTCTTACCTACAACCTCGAACACAGCGACAAACAGGATGTGCGTATGATGGAGGATGAAAGTGGCAAATTCCTGACCAAGGGGCTCTATGATTACTCATATCTTCTGTCCAAATGCGCGGAGCAAAACACACCATACATAGCTATTTTTGAAGACGACACGGTCGCTATGGAAGGGTGGTTCCATCGCACAGTCTCCGCAATACGCGAAGCAGAACGTCAGACAGTACTACGACATGCTAGAGAAAATTTTCTCTACGTGCGTCTATTCTATACTGAGACATTCTTGGGCTGGAATTCGGAGTACTGGCCGACATATGTATGCTGGTCGTTTGTCGCAGCGGGTGTCCTTGCAGCTGCCTTATTTTCCTTGCGGAAAACCAGGCCCGCCATAATCCTGTGCTATTCTCTCGGCCCACGATGCACGATCCTTCTATCGTATTTCGCCCTGATAGTAGGAATCCTGTTTTTCTTTGCACTGGGCCGGATGACAGTCCTGCCTATCCCAATTGGCGTAGGTGAGATGGCCAGGTTCGGGTGTTGTAGTCAAGCTCTCGTCTTCCCAAGGAGCAAGGCGCTAGAACTGGTCTCTTATTTCAATGACCGCCGCACTGGCTATATGGATGTCTTGACAGAAGAGTTTGCTGAGCAGAAAAACGAGCTCAGATTCGCCATAACCCCTAGCTTGGTACAGCATGTTGGTAGAGAAAGCAGCAAGTACACGGACCAAGGGCCAATCATCAAACAGGGGATCTGGAACTTTCAATTCGAGCGCTACAACTGGGAAGAGTTGAGAAGGGAACATGAGGCAGCTACAAAGGAATGGCTGAGATAGTTGGTCTATAGGCACATGTGACGACTGGGATACTAGATAGCAAAACGAATTGTCCCAGTGTCGATTACTAGTACTGAAAGCTTGTAACTGACACACACTGCTTCTTCCTCAGTAGCTAGGTATCATGGTGTGGCGAGTCTTACATATGTTCGATTTCTTGCTTGTTATGAGAGCCTCAGTGAGCTTATTCTCGGCGAAAATGTGGTTCATCTCTTTCCGATAGCATCCATGCAGCGCCAGCGACAGCACTCGCCAGCATGACGACTGTGAACACACTGGCACCAATCTTGTCCCCTAGAGTGATACCATCAAGAACAGGAGGTTCAGTAATTAGTGTTATCCAGACCGGCATTCGGGCTACTCAATGACGTCCCTCCGCTGTTGCGTGACACAGGTCCGGTGACAACAGGATAAAGAAGACTCTGTATCACTTCCAAAGCAGCCATTTGCTCGCCAACACCAAAGCTTCTACCATGTTCATTTCCTGCAGCCCAGTAAAGATTGCAAGAGCTCTGACCTGCCTCGTCAGTGCACTGAGCAGCTGCGGCAATAGCGGAAGCCTCGAGTCGTGGGTCAATCGAATCGCGAGTCCAAGGGGCGACCATCGCAGTATAAGCCATCCAGCGAGACAAATACGCCTTGAAAGAACGCTGGTCTATGTTGCATCTACCTCGGTTCTCGCAGCTGATTTCGGTCATGACGTTGTCTCTGAAGAAGATGCTTAGTCCTCCAACTATTCCTTCTAGCCTGGTTCTCCAGATGTCACTCTGAGTCTCGTGGAAAATCAGCGATTGCAAGCACGTTAGTCGCCGTTTGGCTTTCACTCACTGCGTTCCATATTGCCGCAGCGCCAGCCATATGTACTCCGGCGTTGTAGGTCCATTTTTTATGGTCGAAAGTTGTGCAATTCTCCTTGCCGTGGGCACCGTCTAAGAAATAATAGTCGTCTGTTATGAGGCCCACTGCCAGCTCCCACTGCCAGACTTGTTCAGCCCAATCCAGGTATATCTGATCTCCGAGATATTTGTAGAGACGGGCAGCTATGTTAAAGAGGCAACCGTTGGATATAGTATTCTTGTAGCTGTATCCGATGCTAAAAAAGTAAATCTGCCATCTCAATCCTCCTCCACAGATTACCTGGTCCCATCGGTTCCTCTGTGTATTGAACACAGCTTGAGCAAGCGATAACCAGGACGGCTTTCCATTTCCCAAATCTGGTAGTTTGCTCTCTGCCGCGGACATGGCTGTCATTCCCCAGAAGCCTTGGTCGTCATTTCCGAGCGACCTGGACTGGTTCAGAGGCATGAAAGCATCGAATTCTCCAATCTGATGTTCTAAAGCTCTTATGACAACAGCATTGTACTGGTCATCTCCCGTATAATACCAGTAGTTGATGAAGGTATTGAACATGGCACCAGCCTCCCACCAGTGATAGGGTGGTGGGAGGAGACCTGGTATACCACCTTCTCGATCCCCGGTATAGTATTGTCGCAAACCTTTTGAGAGAATCGCAACGACTTCCTTGACGCTATCTGTTTTTTTACTAAGCAAGCTCAACCTTCGCGTACCTGTGATCGTATACCTGGAGAGTGGATGTCGAGATGAATGGCAGTGACAGCGTAGATCAGCAAACTTCCGAGAGAAGAAACTGACAACAACTTCATTTTTGTAGGATTGTAAATTAGATAGGGTTGTGCACAGCTGGTCGCGATTGCTGTTGCGTAGTGCCGGGCTTCGATACCCTTCGGTTTGCTACTAAGCACAAGACTATAATCAGGCTCCGTACAAGTTTTTCTACAGCTATATTATCTCTAAGTAACTTTCAAAGTCACGACAAGTTACAAGCGCTTTCTATAATCTACTAAGTTCCATTCCATCATAGATGCTTGCGAACCCTTGTTACTGTATGTATTGACGTATGCCTAATACTGATAAAGTCTCGCTGTATCCGCTTGGGTAAGCTGATTTCTTGTTAGAACTATATTTTGATTGCTTACAAGACTGGCTATAAATCCTGCAGTCAACATAACGTCCTTTCCTATGTGACTAGAAACTCTGTGAGCCGAGAACGAGTAGTAAGACATAGCGCTGTGGCGGAAATTTGTGAACTGATGTTCTTCTATGTGACGGAAACATTGGTAAGCCGAAAGTAACCAATCAAAGCGCGCAGGGTTAGTATATATCCTGGCACGACGCTGTTTTCAACTAGCTGATTACGGCTCTCCAGGTTTTTCCTGCACGTGAAAGGTTAGTATTTTCGGGTTCCTATTGGCCATTCTCGCCCAGACGGCTTCTCATTATGCAGAAAGCGAATTCACTAACTGTCGCATGCCTCATGAACTCAAGAACCGGAGAACTCTACATCTCTGCAACAAGCTGACGCACCCATAGTGTACCTTGAGCATGGCGTTCTATACAGTTTGCGTCACACGGTAAGCAAGGGTTGCGACTCCATTACGCGAGATATGTACCAGTCACGCCCCAGTGCAATATGTTCACAGGTAACAAAGACAGAGACATGCGTGACATGATAGGAAGGGCATGGCCACTGCTTATCTGCGATGACAGGGATATTGGGCACCCAGAGCTAGTCGATGTAAATAGGGAGCAAGGGTTCATAGAAAACCTTTCATCTGTGTAGAAGGAAGTCGTGATCAGCCTTGAGAAAATTGAAGAGTTCAGGTATTGAATAGGAGTCATGGGAAAACCGACAGTACAAAGAATGACACGAGCATATCATTTATGTTAGTTAGTTAACTATCCCTATCTATTCATCAAGTATGTACAACTTCGCCAAGAAGTAGCTTGATGGTTCTCTGCTGCTCCTCGAGGAACTCTCGAGTGGCACCAATATCAAACTCTAGTCCTTCACGCTGGCGCTCAAAGATCTTGCATCGCTCTTCTCAAAATCTGGCTTTCATGTTATCGAATCGACAGTCGCAGAACCAGTAGTAAAAAGAATTCTGCTTTGTAATGCCGCGAACACCAGCCAGCATCGTTTGATCTGAGATAAACGGCGACTTTGGTCGCCACGATGTCACCATAGTCAAGCGTTCTTTGCCACCGAAAGCTTTCAGTGCCTGATGCTCAATGTATCGGCCTTGCATGATCACAGCAGTTCCCTGTTAGACAGAAGTTAATGCCGCTTATTCGACGAACATAAATGAGAACGAGAAGCTTACCATTGTTGGCCCTCGCACCCTGATAATCTCACCCAAAGCTGTCTTGATGGCAGTTTCCCCTCCAATCATTCGAGTACAGTCGGAAAGCATGGTGATGCGGACGAACGGAGTACTGTCAAAATGCCAGTCGAATGCAGGTGTCTCGTCAGCGCCTGGCTTCGACTTGTCATCCAAGCCAAATGACACATTGATCTGGCTGACGTCGCAGGGGAGACTAGGTACCAGCTCTACACCAGCAATATCAGAAACAATAGCTTGCACCTTCTCGTTGTGCCACGCTTCCCATACAAATGTCGCGTACTTCGGCGCATACATACGCTCCAATCATGTGTTTCGCAAAACTAGAAGAGATCAAGCAGTTGTCCAGGACTTCTAGTGTGAAAGCCTCTACGCGCATTTGGTTGATAGCGTCCTCTGTGAAGAGCGGAAACGGCTCTAATACGGCCACTGGAGAAATTCCATAACCTTCATATCTTATGTCCTTCATCGTCATCACTTTAGGAGCGGTTTTGTAGCTCAGATGTATCGCTGGATCGAATGAATAGCGTTCCTTCAGGATATTTTTCTCTACAAGGCTTTTTGGTAACGGAACACTTGGTCTGGTGACAGTCTTCTGAAGTGGCGCGACTAGCGTAGGTGGACTAGGAATGGATATACTCATATTAAAAGGAGTTGAGTTTAGCTATGTGGTGACAATGTCTCATCATGATTTGCTCAACGGAGAATTGATATTGTCCTTTCATGCCGTGAAAGAGCGCATCTTCCGCATATATATGCACAAATTGTGCTACTCCTATAATGGTAATTCACATGGTTAAAGTAATAAGTCTTTCCAAAACGTGAACGAAAGTTATAGCTTCTCCACCTCCCCAAACTTACTTACCAATCTATTCTAGGGCAAACTTTGCGGAAGACTTATCGAGGCCGCGTTCTATCGACGATAATGCAAGGGTAAAATGTTCGCACGATGGATCTCATCTTTTGCCCATTTCTGGTAAGTGTGAGTATGATACTTAACTCCAGTCTCGACTTTATCAACATTCAAAAGCGACTGTGCTTGACAACAAAAACCGGAAATTCTTTTCTCACGTATACCCAAGTTGTTATTTTACGACAGCATCCGTGGTCTACATCATGTTCGACGTCGTAGTTATTGGAGTAGTTAACTACCTAATCATCAAGATTGTGAATGCCGGCAGTTTCGCCATGTGGAGAAGGAGGCACTGAAAAGCTTTCCATGGCAACAAGAGCCCTGCAATCGTGTCAAGTTGATGACATAGCACCGTAATGTGTATGGTTGTATTATACACCGCGCGAAATCAACTTCAGCCCATAACATGTCTTGCTAGATTGCTTGTCGAAGTGTTGACTACTAGCCCTATCTCGGGTGAGCTGCACTTCTTTTCCGGACAGGTACATTTGAATCGACTTACAGTAGCTGACGCGAGTAGTAGATTCGAAGACACAAGTCAGGGCTACAAAAAGAGCCCGTGTACTGATATATGATACTTTGGCTTCAGTGGTGCCTCTGATTCCTATCCCACACCTTGTACGAAGCCTATCCGTGAATTTCTGGCGTTTGTTGTTGTCTAAACGATAGCCTATTGCGACAAGGCAGGGGAAAGGTTCTATGGCGGAGGCTTTGAGTGAGTTAGCAAGCAGCACTTGAATTCTATCCACGAAACTGCCTATGGAAAGTTAACAACAAAGAGGAATATTACACACATCCCGATATTACTATCCAGAAAACACCAAGACCCTTTCCAAAGGATATAATATCGACAACATGGGGACTTGCCCTCTGACGAGTGTACCCCAATCTCCTACAACACCGATTACGCCAGTGACATCAGAGAGCGCTAAATCTTCATACGGGAAGATCGAGCAAGACACTTTCACCACCGCGAGAATGGCAAAACAGCTCCGTAGGTCGGCTAGATTAGTCGTCTTGGGAAAGGCAACGGTTACGAGCGATGACCAAGTACGAGAGATGCGCGCTGATCGTGACGGAGAGGGGACAGCGTCAGTCGAAAAGGGCCAAGGAAAATTCAATTGCAAACGAAAAGCCAAGGCAGCTGAGGCGGCGATGGCACTGGTTACACCAACGAAAGAGGTCTTGACAAAAACGGTCATTCCCTCAGACACAGACGAAGATTCGATTGACGCTTCGACGCTTATGGACCGTATGCCTTGGTTATTCCAGCTGGAGCCAGGACCAACCTGGGTAGCTCCTATAGCTAGAATGTACTAATCTCTCAAGACGGCGAATCACAAGAGCAATTTATGCTTAGACAAGACTTGGGTGCACACGCGCATATGCAAAGTTACTGTTGAGAGATACGCCAAAGAAAGTGAACTCTTGGAGATGGGACGTGTGCGCTGAACGGATGGAGAAGTTAGTGGAGCAGATTCGTACAGCCACCGCAGACGTGCATGTTTTTCAAGGTTGTGTTTTATAAATTATACCGAGGCTCTTATGCTACTATGTATATTAGAATCCTGACTGTTATTCTATGGAGAACAAACCTTTGATCGATTTTTATGGCCCGCGCTTTTGGTCCGCAGGGGGCTTATTCCTAAGGTTTGGAACAAACCCTTAATTAATGACCTACTGTAACGTAGTTCAGCAGGTAGGAGCAAGGATATCAATATAGTACGAATTGAGACGAATCCTTGAGGTCTACCTTCAGGTTCGGGTGGATGCTATATACTCTAGGCACGAGCCTGGGGGTCCCTCGGCCCGGTAGGTCTCCGATGGGTCCCCGGGTGTGATCCCTATGTTGGAGTATCGTGACACTTACGCTAATCTATCATAGCTTGTAGTTATTATAAGAAGTAGTGTGTTAGATGCACGCAAATTATTTGCACTTTATACCCAAGTTGCAGCTATTTTCTACAATTGAGGATTGAGGTTAACTAAATAAAGTGTAGTTAGTAGGAAGTTGGTATTCGTGGGTGTGGCCTGTGCCCAGTAAGAGTCGCGCTTAGGGCTTAACAAACCCTAACCTAATTTTGCAATTATTTTACAAAAACCAAGATCGTATCTATGGGTAGAGAAAGACGACGTAGAGGCACTAGTCAGGGGTAATTAGAAACACCCTTCCTCCATTATCTCGTTTAGATGCCGTGTGGGGTGTTCATTGCGCTTACTCTACACCCATGTTTTCTTTACGTACTGTGCTTCATGTGCGCAAGGCCGCCTTCCATCTTTTCCAACAATTATGGAAGACTAAATTCACTGTGGGCAGTTGTTTCTACCGAGACGATCCCAGCATGACCAAGAGCCACATCAAAGTCATCTTCCATGCGGGAGCGCTTCCAAGTGGAGAAAGAATGAACGTCTTCTCCGCAGCCGTACTCCATCTTCAAGCTTTTTCCACGTTGTTCGATGAGACTTCTCGTAGTTTTCTGGGTCATCTGCATACCGCCAAAGCCTTCATGCGTCATATGCGCTCTATAGGCGGAGCCTCGGTCAGCAAGACGGCCAAGGTCGTCCTCAATACTGCGATGCACCTGCCCAAGAATTATACATGGTTGAGCCACCCAGAGCATGCATGGTAATTTCCAACGACAACGACGAAGGCAGTTGTGAGTGTTGACGTGGTGAGGCCTGTCGTATTGAGTCCAACGATGCGGGTGACGGATACGACGTATCCTTCGGCGGGCTAATATTTGTTGCTTTCATCTATCTGGTCTTCGGCGTGGTGCTGGTTGGCATCCTTGTACGTTGGCGTGGAAATCGGAACTTTCGTCGTCTGTCAGGATGGTAATCGGACGCGTTTTCTAGAGGCTGGGGATCCTTAACATTGCCGTAGATAGAGGTTTCGTGATAGCAATCCCCACAAGCCTGATTTACCCAATTTGTACTTAGCGCGAGGAAACATCTTGTCTGCTTCTTTGTGTAATCCTAGTGGCTAGATCTCGAGTTTCTCCCGTTTGGCCGATGGCTCTTCGTTCGTCGATGCGCGTCGCAAGACTTTCTCGGGCCGAGCTTCTTCTTGATCTGTGAGGCGTTGAGCCACTTCCATTGCCGTTAGTCGAACTTCAGAATCCCACTCCAAAAGTTCTAGGACCAGATTCCAGAAATCCGGATAGTGCAGCTCAACAGTATTCGTTGCCATAGTGTTCTTGAACTTCTTATAGATTGCAGCATTTCCCAATTGTTGTTGAAACTGCTTGCTTAACAGGAAGTCAACAAGAGTAACACCAAGGCTCCAAACATCCGATGGGAAAGAGAATGGTTGAGTTGATTGTCCATTTTTCACTCTCATGACCTCTGGAGCCAGATAAGTTATTGTTCCTCGGTGATGACGCATGCTTGTCGGATCCGGCTCGCTACATCCAAAGTCAACAATTATAGCATGTACCGGGCTAGTAGAGTGATAAACGATATTGTTGGGCTTGATGTCTCGGTGTAGCATGTTGAGGCTGTGAACATGAGCGAGGCCGGACGCTACCTGGCGCATCGAGTCACGAAGAAAAGTGGCAGAATCAGGAAGAGACTTCCAGGATGTGAGTAACCCCAGTGCTCCAGTGGTTGCTGGTGGCGACATGATGAGGCCCACCGTTGGGCCTTCATCATGACGCCACGTACGTGGATCGGCGGATGAGTCCCAATTGACAACCTTTTCAAGTTTGCAAACGTTTGTCTAAGAAAAAAGGTCTTAGTCACGTTCTTTTGCTGCTCATGGCAACTTACGTGGTTGAGGCGGCCCAGGATTTCAATCTCTTTTCGAAGGTCATTGAATTGCGCAGCAGTACATTTAACCATTTTGACGGCGACCGGCTTCCCATTTGACTTGTCATATCCCAATGACACAGTGCTAGTTGTTCCGTGAAGATTGGCATCGAAGATGCTGTAGCCGTGGTAGTCAATAGTGTTCCTGGATGGTGTTGGTGACAGAAGCATGACGGACTTATCAAGCCCAGTGCTAGCTCGTTTGAGGGCTTCTTGTAGTTCGCGTTGTTGTTGCTTCGGGTTTAAATCTGTGTATACGAGACGATAAGTCAGGTCACCAAGTCCGATGATGGTATCATGCTGTAGAGCGGCCTGATAATCTTGTACATCCTGCTCCTTCCTTTTGGTATCGCGTTGGACGATTTTGCCGTCGATACTGACCTGCAATAGGGATAAGTCGATGGTACACTGATATATCAGCGACAAGTTACCTTTCTGCTATCAGATATAGCCAGTAATACGCCAGTTTGGAGCAGGCGTCGCAGCCTGCAGTGGCGCGAATGGAGAGCATGTTCGTTGGCGAACGGAGCAAGAAGGAAGTCTACAAAATTTTCTGGCTTGTTTGTTCGGGAACTTCCCAGGACCCAGCCTAGGCTTTCGTTTGCAGGCGGAATGGTCATGTTCAGTCGGTAGTAACCACAGTATTCCTGGACGGGTTCATGCTATAGAGGTGGAGTCACACTGGTAAAACTACTTCCAGTAGTGCTATCGTCAAGATACACAACTTCATAGTGAATGAAGCTGCGCACGTGATTCCACTTACTAGCATCACTGTCAAGAAGCCGGACAACCTGACTGAAAAGCGTGCGAGCCGCTGGAGAATGTGGCACCAATCGTGCAAAGTCGCCATTGGACGCTCCGAGATGTACATTGTCCCATGATTGCACATCTGGCTCGGTGTCGCCGTCAGTTTCATCGCCATGTGGGTCCATGAAGTTGAGAAATTAGACAAGTGGTCTCGTTGTAGGGTGCAGGATAGGTTGAAGATGCAAGGTGGGATGATGCGGGCGGAGGTTTCCCAATGAGACTAGCGCTGCCAAGGAAGGACTTCACGGCCATCTGGGCACCGCGTCCTCCATCGGACATTTACGCATGATATCATCAAAACATGACATGGCATCGCCGCCGCGCTCACCAACTATACCAGACCACGTGCTGAGAACCTATGAAGAACAGTACATTACTGGACCTCTCCTCGCTGCACTATTGAAGCTGCAGAATCAGCGGGAGGCGACTGACAACACGGAAGCGCCTTTCAAACGAGTGCCATACAACAAAACCCCTGAACCGAGCTGGGGCCGACAATCTCCGCAACTCACACCAACTCCTTCACCCTCGCCATCGCCGAAGACATCGCATCGCAAACTGCAATCCTTTCCAACTCCACCCGACACGTCACCCCTGCGCAAGGACCCAGCTTCCGCATCACCTAACAAACCCGTCGCCGTACGTCGCCGACCTCGTCACCAGCAAGTTTCGCAAACTCCAAAGCAACCCTTTCACACTATGCTTCGTCGCTCACGAGCCCGCATGGGTCGAGCCCAGGAAAGGCGCTTTTTCGAGCTGGATGCGTCTGGTCGAAGGGCCAGGCGCATTGTTGAATGATGAGCACGGAACAGACAAGTGACAAGATTGAGCCATCACCACGCGTAAGCAGAACATATGGACAGAATGATCGGACGCAACTAGGTACGAGTATTGCTACATCTCTCCAGGATACACGCTGATGATGCATAGTAGCAGTTATCGACGACCTAGACACTCATCCCGCCTCCGCACCGAGACGATCTCGAACAGTTATGTTTTGAGAAGGAATGCCAAAGGTTAGATGTACCACAGGCCTATGCTGAGCGGGTGCTAGTGTGCTTGGTAATGGGAACGCCCACATATGGAGGGCAACATTAGAGTTCTAGAGAACAACAGGAGTAAGATGGCTTGTGATTGAACAGCCAACGTCCCGCTGCCAGCTGCAGAGTGCGGGAAAAAAACATCAGCTCGACCCCTCACGTCCACGCAAGCCTACAAAGGGCTGCTATGGATAAGGTCTTCACATGCTTAGCTTCCGTTTGGTTTTGCAGTCAACCGTAGTTACAGACACAGGTAATTACATACACAAGTAATTAACTACATACAAATCTTAGTACTTTGGATGACGGCTACCTCCAAGCAACTTCGTACCTACGTACCTATGTACCTACCTTAATCAATATGAGGCTGGGCGGTAGGCCTAACTAGTATAAGATGCCCCGTGGTATCGACCCCTGATTCTTCTTAGTCAGGTAATTGTGCATCCTGCCCCAAAAACGCGTTCGTGCAACGCAAATCAGGTGCTGATTCTCCCCTGTTGTAATCTATTTGTAGTGTGGCGCCACCCTCTACTCTACGTGCTTTGGGTCTAGCGTGAATCCACACAATATCGCATGCTCCTGGCAGCAAGATGCGCAGTAAAGCCAACTTTACTGACAAGCACTATTTTTGTCTTGCATTAGTAGTTGTGTTTGGAGCGTAGAGATGGAAAAAAGGGAAAATATTGAAGCCTACTTCTGTCTGGTGGGATGAGGATACGAGGAGGCTGGAAAAAAGACCGTTGGGCGGAGAGGGGTTGACGCGTGACGCGTGCACGGCCGATTTTCAGAAATTTGAACAAGGTTCAGGTAGCGATAACTACCGTACGTCATCGTTGGAGAATGTGGCGCGTTGCGAGCGGGGTCTCAACCGCTCGTAACTAAGCCTTATTTATTGATAAGCTGACAGTCACAAACTCGGGCAGCTATGGCTTATGAAAACTATGTTCGCGACCTCTCGTACTTGACATCTGGTGATCTATCAGATGTGACCCTGAACTTTAGCGACAAGAGCTGGCGCATCCACAAAGCTCTTGTGGTCTGTCACTCCAAATGGTTTCAAAAGGCTCTCACCGGCGGCTTAGTGGTAGGAAATTGTGACCGAAGTATTTTCAAGGCCTAACCTGTATAATAGGAGACAAGCAGTGAAGCAATTACTTTGCAAGATGATCCAGTATACACGAATGCAATTGACTGCATGGTGTCATACATCTACGAGGCTGGATACAATGTCTCTAAATTCGACACTCTAGAACCTCTCCTTCATGCACAGGTTACTATAATCGCCGACAAATACGACTGTGCATCTCTTTGCAAGCTTGCAAAAACGTCATTTGCGAACACGGTCATGACTATCAATCCCAACGACTGGGCCGTAACTGCTGCCTTTGTCTACGACTACACGACAACTGTGCCACCAGCTCATGTGGAGCTAAGGAACTCAGTCATCGCTGCCGTTGCGAGTCGCCATTGCATGTTAAAAGCAACCCTACGAGAGGAGAGGGTACTCGATGTCCTATGTTCAAATGCAGACCTGGCAACAGACCTTCTGCTAGGTGGGCGACATGGACCTAAGGTAGAAGGAGTCTCCGAGCATCATTTCATTTGCGATCATTGCCATTACAGTCATACCGGATCGCGCGATTGCCCGAATATAACGTCTGTCAGTAAAACGGGCAAGCCGGTGTGTCCTAAGTGTAGGAGGAAAACCGGGAACCCAATACATCACACACCGATGGTCAATATATACCCAGCTTTCTCTTGCGCATCATGCGACGGATTCCACACGACAGATCCCGATGATGAGGATTTGGCATGAACGGCAACCATCCGTAAAACATGCACTGCAACACGAATACTTAACATTTCATTAGAGAACTTCCACTCTCAATCTATAATACGAACGAAAGGAGTCCCTTTGTCTGAATTTACTGCGAGTCTTGTCCACTCCACTAAAAACCGCTCTTGCTCTAGAGTTAATCGTTACTGGTTTCGATGAGTTATCGTGTGTGGTTATTAGTCTGCTGGACAGCCTTAAAGCATTAATCGCGGGGCCATGTACTGATGTGTAGCAGCTCGCTCGATCCTAAAAATACTAGAACCAAGATCTGAAATAACTAGTATCCTGTTTGAAAACCTTCAGTGGATCTATATGGGAAGTGCAGTGTTGAAAGAATGAAGACTTTGAATTGTATGGCTACTTTGGGTGGGGTGGCCGAAAACCACATGTGGCTGGAAAGTGTATTGCCCGAGCTTGTATATAGTCAGGGTCCTAGTCTGACTACACTACTGTCAGCCTTGTTCCTCTTTGCGTCATTGTCTGACGTTACCCCGCACTATAACTTCATGCGACGAGCTCGATAGTCCCGACATTGCAACGACTTTCTTGCACATGGCTGTTGGACTTTCTCAGCTTCCGAATGCTAGATAAAACCGAACTCGAACGCCGAAGAGCACAATGTCAGAGAGACAAGGCTAGGGATCATCAAGAGGAACAAGCAGCGGGGTAATTCGGGCAGGAGTATGGACAGCTCGCGCCACAAACTTCCTGCGTCGTTCGCCTTGTCCAGCGCGTCGACTCAATCCTGCGCGAGCTGCGGCTAGGACACCCCATCCTTATCGCTGGTGCTGGCAGTCCAAGGCCTGAGCAATTCTGATGACAACTCCTCTTCCTCATTCAGGAGTCTTGTCACGTGGATCAGGCTCTCGGCTTCGTGGAGGAGGATGTCGGTCACTGTCATTTGTTAAGAACAACAGATCAGTGCGAGCCGTCTGTTATTAGAACTGACTGAGCTACACTTACAGGTAGAGGCTGTCCAGATGGGTAACTTTCCCTGTGCCACCTCCCGCCAGAGCGCTGCAGCCTCACTAACCAGCGCCATGAGGGAAGCTAGAAAAGCGAGGAACTCTGCTTGTTCGAGGGTCAGGCCCACTTTGATATCGTCCATAGTTCCTTCCTCTTCCTCTCCTGCTTTCAGGTGCTGCTCTATTACTTCAATCGTCGCCTTCCTTCCTTTTTTATACGCGCTCAGTTGGTACTGGATGCCCTGCAAAAAAATAACGTACGTCTTATGGCCATCTTGTATGTGCTGGGGCGCATATTTGTAGCGCTTCCCCCACTCGGTGCGATACTCTATAGCATCTAAGAGTTGTTTGCAGACTGTATCTCGGAGGTTTTCTGCTAGGTCTCTGGCAAGAACCTGTGCAATCTGTGTTGCTTCCTCGTAACGGACGCCTTTTAGTAGTCTCTCGGGATCTAGCGTTTCAAATATCCTCTTGTTGAGCTTCTTATACTCGTAGTAGAGGGTTCCTCGCTGCTTAGTAGAGATTGAAGAAGACATTTTGATAATATTTGCTGGTATGTGCCTCGCAAGTTACGTAGATGCGAGCTGGTGTAATTGAAGGTAAAGAGATGATGAATAGAATAATGGGCAGCTGTGGCTTTTGTAGTATATCAGGAATAGGTCCATGCATATTTTAGGCAGCACCCCTGTGGCTCAGCACGCTATGGCTGAGCGTTTGTTCACAGGAATTATGCAGCCAGCAGCCCGCCCCCCCCCCCCTTCCGTATGAAAACCTCGCCTGAGCCCCCACAGGGCGCTCGTGTCCGTGGTGATTCCCTCCACTTAGCCCCTGCCTGGGGGCTGGGTCCCGCTGCTCCCCCGACCTCCCGTTCGAGCCCCTAGCTAGCCGTTTACTAGACTTGACGCTTATTGGCTACTCGCTTGTACGCCTCTCCTATATATCATAATACGAACAAACTAAGTCTATTTGTTTAAATTTACTGCAATCATGGAAGCGTACAAAGACCAGTGGAGTCCCTAGTAGAAGCGTGGATAGAAGAAGAGTGTTAGTTACGATCCTTGAACCTGATGACACGCTTGGACCAGTAAGCAGTTTGGAGGATTCATATTTGAGGCACCACGCCGCAATCCTGCAGCCGTGCCGCCCGAGATCACGTGACTTGATCGTTGATCTGTAGTGCTTGGCACAACAGAGCAACAGAGCACTCTGCATATTTCTTTAGTATATAGCAAAGGCATTGAGCCCTTAAGGCTCGATGTGTTCAACTTAAGTTACTTGAGAGACACTGTCCATATCACCCTGTTGCTTCATCCGCGAAAACCAACCCTAGAGTCTCGACACCAGAAGTCTTATATTACTTCCACTCGAGATATACTTGTAACGGCGCAGGTAAGACTACTCGGATCGGTATCGGCAGTAGTGTCACTCAGAGGCATATGGGAGTGCGTGGGATCACAAAGAGCCTAGATTCGACAAGCCACCTATAGGCCTTCTACGAAAGGATATCAAAAGTCTACAGAGCTAGCTACAGGGAGCGCCTCCATATATACCTGTCCTGGTCGGATTCGAGTCGGATCCGACTGCACGACGAATAGCTGATGAAGGGCGGCAGGTACTTCCTCCAATCCGACTCTAGGATCGGTCCGATACTTGGCGGAGTTGTAACTTCGTTACACTGCTGAGCCTATTAGACTTAGAGCACCCTACTAGAAGCGATATATTAACGCTGCTACTCCTACTTTTATTGTTAGCGCTAATTTTCTGCACGTTGTTACACGTGGTGGGTTGCTGATACTTCTCTAATCTCGATCCGGGTTAGGGCGAGTAGGTCTCTTGGGATCAGCTCCGTGAGAGTGTCTGGAAGTTCTTTATGGAAAAGAGTTATAGGATTTAACCGAAGGTTGATTGACAACTCCAGCCTACACTAACGTAGACTAACAAGTAACAATCTTGTTGAATAAAGATACTAGTAAGAAAGTACAATTTGAGTTGACCACAACGAGTGCAAATAATGAAATCCATCCAATCTTTATACCCATTGCTTCCAGTCCTGCCATCTCTTCCTTCCCTGCCATCCCAAGGCGTCCTGCCGTCCCTCGGATGGTTGTTCTTGGCAGGATGGCATATCACGTGACCTAGCCCCGCGATGATCATTACCTTCTGACGTGGACGTCCATAGGCCTCCAGCCCTCTCGTCGTTTGTCAGGGAGAGAATCCCTCTTGTTACTTGTAACATTTAGCTAAGGCTTAGTTATCTCTCCTTTCTATAATATATCTATATACTCTGTTGCTAGTAGTGTATCTATAACAATAGCTAGCCCACCTTGCTTAGTATTATACCGATACTCTATTCAGCACCAGATACTGCCAATGTAGTATACTGTACCTTTGTGGGCACGTGGTAGCCTAGGTGGAGCTAAGCCAGGTATCGTCACAGGTGGGCCACTAGCGATGCAAGTACGGATACGTTATAGAGAGGAGAGATAGACCTCGGGTAAGACGGCCATAATTCGGCTGAAGTGTTCTTAGTAGGATAGAGCTTTTGAAAGGCGCCTCCATAATGTACCCACTACTACTAGAGGCAACCTACTCTGCCTGGTCAATCCTTCGGAAACCGCAAGTACCAAGCTTAGCGAGCTCGCAATCTACAAAGACTGTGGTGCGAACCATAGCCAGCGTGGTAAGGTTAATTATGGCGTTTTGGCGATGAGGCATTTGCGGGTTTTCTCCGTACCCCACAAGTCTCCCTTACCCCGCAATTTGTGGGCTTGGTTTATTGTTTTCGGCTGTGCGGATCGGCCATAGTTTTCGCCTCTAAGAAATAAAGATGCCGTTCCCTTTCGAACATGCTCAATTCCCTCATACACTCCATCAAGATCCACTACCAATGAACGACAGCCGTGTAGAGAGAACTGAGTTGGGCCCCGTGCGGCGTTCGAGATATGTGTCTTGTGCTTGGTACGTCTCAGTCTTATTCCAGCACATAGCTGGCTTTTCTGGCTGCATGAGATGCATCTGACTCGATTTGATGATCAGAAAAAGTTTTCAACCGCTCTCGCTAACATGAACAGCGTCGAATGCCGTCGCCGGAAGACAAAGGCATGCCTCAGCCCGATTATTCCGTGAGTGACGTCTGTTGCTACAAACAGCGGCTGACAAGGTTGCCTTACAGTGTAGTGGCGGTCGTCCATGTCAACGGTGTCAATTTTATCAGTTGGAGTGCGGTTACTCCAGAACGGTGGGCCTAAAACCCCACAAGCAGAACGATAATTGGCCTAGGTAAGTGATTTTCCCTCCCTGGTGAGGGAGAAGAGCTTGACCTGCCGGTGACCTAGTTAAATTCTGGTTAGAGCACAACAGGCCAGTCAGAGGAAGCCACCAACTCAGTCACTGCCTAATTGGCAACTCAAGGCGCAGCGAGACCCGGACATGCAAAATCGACTGCTATTGCTGGAAGAGGAAATCAGGCAACTGAAGGCCCGAGGGACCGACGATGTCTCTGCTCAAAATTCGACCGGGGACCAAGCTGTGATATCTATCTCTGAGTGAGTAACTGCAGCCAAGCCATATGTCACTACATGACCCACTACACGGGATTGACAGAAGCAATAGTCAAGTAATCACGGTCGATGACGAGGATCTTTCAACTAAGAGGACTTTTCGTGAAGACTCAGCTCTATATACGCAAGAGTTCGCGAACGAAAGGGCTAGTATTGATGATGAGTGTCAAGGTCAGAGCTTACTGTATGGCTCTTTGGCCATGCAGATCCGCGAATTAAGAGATTCAATGCCAGGATTGCAGCCGACCCAAAATCCGCGGGCCTATATTCCCGTCGACCTGGAGACGTGTCTCGCCCCGAATATGCGCATATACCAGCTCCTTGATTTGTACTTTGACGAATTCAACTTCCCCTTACCCGTCGTACATCGTACCGAGTTCACCCAGCAGCTCAGAGCGTTGTTCGCTACCCATTACAACAAGCGCACTGCTCGTTTAAGTATCAAAGACGCAAAGCCAGAAGAAATCACATTTTTGGCTTTGACGTGCATGATGCTGGCCATTGCAGAGCATTCGGCGTTCAACTCCTTGGCCAAGACAGGTAACCGCCTCTGCGACCGAGGCTGGTTCATGGAGAGCAAGAGAATCATGACCGAGCACTATCGAAGGAGACCTGCCAATTTCGACTTGGTGCGACTTCGGTTAGTTGAGTCTTTCTACATGATAGCCATCGAACGTGTTGATCGCTTTTCGGCGGCTGTGATCGATGCTGTGAACGAAGCTCTCACGGCCGGTCTGAATAACCAGAAGACTTGGGCTGGGTGTTCGGCGGATAGCTACAGTTCGGACCGTGCACTCTGGTGGGTGCTCTATCTCATGGACCGTCAAGCCGCCCAACGTTACGGGAGGTCATATTTGATCCACGACACCGACTTCATGGTAGACGATTTCTCCGAGGAATGTCGACAGGTGCTAAGCACCGATCGGTCCGTACCCATCCCATTTCTTGTCTGTGAATCCCTCGACCGCACATCGAGCAGCAACGCCGAAAACCAGCCACAGCATGCATATATCAACCAATACGAATGGTTCTCTTACCTCCAGTTCTTAGTCACTATCGGTCGCTTGACGGCCCGGTCTTGCGATTCATTCTACTGCCTCAGGTCGCCCAAGGCTGGTGACCACGAAGAGACCACGATCATTGATGCGCTTTTGTTGCGAGCGAGTAACGCTATCTGCCCAACGCTGGCCTGGCAAAGCGACCCTGCTCCAGATCTGAGCGCCATAGGTCAACCGGCATCCAAACAACTCACGGACCTAAGACTTCTTGTCTACTTAGTGAGTCTTCTTATCCCCTTCCGAATTTCGTTTTGCCAGTGTGGTCTCAGTAGAAACCAATTAACCTCAAACACAACAGAGGATCAATAATCTGCGCCTATCAATAAGACGACACCTGTGGAAGGACAGGAAGTTAGATTTGACTGACACCAGTCAGTATCACCGCAGTGAAAGCATTCCGGAGGTCTATATTTGCCGCCATATTGCCAGCGACATCATCACTGCATTAGTGGATTATAAGCGAATTCAACCACGCCCGCTCATGACCCTGTTCTCGGCAATTTCCATCATTGAATGCATCTACAACCTCGTGGCGCTGCCCAAAGTCTCGTCTATGATGAATGAGAATCAATGTGAACTCGTCACTGAAAAGGTCAAGAAGGGCGTGCAATGTTTGGAGAAACTTGCCTATGGACGAGACACAGTAGCCCAGACAGCCTACCATGTTTTGAAGGGCTTTCTGCAACCTGGAATCTGCACCCTACATGGCTACCACGAAAGAGGAAGCAATTGTTCCATCTTGGTATGTTTTATCCTTTCCTCCAAAATAACCAGCCTAGCTGATCTGGAGCAACGACAGAATCCCAAGCAGAACGACCTATCTATCTTCAACCCTAGTGCTGACGAGCTATCCAATCTATTTCAATTGACAGAAGATAGCTTCAGGCTTTCCGAACCAGGCTCTTACGTGGGTCTCGATATTGACTTTGACTCCTTCGGTGATGCAGGAATACTACACGGATAGTTGACCGAGATTTTAGCACCAGGTATACACATGTTCTTTCACAGGCTTATCACGCTCATTAGAGACCGTTTCCTAATGGATATGATGTAAACACGGACCAAGTCCGGCAAGCGAATGAAAAATTACCTTAGATTACATAGGTTCACCTTACATCGATCTTAAGATTTACCAGTGTCTGTTACGTAACAATTACGCAGCCGTCCCTATAAGAACTTGACTCTATCAATAAATCACTTTTTGAGTTCAGTTTATCTGAGCGATGCCTCTCTGTGAGCCTCAAAGCCATCCCACAATGGCTCGTGCAACTCTTTTGAAACTCCATTGACATATGCTCCAACAATTATTATGCCGTCAGGCTGAGGGACGAGGTTGTAATCGGGTACACGATACTTAATAGCTATAGCACTACATCCCCTTGCCCGGCACTCCAAGCTTCATAATATCCGTGAATGTGTTGATATGATATCTTCTGCTCGATGACATTGTGAAGTGATGTGCTGCCTGACAGCTATAAGAACAAGCTTGCGCCAGGCGTAGTCTAGAGTGTTCGAGGTCACAACGAAAAAAGCTAGACCCAAATTTCTGTCTAGAATCACAGAGGATACGCTCGGGGGCCTACCATGCACAAGGTGCTAGGAAGTTCGGCACTAGGTTCCGAGCGCGCCGCCCGTATGATGGATGGAAATGGATCGGAACCTCTACCTAGCCAATGCCGAGGAATCAGCTTTCCGCTGTGAAGTGATTGGATCCTCAAAACTCTTCGTACAGCCCTTTTCAGTCGGGAGCCGCTCATCTACCAAGGTCATCGAAGTCCGTTTACTTCGAAATATTGTCTTAGAATTATCCTATTGGCTTTGAATACGGATACTACTCAAAGAATAGCTGCATCCTGCATCATTACAAACTACCAGACACAAACTCGATATATAACAATAAGACAGGGTCATCGGTGATCGACTCGAGCTCATATCAGACCCAATTCCTGTAAGGGTGTGCGTCAGCCATCTGATTACAATGGCTCAGACTGTCAATTCAATCCTCGATGTGGAGACTATGCTGTCTCTTGCGACCATCGATCCAGAGTTCGAAAATGTATGCTTCGAGATACCCTAGGGAATTGTTACTGCTGCTTATCTCGTACTCTAGCTTGTCAAAACCTATCCATTGCCTCCGGACGATCTCGATCTCCTATCTTATAAGAAAACTGCTATCAAACGCCATGCTGCCTCTTTTGCAACGCTGGGTCCTACACCCGTTGAAGTTGCACTGAGCGAGATACAGTATCCAGCAAGGGATGGAGCTATGATTAGAGCCAAGCTTTACCAACCCAAGATGCCACCCAAAAACGGAAGTCCTCTGATAGTCTTTTTCCATAGCGGAGGCTTTTGTGTCGGATCCCCTGAAGGCGAAGAACTGACTTGTCGTAATTTTGTCCAGGCATTCGGTGCCGTTGCGGTTTCTGTCTCTTATCGCCTTGCCCCTGAATTCCCTTTCCCTTACGCTATCAATGATGCCTGGGATGCACTCAGGTGGATCGCAGAAAAGGCAACATCCTTAGCCGCCGACCCGTCGCTCGGCTTCGTGGTTGGAGGCACCTCTGCCGGTGGCAGCATCACGGCGACTCTCACACACCTCGCTCGAGACGAAGGTTTGGCTTTCCCACTGACCGGACAGTACCTTGCCATGCCGATGATTTCTCCTCTCGCAGCGGTGCCGGCAAAATATAGGAGTTACTTTCTCTCTCAGAAGCAAAACCGAAATGCACCCGTTCTGTCGGGACCAACACTTGATATGCTTATCAGTGGTTACAAGCCTGACGAGAACGATTCTGTCCGATACTCAATACTCAATCACCCTAGGGGTCATGAAAGACTGCCTCCTGCAGTCTTCCAAATCGCTGGGCTGGATCCACTGAGAGACGAAGCCATCATTTACGAACACATCTTAAGCCACGAGTCCGGATGCAAGACAAAACTATATCTCTACCCCGGGCTTCCACATGTACATTTCTTATTTTTTCCCTCATTGGAGGCCAGCAAGAAGTTTAGGATGGAACAGATCGAAGGCATGGGCTGGCTGCTGGATAGAAAACCAGACTTTACCAAGGTAGTTACAGGTCGTGATGCTAGTCCATCTCAATGAAATGTAGCTAGATTCACAAATCCGCACACACGTCCGTGTTGACCGAGCCTGCTGGTATATGGTTTTATGATCAATAAAGCCTGTAGAAAACTCTCATATTTAATTTTGAAATACAATATATTCGATGTACTTACAGGACGCTATATATTTTTTCTTGGCGCGCTCTAAAGTCTATCAGTATCACGGAAAGCCTACATGACGGGAACGTTTATCAAGACTTTTTACAAGCTCATTGCCATACTACCTAACAACTGTTCGGTGGCGTATTCGTGCCCTACTGCTACTACTTCAAAGATAAAAATATTTCAACAGCACTAGAAAAAGCTTGTGACCCTTGTTCCTGAAAAAACCCAATATTAGTCTGAAGATGGAGCGAAAGATCTTTTGCATTCATAGGCAATATGAAAAAGTTACAGCAGAGCGTTACATCTGTATACTCAGCACTACACAACCATTTCGGAGATTTTTGAACCTTCACATTCGACACGAAATCAAGTGGATTCTTTGCTGCAAATGGCCGTGAGCCGCGGACTCTGCGCAGTCGGCGAGCCACCATTGCACACACCCCCTAACGATTTCTTTCTTCGCGATTCAGGTTTTGTATTTTTAAACTTCGTCAATGACTGGAATCGGCGTTGGTCACTACGCGCTGAGCTGCAAGAAGTTCGGCCTGGTCGTGTCTGCGGCGGATGTGAGCTGAAGCATCCGCTGGTCTTAGGAACCATCTGTTTTGGAACTGCGAGTTAGTAGACGATAATAAAACGCACACGGCATGTCAGAGGTGCAAAAGGAAAGCCACGAAAGGACTCACGTAAGATCTACATCGACCTCTTCGCCTTTCAATTTAGCTTGGTGACGTTTCACTTCTCCCTGGGTAAATCCACTGGCCAGCCACGCAAATCTCATCTCAGGTAGCTTTGAAAGTGTCGTCCAGTCAAAATCCTCGTATCTGTGGCTCTGAAGAAGTTCAAAATAATGCAGTCGAGATCCCGCATGCAGAGAGACTAACAGGCCATCCCTCTTGCCATTTTTATAAGTACTGGCACATGGTGTGTTCCATGAAGTCTTCGGTAGCCACGCAAAGCAGTGCTGTTGCCACGCATCGACCACCTCACGCTTGGGACAGACAGATCCATAGTTTTCGGTCTGCAGTTTGTGAATCAAGTCCGTAATATAGCCAGTGATTACTTGAATCGAACCAACCAGGCTTCCATGACCGATCGCGCTCGCAGGCCCGTTGTAGACGAAGTAATTTGGCATATCTGTTGTTGTCACCGATAGGTAGGCCTTTGGATTTTGTTTCCACTCCTCCCTAAGGTCAACGTTATTTCGACCTATCACCGGAAATCGAGGTGCAAATCCAACATTGAAGCCGGTTGCACATATTATCGAGTCCACCTTCACGACTTTGCCAGATGCAGAGCGCAAGCCCTCCTCGACAAAGGAGTCGATCTCACCCCAGACCAATTCCACTTTGTCGGAAGCCAGGGCTTCGAGGTAGCCAAGACCGGGCGTTGCGCGCCTACACCTGATCCAGGTCAGCAAGATATAGCTGCGGTATTATTTCTGAAGCTTACCCGACAGCGAACTCTGGGAGAAGCATTTTCAACAACTCGGGTTTCTTTGCCAACTTTGCGGTCATCTGTTTGATGGCAAAGTCTTTAGCGACTTGCTGTTCTGCACTATACTTCATGTAAATACGGAAACTGTTGTTCAGCTCATTCTCTACACCCTTTCTATACTCGTAGTACTTATCGGGATTGTTGACCCAATATTCTTTCTGTTCCTCGGTGAATATGATGTTATCGCCGTTGGGCCCAGCATATTTGGACCCAAAACCCGCTGTGATCCATGTAGGGTTGCGAATGAACGCATAGACTTTTTCGCACTCATCTAGGATGGCTGGTAATATTTGTATACCACTGCTTCCATTTCCAATGAGAGCCACGGTCTCACCTTTGAAGGACTGGTGTTCTTTGGGCCAGGCGGCCGAATGGAGGATACGGCCCTGATAGTTCTCTCTATTTGGGACAGCGGGCCACTTCCAGTCATTGACGAAACCAGTGGCATTGATGAAGACATCACACTCGTCGTCGAATGTGGACAATATGGCATCTCCATTCTTGACCTGATCAGGGTGCGTCGATGGAAGCTCGTCTGTGCTGAGACGCTGTACGGTCACGGTCCACTTGGAGCGCTCCTCGTCCCACCTCGCACCAACAACTTTGTGACAGGTGTGGATGTGCTTTCGAAGATCGAATTGATCTGCCACATCATTGAGATATTGACATATCTCAGCACTCGACGCATAGTAGCTTGAGAAGTACGGATATGGAGCCCAGGCAAATTGATAGTTGTGCACTGGAAGGTCACATGCACAGCTGGCGAAGGAAATCCAGTCAGCTCAATTACATGGAGGCGATAGGTTGAAAAACACTATAGTACTTACCCAGGATACCGATTCTCATACCAGGTCCCTCCGATCCCGGCGTTCTTCTCATAAATCGTGAGATCCACGTTTTGAAGGATTTTCCCATGGTTTACTTCGTGCGCAAAGGCCATACCACTCATACCACAGCCTGAGATGATGACTTTGAGGGGGCGCGACGTTCGAAACGGGACTTGGGACAAGTAATAGGCTAGCTTATCCTTGTCCTTGTAGGATTCTGTCACGGCAACGGGGTCTGGCTCAGTTGGAGCCAGGCTCTGAAAGTAGGCTGTCGCTTCGGCTGCTGCCATTTTCAAACAATAATATTCTGATTATCTGGGATCGGGAATTCGAAATTCAGGCCTTGGGATTGTGCCAACTTATGTTTTCTTATCCGAGCAATACAGAGAGGCGATAAATGTCGCACCATGTTGAGAAGTTCACTATTGGTGAGATTGATTGATTGTGCGAGCAACTCCGATTGGTCGAACCCAACGTGTATCTCGTTCCGCTTCCGCTCCATTGGTCCCATAAACTTCCCCGGAATTTTTCACCACTTGACGCAACAGCAGAGAAATACACCGGGATTGCTTTGTTTCCCCGGGCGAAAAAGGACATTGATGACCCAGGCTTAGGGGACGTGGCCTTTTCCAAGGAATCGGGATGTAACATCCTTAGCTAGACTCCATGCATCTCACAGCTGGCGATCATCGCTCCAAGGAATACACGGGGGATGTATGAGGGGATTAATAGTTAGTGGGTTGTTCCCATACGTAACGTAGTTTCCGAGCGGGTAACGCACCCTACTAACTTCACACAACGTGTTGGATAAGCGAGTGAGCCAGGCAAGCGAGTGAGCCACCCCACCAACTTTGCACAACACCTTAACTTCAACCAACTATGGCGTCCCCCCAACAAGCTTCTAAAGTCTCTTGTGAGGCTAATATATATCTTGCGATTTCAGCTCTTAATACAAAGCAAATTCAAACTGAAAGATGCGCTGCTGAGACATTCAATATCTCGCGAGCTACACTCCACCGCCGACGCGCTGGCAAGCCTGCCCGACGCGATTGCCAGCCTAACTCAAAGAAGCTTACGAAGCTAGAAGAGCAGGTGATAGTCGATCACATACTTGATCTAGATCTACGTGGATTTTCGCCTACCTACGCAGCTGTGCGCGATATGGCTGATAGACTGTTGGCTGCGCGCGGCGCTGGCCAGGTTGGGCAGAAGTGGCCAGCCAACTTTGTCAAGCGTACAGACAGTCTTACGACGCGTTTCAATCGGGCATACGATAGGCAGAGAGCTCTATGTGAAGATCCAGTCTTAAATCAAGAGCTGGTTTGAGCTTGTGGAGCAGACAAAGGCTAAGTACGGCATCTGTGATGAGGACGTCTACAACTTTGACGAAGCTGGCTTTATGATGGGCAAGATCACGACTCAGC